CAGTATATATTCGAAAGCAGTTGCAACTGGCTATCTCCCTGACCACGACCTCTTGAAGAAACACCTTCCTTTGAAGAAAGAAGACCTGAAAGCAAGCTCTGCAGTGGCCGATCCCAATGCATGTGGTCAGAGGGACACGACTCTTTCATGGTTCTGTCTGGTCCTTGGATGTTCAGGGTGACACATCAGGCAATGACTGGATGACAGAATGTGAGTGTCTGGTATCCAGTGGTATCAGATGTCTGGTCTCACATATTCTCAATAGTTTATCAGGGTGAATTGGGCTCCGGACGAAAGCACTGCATGATCTTTGGAATGAGGAGGTATCATTCCTTGTCAAACCTGAAATGCAGTGGTCCATTAATTCTTTAAACCACAAGCCAAAGCCATGGCTCAGTCACATGGACACATGCGACTTCTGCGGGCTCACCGGACATACATGTTATGCTGCCCAACAATCTCACATATATCACCAACTAGCAGGACATGCAGAGGATACTTCCGGAGATGATAGGTCAGCCAGAACTACCGGTTTGATGGTTCATGGTACCGGTCGGATAGTTCATGGTACCGGTCGGATAGTTCAATGTACCAGTTGGATAGTTCATGCCCACCGGTCGGATGGTTCATGGAACCGGTCAGATGGTTCATGCCATCGGTCAGATGGTTCATGGTACCGGGGCGGGTGGTTCATGTACCGGTTGGATATATAGTTCATGGTGCGGGTGGATAGTTCTTGGTACCGGTTGGGACAGTTCTTGGTACCGGTTGAATCTTTCATAACACCTGGTTAGGTAATATGAAATTATGGTTGACACATGTAAATAATTCTGAGTGTCGGTCTCACTACAGCCTCACATTCCCTCCATGAACAATACTGTAACTCTCATCCCCCCTGACCAAGTCATCATTGCCGCTAAGGGCAATCAAATCACTGCTGGGGATATCTCTCGCGCCTTATTCTATGCCAATTCCTGGTTGTTGGCTATGCACCTCTATGTTGACAAGAGTTTTGCCACTGACATGCCTGGCTATGCCACAAATTTTTACATCTTGATGCAATGGGAGATGGAGGTAGCTATCCGGCGAATGCTGATATTCCCTTGCACTCATCTTCTACACTGTCATACAGACCTTTGTAACTCCATTCATCAATATATCATTTATCCACCCGGTTGCTCCGCTGTCATTCCCCACCTTCTCAAGGGGGGTGCTTGCAATCATGACCGCAACACATTGGTGGCCCGGCGAACTGGATGTTGATGCTATCCTGCAGGATATCAAGGCATTGCACTCTCTGTTGATTCCAACGCATGCGATGACTATGACATTGCTCAATGCTGGAATGTGCAGTCAAGGACAACCTGACATCTTCCAGCATCTGGTCAATATGTTATACTATTATATGTTACTGTCATATTCACTGCAATGTAAATGAGAAGCACCGGTTTTTGTCTTTGCAATCAGGCCGTGTGAATGTGAAACTATTTTCTCTAACTGCTATCTCTCCGGCTATCATTCAACAGTGGTGTTTTTCCATCACTCATTTGGTTTTCCAGACATGGTCGCAATCCCACTAGACTGGGCTTTGTATCAGACCTACCTTGCCGGTGAATTGGTTCACGAGATTTTCATGTCCACAATTCATCAACGACCGGCAAAAAACATGAACCTTGGACTCTTGGATATTGACACTTGCATTGCATTAGAGCATCTTGCCAATGTGATGGCCTCTGCATACTCCAATGCCGGTAGGTATGCCGGTCCATCGCCACATTCCGGTCAACTAACCACCATACAGTTCATCTCAAAATAGACATGGTCAGATACAATGATGCCCTGGACAAAGATGAATCCGGTCGAAGTGCAAAACGAGAGCAGACCCTCTTCGACAGATTCCCCCCCGAACAGGAGCATTTCTTGACAACACCAGCCGTCGTCGTTGATTCCGGAGGTAGAATCATTGTCTGGTATTTGCCTGGAGCTATGACTGCTATGATGATGGTCAGTCTTCCATTGATCTTCATTTGAATTTCAGCTCAGCCGGACATACATAACAGCAAGATATGCATGGTGCAATGCATTCCATGAGTGATTTATTGAAGCACAGCATAACAACTGGTAGGACTGTTGAATGGAGGACCCATCGGTCTAACTTTCATCCAAGTCCGGATGGCAAGATTACGCCCGGTTGCATCAATATATCCCCTGCATGGTTTCAGCAAGGAAGAGAGGTACGTCCAGTCCATATATATTGAAGTCGCTGGTTTGAAGTATTCTAGAAACATGGTTTTCCAAAGCTTGACCCGGAAGATGGGTTTTCGCCCGAGGTATCCGCTGCACTGAAAGGTGATGTCGGTCAGAACATTACGACCTCCCTTCAAAGGTCCAGTATACTAGTTTCGGCTGCACTTCGAGTCATGCACCCTGATCTTTATTGGGCTGGAATGGAAACCCAAGTCAGGCTGGGCGAATGGGCAACCCGATATCATTTGCATGAGATGTACCATCATCTACAACACTGGACATCCATATTCAATGTTGTGTCGGTCATATGCAATCGCCGGACACCGCCTCATAGAGACCCAAAGTGCCGACCGGCGGCATTTGATATCATGACAACCGCTGGTGTTTATCAGCCGGTTATCATGGATTTTATGAACCTCGGAATCAAATTTCTATACAACTCCGGCTCAATGTTGGCTTCATCATGTCGCCTGGTGAGACATTACATGAATGTTGAAGAAGGCAACCGGATTGTCACTGCGTGGTACATGCGAGACAGCATTCACAACTTTGTCGGGACTCCAAGCACAGAGTATGCAAAATATAGCAATGTAAAATTCAGCGACCCAGTGGAGATGGAATGGGTTTGAGGACTCTGGGTCAATGGACTGTAGATATTTAGACAAGTGATGTCATTCAAAGATATATTTCCGGTAGATCTTGTTTTGCTATACAATGGATCCCCCGGTTGTTCTATGATGGATATGCCAGTTACTGTATGGATGTACCAAATATGGTTTTTGCACGCATGCACCGGTCTCCATTGCACCCCACAGTACCGGCCCACCCGCCTCCATTGCACCCCATAATGCCAGCCCACCCATCTGCATTGCACCCGGTAGCCCCGGCCCACTGGTCTTGATTTCACCTGGTTGACCAGCCCACCCGTCTCCACTGCACCCCATAACCCTGGCTCGATTTCACCTCGTTTACCGGCCCACCCATCTCTATTGCACACCGCAATGCTGGCTCACCCGTCCTGATTTCACCTGGTCAACCGGCCTACCCGTCTCTACTGCACCCCGTAGCCCCGGCCCACCCGGCTCAATTTCACCTCCTTTACCGGCCCACCCGTCTTGATTTCACCTGTTCTACCGGCCCACCCGTCTGCACTGCACCCCGTAACCCCGGCCCACCCGGCTCGATTTCACCTCGTTTACCGGCCCACCCATCTCCATTGCACCCCATAACACCGGCCCACCCGTCTCAATTTCACCTCATTTACCGGCCTACCCGTCTCCACTGCACCCTGTAACACCGGCCCCCTCGTCTACATTACATTTCATCTTCCGGCCCACCCATCTCCATTGCACCCTGTAACACCGGCCCCCTCGTCTACATTACATTTCATCTTCCGGCCCACCCATCTCCATTGCACCCTGTAACACCGGCCCACCCATCTCCATTGCACCCCATATGGCCGGCCCACCCGTCTCAATTTCACCTCATTCACCGGCCTACCCGTCTCCACTGCACCCCGTAACACCGGCCCCCTCGTCTACATTACATTTCATCTTCCGGCCCACCCGTCTCCATTGCACCCTGTAACACTGGCCCACCCATCTCCATTGCACCCCATACAGCCGGCCCACCCGTCTCCATTGCACCCTATTCCCCGGCCTCCTCGTCTCCATTGCACCCCATATGGCTGGCCCACTCGTCTCCATTGCACCCCATTCCCCGGCCCCCTCGTCTCCATTGCATCTCATCTACCGGCCCCCTCGTCTCCATTGTGCCTTATTTACCGGCCCACTCGCTATCACACACTGGATTCACCACCATTCATAATCACCTATATAGTACATTGCTATACTACCATTTATACTATATACTCCCGGCCCATCCGTTTGCCTCGGATACACCACACCCTCGGCCCACTCGTCTATCACAGTACAATTATTGCCACCGGCCCACACCGGATGGCTCGTCTCTATCGGTACATTGTCACGCCCGGCTGCCCGTCTCAGACGGGTGAATTCACTGAAGGGGCTCTTGTCTGACAGGACATCAACTACTTCTGGGGCCTGATGTTCGGTTCGCACTCCTTTTTCTCCTACTTATTGTCTGATGACAGCCGCATCCTGGTGATTAAGCTAGTAACGGTGTTCAGCATCAGCGCATGGAAATGCAGAGTAGTGTCAGATGTGTCGAGACACTCATACTTCACCGGTCACTGCCTTATCGCAGCGTTGTCTTCCTTCGCCTATAGGGGACTGGGGAAGACTATCGTCTTTGAATTCCCCGCCGAATCAGTTTCTGAAATTTATTGTCTGGTCAGTATTCTCTTTCGCATTACGCTACGAGTCAGTTCGAGCCCCGGGTTATGAAAGAAGAGCGTTCGCTATTAAAGGGAAGCGGCTCTGGAGCCAGTGTGGATATCCTCTCCGCTTTTGCTCACGATGGAGGCCCCGTGAATTTCATGCAGCATGTCAATTTCACGCCACCAGGTTCAGGTTGGATTTTACAAGCCCTCTGCTAAGTATGGTTGTACCCTGTCGGGATGGTTGGTGGAAGGCCAACTCCTGAGTGTTAATGGCATCGAAACTACCCCGATGGAGTGGATGTGCATCGTTGTTTGGCAAAGCCCTTGGATCCAAACAACCGCTTTCTGCTTCTGAAGGTTAGGCGTCACTTGCTTGCAGCCGACCATGGTTATGTTGCTGTGGAAGGAGGCGTGTAAACGGATAAAAAAATATGTTGATACTACCAGTACAGAATATAGTTACGGGCTATACATACGAGAATGTAAAGTGATGTCAAAAGCAGTATTATGAATTGCAAACGGACCTCTACGAAGGAACGTACAAGCAAAGCGTACATAAAAATCCAGTCAATGCCGCTCTAATCATCGTGGTAGTGTCCGCGAGGGAAACATATTTTGTCGAGGAATCTGTTGCAGCTGCCTTCTATGCTCGAGTCCGAATCTGAGCCATGTTTGGTGTGATAAGTGACGAAGTGCAATGAGGAAGCGTGTGATGATGAACCTGCAGTGCCTTGCGAATGTTGAGCTTCGTGTACAGCTATACCTTGAAATGATGATACTGCGTGTACAGAGACAACTTGCGATGATGGACCCGCTTGTGATGAGGTACCGAGGTGTTCTGCGGCGGGAGTAGCACCGTCCGTAGCTGCCGATGCCTTTGTCTTGCGGACCCGCTTCATTGCGACGAGTCTCTGTGATTCCCGATTTTAGAACGAACAAAACTGTGTACAAGATGGATTGAATGTTACCTGGAACCCGCGCGCAGCATATATCTCAACAGCCTCAGGAGAGCGTTCGTATCTCCTCATTGGAGCCATTGTAGCAGACGTTGGATTCTTCCCTCGACCGAGTGTTAACCATTTCCAGATAATGCGATTGTCTTCGCTGTCGAGCTCGGCGGGGGAAGTGGGATCATCGGGTGGTGGGGTGTGCACATTGGTGGGAGGTTCGTCATCTTCATCCTTGTTTGCTTTGCTCGCGTAGAGCGCAGCATTCGCAGAACACTGATGGTCCATCATGATTAAGTGATAGTGTGGAAGTCGAGTAACAACTTACCTGGTTGCTTTCCTCGTGATCTTCTCCTGGTCGAGCCTTCCCTCCTGGTATTTGTTGGTTGAGTGTGGTGGTTATGGGCTGCACGGGCGGGTTGTGGTAAATATGACGTGCAAAGAAACTGCGCTTGTTGCACTGTTCTGGATTGGACTCGTTTGCTGGAGGGCGATGTTGAGAGACGATATTCCGAAACCGGCGAGTCGAAAACAGGTGGTGAAGACGGGTCCCATATGATGTCGAATGAAGAGATGGCTGGGAATGCTACGAATGATTATCGTCAGTACCAGGCCCTTTGCATGATAGACACGAGTTTTACCTGGAAAAAGGTGTTGTATGGATCATCATGCTCCTCTTCGATGATGCCATCGCCACCCGTAGCATCGGCCTGTGACAGTAATGTGAGTAAGGCAAGACAGGCAGTGAAACATGAGAATACCGACGTCAAGGCAAGAGGATGATGCGGACTCGGGTCGAGTGTCCTGCTGTGTAGCTTGACTGTAGTCCTGTTGAAGTATGGGCACTGGAAGCTCAGGAGCTATGTCTTTGATCATCCAGAGAGTGAGTTTCTTGTCATATCCACCATATGCCAGGTATATTCCATCTCGAGAGAATGACACACAATAAAGGGTTTGGTCCTCCTGGTGAAATGGCTGACCTCGGAGTGGCTGATAAGACTCTGTGTCCCATAACTGGGCAACATCATTGCCTATGCACGCCAGGACATTATTTTTGGGTGAAAGTGCGATAGACCACAAGATATTGCCATGCTCGAAGCGATGGAGTAGTTCACCTGAGGTGCTGTCGAAAACACGTGCACATTTGTCGGAAGCAGAATAGATTTTGCTGCCGTCCGAAGACCACACCAACGACGACACGTAATCACCCAGGTCTTCGATGGGGCTGATGATAAGCTTGCCGGTCTTCGTGTCCCAGATGCAAATTGTTTCATTGCTCCCGCCTGATGCAATTCTATCTCCTGAAGGTGAATATGCAAGTGCTTGCACCGAGTCTTGCTTCGTCTTGATTGGACCCACTTCGACTTTTCCGGTTTTTGCTTCTCGAATGAGGATTTTTCCTTCGTTGCACCCGCTGGCTAAGTGGCCTTGGCTGGGAGACCATGAGAGCGACCACACTCCATTGCTATGACCTGTCCAAACGTCTTCCACCATCTCTCCTTCAGTGTTCCATCGCTGAACACTTCCATCCTCTCTCCCGCACGCAATAGTCTTCCCGTCCGGTGAAAGCGCCAGTGAATATATGCTTCCACCTTTCTCTTCCCATGGTTCTCCGACAAGAAGTCCTGTGTCGCAGTTCCACTTCCGCATCGTGCCGTCCCACGAACCACTCAGAATGTGGATGTTGTCGTGCAAGAAGACGAACCGCCATATAGCCCGCTCATGTCCCTTAAATTCGTACTTCGGAGTTGGTCCTTTGGATTCCGCTGGGGTTGAAGCTTCTTGGCGGGTCTGCCTTGCAAAGAATCTAGCAGCCATGGCTCGTCCCCGTAAGGCGTCTAGGGAATCAACCTTGCTCTGGCGCTGTTCGTGATCTATTGTGCGGGTCGGACATTTGACCAGCACTCACTGGTTGGTCTACTGGTGTCTTCCTTGGGGGAAAGTGAACAAGGTAGGCGTTTTTTATATGAAGCGGCGTTAATCATCTACTTATCGCAGGCTGTGCAGCCATACAGCAATTCCTCCCATTTCGGCTGGTCCGACGTTTGCAAACCATGATCCCCACTACCCTCTTAATATCATTCACCCCATTCACGACATCATATTCGCACGGTGAACTACGTTCTTGCGCATATACTCAAAAATCAAGACAGATGGTGAGCTTCATCCGTCGACATAGCTTCTGACATCTCAGAGCCTGCATCATTATTTGTTTCCGATCATTTGTGTTTCGAGTCCTGGCAATCCTGCACGCATTTAAAGGGTTCTCTCACCAGACGCCTTGCCATATTTTCCGAGATCTGAGCGAGCTAATGTAATACTCCTCAGCGGATTCCAGGTGTGAGAACGAGAACGAGAACGATCGGGGTGTGCAAGGGGAATTTGACATGTCAGGTGAGCCCACTGTGCGCCTGGTTGGCCGTTTAATATTCATCTAAGCGCCTGCGCGCGCAATCCAAAGTGACCACGAGTATAGACAGCCTTCCCTTATTGCCTGCATGCGTTTTTCCTTCCACTAGACCCATCCCTCGTGTGACTGCGGAACACCCGTTACGCGTTTGCTGTGATTCATGGGTCAATTCCGATGTAACTTATTGATATCCTACGAAAGACTTATTCTTTCAATGTTAGCAGGGTAAGGACCAAACACGAACGAACACAATTCTTGGTGCCTGTGACAATGACGAGTACATTCCTCAATCCATCTAACTAACTTCCCTGTCTAGATCGACTAATCTCCTAATTTCATGTTCACCGACGCGTCAGCCGAGCATGTGCTTCGCCAGATAAGTGATAGGCCGCTCATTCAAGCGCCTAGCTTCTTATCCTCTGGCCACCACCTCAATGTCCCTGGTTTGTGCCGTGACGCTGACCTAGGCTCAGGCTTCACTGTCATCTTGATGTGATATACCATATTGGATGCACTACTTATTCCCCATGAGGATTAGATTCTAGGCCCTAGGAAGTTCACGCTACTAACATAGCAGACAAACTGGACCTTGATGTTGTTTCCTTCACTGTACAGATAAATGAATGCATCTATTCACAGCATTTTTGACCGTGTTCAGTTATGCTCGGGTGTCTCTAAGAAACTATCATGAATCATGATCGTAATCCCGGCCCCCTGTACAGTCGAGTGTACCATACTCTACCATATTATGTACGTGTCGCCTTGTCCAGGGCAACCATTGATATCATAGTAGCTTTCGAAAGAAATGTGTGACACAGAAAGTACAACGTAGAATCATCGCTCGAGATATAACCAGAACGCTCTGGATCAATTTGCCGAGGGTTCTTCACTGATTGCACGAGAAGATCCTGCATTTGGCCATGACGGGCGAGCCATTGGTTTCATGACTCGATTCACGAGTAAATGTAAACTAGTACCGATCCTACAAAGTACAGATCAGCGTCAAATCTCAATTGAGAGGAAACATGCACTTACAGTCATCTGTTCGTCTACAGGTCTGACCATAGCTGGTACTGTTGTGTTAGAGGGGATGTCTACACGGGTCGTGGATTAGTAGTGCCATTTGAACGAGAAAAAACCTGATGGCGGTAGAATCGCTCGTCTCATCCTCCAAGTGCGTCGTTGCGAGCAGGTTATCCAGAAACAATGTCATGGAATGTTAGTAGAGATTCGAGGTGCAAACCGCTTCGAGATCGGAAATGCATATAGATATATATTGCTGTACATACTTATCGCTAGACGGGTAGTAAAACGGAAAAGTCCGTTTGGAGGTCACAGTCATCAGAGGAAGGGCGACAAATGTCTGAAACATCAAATACGATGTAGGTGACGCAACTAACTACGTAGACTGAGATCATCAAAGAATGCAAGACGAGATGGTCCTGTCTCGGGCTGTGACTGGTTAGTCGTTGGTTTCAATTCAATTTCGTCATGCCGGGCACACTGAGCCCTATAAATTAAATCAGGTAATGTGTTTTACAGGCGGTTGAGATGATCATACCGGGTAGTAGTAGGTATGGGAGTATTGAGAATGTTTTCCTCGGGTTCGTCATCCTCAAGTTCGTCATCATAGACCGGCCGTGGAGGATCCGGCTTCTTCTCCTTTTTCTGGAACCAGCTGAGGCAAAAGAAGAGCACATATGGTCTTGTTCCATCATCCACACCGACAGCGTCACCCTAGTAGGGAAGGACGTGGTCAGATACCACCCAACATCATAATTGTGGGACAACAAACATATGTAGCTTGTCCGAGAGGAACACGGACGACTTGAGGCGTGTGGCGTTTCGGTTGACGCTCCTTTTGCTTCCCTTTCTTGTCTGACGATGACCGAATGAGATTGGAAAAGGTTGTGACGCCGTGAAAGCGAGTAGATGGAGGGCGTTCCGCATCGGCGCACAGGTTCGTGTCAGCAATTATTTGTTGACGTTCCTTCTGCTTGTTGTCTGACGACGGCCGGATGCCACTGAAAAAGGCCCTGAAATCGTGCAACGGAGAAGGCGAAGAACTCTCGGCATGAGTGCGTGACGATGCAGAGTAAGCAGCCTGTCCGCGAGGCCTGTTGGTGCGCTCGTAGTTCAGTGCCCTGTGGCGCTGGCCGGGAATTTCTGACTAGGAGTATCTAAGACGACAATGAATTGGTGACCATGGGACTACGTACATGAAGAAGCCCTTGTTGATTCTGGTCGAAAATCAGTATATACATGGGATGCTAGTAAAGAACACGTGCCTGTTGTTTGCCCCATGAAGGACCAGCCTGACATGGGAGTGCGTGAGCTTGTGCGCGGAGTGATATAGAAGTTGGGATGAGTCACCTTACCGCACGCCGCTGTGAGGACCTGCTCCGGTATCTCCCATTGCGATATTTTGTTTTCGTCGTTGCCGAATATAGAGCGTCCATCGACCGAGAATGCAACACGATACAGCGAAGTCGAATGCTGAAACCGGGCGACTTCAGTGCCTGCGGGGAGCTGCCACAAGCGAATTGTGTTGTCATCAGATGCCGATGCGAGGAGGGTACCAGCCGAGTTCAAGATGATATGAAAGATGTGCTTGTTGACATTATGATCCCTGGAGTGATCATGATGTCAACAAGCACATCTTTCATATGAATCAACTTGCACTCCATACCAGCACTCGAAGAATGAGTTTAGGGCAGGCGGGGTCCCCCAGCTTAATGCTCGGGGGACCCGCAATCAATTTTAGCACCGAGATATGACAGCTCGAAATAAAGTAGTATACAAGTCATCGGGATGACTGAGAACGCGCTCAAAACGAGTTAACGGGGCGAGAACGCGCTCAAAAAACGAGTAACGGGACGACTGAGAACGGGAAAAAAGAGTAAGACTCGATCAAAGCCGCTATAGGGCCTATTTTTTTTAATTTTAATTTTATTTAGAAATGACCCCGCACGAGCCGTCGACGCACAAATACAGCAGAAAACACAAACAGAGCTGACAATCTCGGTGAGCTACGGATTTTGAGAACCGTGTATGAGTAGATGAAGCAAGAAAGGGTGCTTGTGAATGTACTTCTGGAATTCATCCGAGGACCAGCGTCCCGCTTAGTTGTGCCGCGGCCCGGCTATGGCTGACTCAGGCTCGGCATTTACTGGATAGCCGGCAGTTCGGCCAAACAGGTGAGCCAAGTCACCAGTAAGCTCTTTAGATTGGTTCAAAGCGTTAGTCAGCCATGCAAACCAGCTATGAACCGAGAATGTATGAACACCGGCTTAAAACGGCTTAAGCCGTTTTAAGCCAGCTCCAACCAACTCGCAAACATGTATGAAAACATTTTCTCGTTCCCTCAGGCTCCAGGACTCAAGATTGCAGTGTTGATTGGATTGTGTACCATGAGTAAAGTCCCTGTTCAAGTCGATGGAAGATTTAGACTGGGAGATGTTCTGGGATCTGGTTCATACGGTATGTAACTATGTCATTCACATGGTGACTATGTTGAATTCAGACAGATCTCACTTAGCTGTCATGTACTGCGCACGAAACATCATAAATAATGATGTAGTTGCTATCAAACTGGAACCCATTGTCAATAATTTGTCTTCTCTGCAGCGCGAATACCACATTTTGAAACAACTTGAAGGTGGGGTTGGCATACCCCATGTACTTTGGTTTGGTAGAGAGTCGACGTACCATGCTCTGGCTCTCAACCTCCTTGGTTCGTCACTGCATGATATATTCCTCATACACAGTCAGAAATTCAGCCTTCATACTGTCGTTAATCTCGGTGACCAACTGGTGAGTCAGTCTGTGGCAGGTTGTTGCAGAGGCTAATACATTTACTCAGCTCTCATGTCTCGAATACATTCACTCACACAATTATGTCCATGGTGATATCAAACCACAGAATGTCATGGTGGGTCTCAACGATTTGAGGCACACTGTCTTTATTATCGACTTCGGTATTGTGAAGGAGTACTGCAACACTTCAACTAGAATGCACATACCATTTCGCCATGATTGATGTCTTACCAGCACCCCTGCATTTGCCTCAATCAACAACCACTTAGGAGTTGAGCCAGGTCGCCGCGACAATCTCGAATCACTGACATATATGTTGATATATTTCTTATGTGGCTCCCTCCCATGGTTATCTGATTGCCATGAGAAGCTTTCTAGTGCTGCCATACTCGAGCATAAAGTAAACACTACCGTTGAAGTCTTGTGTCATGGAATTCCTGTCGAGTTCGCAAGTATTCTCGTTTACTCACGCTCTCTTGCATTCTCAGAGGATCCTGACTATGACTATCTTTGTTCATTACTGCATGGTCTTCGTGCCACATTGCCTGCATCTGCTACGTGCTTGCTCGATTTCAGCAAGCCTGATGATCTTTCCACACATACTCCTGCAATCCCTGATGAATATCGGGTGACCGAGGTGACACCCCCATATCCACTGAAGGCAACGCCTCTTCGCCTGATCAACTCGTATGTGAGTAGTCCATTTCACTCGTGAACTGAAGCTCAAGTTATCTGGAAGTTTACATCCACATAACGGCTCCCAACCACATGCCCCAACTTCAACTCCATGCAGCAAAAGTAGCCGACGCTGTTGATGGAACACATGTAGCTACTAGTACTTATATGTACATAAAATGAACGCATGTATTCACATTGCTACAGCCCCAGTGAGTCTCGTCTAGTCTGGGCTGTAGGATATTTATTATTAGCCAATTATGAGTCTCCCACCGCCATGCTCTAATTGACATTGTGCAGTTATGGAACCTCCATGAGGTACTTGCCATTAAACCAACGAGTCACTTCCCTAAGTTCCCTTTCTGACTTTATTGCAATGTGATATAGATCCAGGCTAGTGTTGCTGTCAAACTGAAGTGACCTTGAGGTAATTTGGGTTCAGTTAGAAATTGAGGTAGTTCGATACAACTTGATTTGTTTACGCCTCGTAGATAAGCATCGAATTATGAATGAACTGCCAAATGAAATGCTAAATCTGGCCTGTGACTTGGTGATTTGTTAGAGTAGTGCTCCATCAACCTCACATCTCTAGCATTTCCTCAATGTATTCTGCTCCTCCATTTCCTGTCCTCGAACCTTTTGGTCTAGAACGTGATTATATGTATTTTCATCGGACCGCAGTACTGCTTTAGCGCCAGAGGACAGGTGCCTGCAATGCTGTACAATACAAATGTTGAGCAATCCTCCAGTGTGGTTAGGTGACCAGTGTCTAGGTCATCATATAAATTCGTGCGTTGTACTGTGAGTTTAGTATTGTATTCACCAAACATGAGTTTTCACCAGTGGAACAGTTCTGCAGCTTCTGCTACTAGTATCTCTTCTGCATCTGAGCAACAGCATCATCACTCTCACCCAGGCTATACAAGTCTGCCATGGTCCGCTGCTCATGCATGTCCACCATTTTACCCTCAAGATGCTCTGCATGAGCTTGAGCGTTATGAGTGTGAACCAGTCACATTCAATGTGGGCGAGCACATGACTGATCTCGTTCGCTTCTGGGAGGTGAGCTCGACTTTTCCTTCACATAAGGAAGGTGCTAAAGTCAGTTTCAGCGCATGGAAAAAGTCTATCCACTATTTTTCTGCATTGCTATGGATGTTCCGCCAGTTCAGGCATCCTTTGTGTTGTGCGAATGTGTATTTTCATCCAGCAAAGAAACATGCACACTCCGTCGAAGCAGATTCTCACCACGAGTATTGGAAGCACTCCAGATTCTCAAGTTGTCTTACAGACAGGAGAGACTATGTTTCACTAGGGAATCAATTGCAAAAGAGGATGACTATCAAATTTCAGGGCCTGTGACATGAAGGGCTGCAGAGGAATTGATACATAGTTACGGGGAATTTTGACGAGCTTGCTGATCTATTACAAAATGTCGACAATGATAATGTAGAATGAAACATAGCCACTTCATATCTACTTCACTTTACAAACACTTCTCATTGGCTGGAGCTTCGAGCCGTATTCATTACACTTCAGTTCATTTCACCTCGACCCATCGAACCTAGAATGAACTCCCACCTCATTTCGATTGGGTTCAGTTCATGGAAACACTAATCCAGGCTCATCCAGCACTCAATCAATCAGCGGCTATGTTCTCCACCCACTACTTCTCTCATGCGATGACCATCCCGGCAATACTACAGTGATATCTGGATACTTAGAAGTTTTTTCTACCTTCCACCTTTGCTCGTAACTACTGCCTACATACTTGTTCTGGGAGAGCTATATGCAGGGGCATTGAACTTTGATTTAGTATGAATGACCAGGAAAAGTGCTTACCGAGCACTGAGCGGTGGTTGAGGTCTTTGCCTCTGATGTAATCGATTATTGATGGGGTTCATGTTAGGTACCGTGCCGACTCAGGAAGCAGAGGGGTCGGGGCTTGGCTTCAGCTCTTGCGCTGCTCCCTTAGCCGAGTATGTTCCCCGAATTTGGAGCAGGTCTGACGTTGTCTGATGGTAGGATGAGTGGACCGCTTTGGTCCGCTTTGAGGGTCGGGGAGTAAGAGCTACTATCAGTGGGCTGACTAGGAGCGGAGCGGAGAAGGTGGGGAGTGATGCGGAGAGTGGATAGGAGCAGGGGGAAATGTTGGTAGGGGCGGGGAAAGCAGAGGACAATGCGGAGGGGCGAAGGAGGATATTTGATAGGGGCGGAGTAATAAGGGAAAGACTTAGAGCACGGCTCTAAGTTGGAGCGGAGGGTTGGAGGGTCAGAGGTGACAACAAGTTGAGACTTGTGTCCAGAGGAGGCAAGGTCCTACTGAGAATTCTCACAAGATGTAACTGCGAGAAGACAAGTAATATTAAGACTGAGGAAAATATCTAAGTACATGATATGTTATATACTACTATGTATGAGGCAGTGACCAGGATAACTATGTTGTAAAGCTATGTACCAAGGATATAGTTTGTAAGTATTTTACACAGGCGAAGACATAAGTCGGAGCGGATATTAATATGTACGCGTCGGATCGGCGATTGGGCGGTAATAGGAATTACCAGTGATCCGGAAGTAAGGGTCTATGTACCGAAGGGGAAAGTATATATCTAAAAGGAGAAAGAGATCCAGTTGAATGGAGAGGTTATGGAAAGGGACCGGTTGAGTGGTTGAGCGGAAGCGTAGGGCGGAATGCGGACTTGTGATTGGATGGAGTGGAGGATGGATGGAGTGGAGGGGGTCGGAAAGTGGAGTGGATATCAATATCGGAGCGGTCAGATCAGGTATATGACAGTTCACTTATATCCCACCCTGCAGTAGCTACTGTGGAAAACTAACAGGGCACCATATATTCCACTCAACATCGATCATGGGCATCTGCTATGGCTAGTCAGCCAATCTGTGCGTCGCGTTTTTATCAGTATTAGGTAGAAACATTTTTCACTCACATTTCCTGCAGGGAATATCCAATCAACAATGCCTTATGTCTAGTTTCAGCACTCAATGAACTGATTGGTCGATCATGAGGGTGAAGGCACGACCCAGGAGTTGCCATGCTGTCTAGACTCTAGACTCTGGCTCTTCACCTTGTATGGCCACCTACACCCTATCACTCAGCGCCCTTTGAACTTTACAAGTAAGCAGTCCAGAACTCCATACTACTTTCTACAGTACTCATTGATGTTTTTCCATTTATATAAAGAGGGATTGCGTTGTTGGGTCTTCATTACTACTAGTCTACTACGGTACTACCAATATGCCACCTCGCCGGCGTGCGCCCAAGGTCGTTGCTGCTGCTGCTCCCATTCCCACTCCAATTGTCACTACCCCCACTGCTGCTGTCACTGCTCCTATACCCATTCCCACTGCTGTTGTTGCTGCTCCCATCTTGGCCCCTGCTGCCATCATCCCCATTGCTGTTGCAGGATTTACAAACCCACATTGAGACCGGCAGCTCCCTCGCAGATATCGAGATGATGATGCAGCTTGTGCTGGTCCAAGTCGCACAGATCCTACAGTGGAAGAAGGGGAGTCTTTCAACCTCGAGGATGTCTCTGCAGACAAAGAAACGGACAACTTGCCTGTACCTACAGTCAGGGCACCTACAGGCCCTAGCCCACTGCAAACTGCAATTCAACACCATCCATTCCACTACAACCAACCCTTTGGCCACCGGTGGTTGCGCCAAAAAACCTAAAAGCTCTGACAATGTTCTTTTCCTTTTTAGGGAAGATAAAGTCACTAAGTGCAGGATCTGCATACCTTGCGAGTAAGTATCACGTCTGTGTCAGTGCAAGACATTTTTTCTTTCTTACATTCTTTACCAGGCAAATGAATCAAGAGGATGCCTCATACCCAGCGACATCATATGCTAACTCTACTGCCTCTGGAGGTCGTCGAACGCACATTTTCAATTGTCACACCAACCTTTACTTAGAAGAGGCAGAGCGCCATGGATGGCAGATACAGATCAAGTCTTTGAATGATCTTTTTGATGAAGGTTGGACCCTTGCGATGATCCATAGACGGCTGAAGAAGGATCCGACTTGTACCATTGATTCACTTGGTTCGCCCTCTGATCGTGATGACACACAGCTCAGGCAGTTAGGACCTCTGCAAGATGAATTACCTGACTTCACCATCAATGAAATGCATCGACAGCTCGTCAAGGTTATTGTTGTTGACGACCAGGTGAGTCACCGACTACTTTCTACAAGCTATTGTTACTAATGTCTTCAGGCAATCAATCTCATTGAATGCCCTGAATTTCGTCAACTGATCCGTCTTCTGCAACCAGAGTTAAACAATTCTGACATCTGTCACCGCACCAAATTGCGGGAATTGATCCTTGACGCTTTCGATGACTACTTCGAGGCCTTAAAGAGCGACCTTGCGGTAAGTGTATTACTGTCGAGAGTCCCATGAAGTGTCTTATATTTTTTCAGAAGGTGCAAGGAAAGATCTTGTTTACCTCCAACTTGTGGTCGGATTCTAATCTCCGTCCATTTATGGTGATCACTGCTCACTGGATTGCCAAAGAAGATTGGACTAACGTGCTCATCTTAAAGGCAGCACTAATAGCTTTTCACCATACCCCAGGGAGTCATGCAGGAGATAGCCTGGGCTCATCCATACAGGGCCTCCTCAATCATGCCAATGTAACAGATAAAGTAAGTATCTAGTTTTTTCAACATGACATGTGCTGACTTCATTTAGTCGGGTCATTTTACTCTCAATAATGCGGGAAACAATCATACTTCCATGCAAGAGTTATTGCGTCTATTGGAGTCGCGCGGGATACATTTTCATCCTGTTGAACAGAGGATCCTGTGCTTTCCTCACATCATCAACATCTGTGTGAGGCATATTCTCAATGACTACTGGAAAGCCGACTTTTCAGGTGTGGTTGACAGATGGGTAGTTGAAGGTAAGACCATCAACAAAGATACATATGTTGAAGCCATCCAAGGCAAAGCCCTGGATCAGGTGAGGCTCCTCATATGCACCATCCGTGCATCAGACAAACAATGTAATAGTTTTAGGGTAATCATTACCACGGGAAATGACGAGAAGTGGTTCCAAGATGACTCAGGTGCAATCATCCAACTCCCTGTCGTGCAACTGCTACATGACGAGCCCACACGTTGGGATTCAACCTACGTCATGCTGAACCATTTACAAACCCTTCGCCAGGTAAGCGTCCACCCCACTAAATACATGGACTAACAGAGAACTAGGCCATGGATTTATTCTGCGACTCCCCCCTTCAATGCCACATGATCAACAAGAAGTTGAGTCTGATGGAATGGCTCGTCCTACAGGATTTCAAAGTGATTTTGGAGGTTGGTACTTACATGTTTGAAACTTGCGATCCATTTTAGCATTTTATATTAGGCGCCGCACACTGCTCAGCAAACGATGTCCAGCAAAAGCACTCCCATACTGAGTGGTGCAGTTCCCACTTTCGAGAAAATGATCCAGTGCTGGAACTGTGCCTTTAGTTAACATAGGGTTGGATTGGACGGACAAGTATGATGATTGCATGAGTGCCATGAACACCTATGCTGTCGCAATGTGTCAGTCCTGCGTGCTTTAATCAAGTTTAACTCTCATCATTCCTCTCATAGTCATTGATCCTACAATGCGCATGTCATGGATGGAAAAACACTGGGGCCAGCAGCGAGCCAAGGATGCCAAGAAGCACATAATAAAACTGGTACATCTATTTCACTAGTAACAGTACAACTCTGAACCTACATCCTGCAGATGCATGGAAAGAGAGGGAAGAACACCTCTGGCTCTGCGCCGTCTCCAATTACTGAAGTGCCATGACGCACACTAGGCGCATGCATCTACAGACTTCCTGATATGGAAACACTGTCAGATTGTCACGATAGTGTCCAAACGGTTGATCAGGAGTTCGAGGCTTACAGTATGGCTACCTAAAGCCCCAAGGGAACAGATATACTATCATTTTGGAGGGTAAGCCTTGTGTCTCTCTTGCGCTTTTGTCATTGACCATGAAGTGTCAACCAGGTGTCTCAGGGCATGTTCCCAACTATTTATGCTGTTGCAATGGACTACCTCCCAACACAGGCATCCGCTGTTCCATGTGAGTGGGTGTTCTCATCAAGTAGCGAGACATACACCAAAAAAAGGAATCACATCAGCCCAGTCCTGATGGAAGCGCTGCAGATCATTAAGTTTATCCTCAAAAAGGAGAGACTTAACTTTACCAAAGGATGGGCGGCATCACAGTGAGACATGGAATATGCGCTGCTATGCGAGATAGGGTCTGACTCTGATGGGTCTTTTACACTTAACACCAGTGGAGTTTCAGGCAACAGTTCTGCACATGACGCTCTTCTCAGTGCTATTGCAATCCAGGAGTGCGACGACATTGAAGATGCTGCTATTATCTATGGCGCATTACATTGATTTTCTCATTTTCGTCAGTTCTGATCTCTTGCTTCTTGTTTACCACTACCTTTACTTGTTCTGGCGCTTGTCCTTTTTATGTTCTCCCGCCCCCATCTCTGCGACACGTTCTCCTGCCCCCGTCTTCACAGATCTATGTCCCATTCTCCTTATCTCTGCTTGTTCCGCTTGTATCTTACAAGCATGATTGAGACTACAATACAACTAATTCGACTTAGCTTTCCAAACATCGGATTAGAAGATTCACTTACGTCGGCTTGGGGACCCATCCTGATTCATGATCGTCAATATCAGATGTGATTTTAGAGTTTGTATTGTGTAGTATCAAGGATCAAATGGTAGTGTTTCCTTTTTGGGCATTTGACCCTAAGTATTATTATTACCAATGTATTTATAATTAAGCACAAATATATATTCTAATTTTAAAGCTGGCTTGAAGCCTGTAAAACAGGTCCATTGACTGGACTGAGCCATATATTACATAAACTATAACTATATTGTGGGTACAACAAGTGCAGCGGAGAGAAATCAATCTACTACACAGTTGGGTCTTTGCTGCCTACTGCCTCACTTGAGAACAAGAATGTTCGACCCTAAAGGGGATTGCTACTGGGGAGTGCTAATCTCTGTCTAAGCGACCCTATTTAACCCTACCGCAGGTAGGATGAGGATCTGCAAAAATGTGGAACAAGCGGAACTAGCGGAACTCAAGCGGAACAAGCAGGACTCAAGTGGAACCCAAGCAGAATGGAACAGAATGAAGCAGAACTCAACTGGATACAATGTGGAACGTAAGGAGTCATCGGAACTTGCAGGTCAAGTTGAAGGAAGTATATCACAAGGTTAGATTGATAGTGGGCATAAGTCAAAGCGGTCCTCTAGTAAGGTGAAGGAAAAGTGGGAAGGTAAAAGATGGGATTTGATAAAAAACACCCAAACCCTCAGTACCACTACTTAAAGGGAATATTATTTTCAAGGAACACTGAGGTACAGGTAGTAAGTTTCTCAGGAAGCGGAAGTGAAGGCAGACAGTGCACATGGGTGCAATACTCCGGAATAGGGGTCTATGCCATAAGGGCATGTGTCAATTTGATCCAGATAATGTTAGGAACAATGGGAAGAGAGATACAGCATACCAATGGACCTGGAAGGATGGGGACAGGACATGCGAAGGTTGTCTGATGATGCACGGGAATATCGGATAGTGCGGGTGGGTTCCGAAGGATGCGCGGGAATGCGGAACCCATCGGACAATGCACGGGAAATGCAGAACAAGCGGAATATGCAGAACTGATGTGAGACGATGCGGAAAGGACGGGGTTTTACACCTACAGTGGGGGAATTCCCCACAACATACACAGCTCGGCTAATTACAGCTCTGCCCACGGCTAAAGCCAACAAAAGCTGGAACCATGGCAACACTAGTTCTGCTGCCTGTATCAGCACAGGCGCAACACCAGCCATGGCCAGAGCAGTAGCTCCTCCAGCGTGCATTGAATGCCCAGAAATAGTCGGTGGGAAAAAATGCTGAAGGTAGCGCATAAACCACGCGTGTGTTGGGATAATCCCAGTGGCTGCCAGCCATAACTGAGGATGGTGGGGAAAGCAATCGTCATGAGCAGCAACATACCTCCGTAACAGTTCCAATGGATCCATCCTAGCGTTTGGTTTGCCTAGCAGCAAAATTTCACATCCTACTCCCAAGGTACTGGTTTTGTGATGAGGCAGGAGGTAGGTTGCTGAACTGTGAGTAAGAGTGAGAGTATGCTGCAAAGGGACTTTGCGATACAATTGATGTTTCTTTGCATTAGGCCAACATAACTTGGCTAAATGTTGGAGAGTCTTGAACCCTGTAACGAGCAGGGCAATGAACAACATGTCATCATAGTCTGTTGATGAACTGAGCACATCCACTATGAGGGCAAGGTCATCAATAGTCAGAGGTTGTTTGTGCTGAACAGGTCTAGACAAGCGCCGTTTGCAACCTTTAAGGGTACAGGTCACAAGTAGCGACTTGCGAGCCTCACACACATGTGGGAAATGGTCTTCAAGTCAATTGACAATTCCAGAGAGGTAAGAGTCGACCGAGCATGGTTAAATGTGATGCGACAACCAGATGACGAAGAATGAAAGTGTATCCTCTGTCGGTTCAACTGCCCGACCATGGAGATGACAAAAATTAAGGTACAAATTAAGGTGTGAATCATAAGCGGATGCTGTTGTGGATTCTATCGCACAGCCAAGGGCCAGAGAACACTTGAATTGCAAGTGCTCAAGCATCCAGGCTTCCCTTAAGGGTTGCCTGGACTGAGTAGGAAGGTTCATTTTGGTCCGCCCCCAATGCATCCCGAGGGGGTTCAAAGTCGAAGATCTGAGCTGTTGGCACGAGGTCTTTGACCAGCTCATTATGAAAGTGAGAGAGGGCGTCAGCAATAACATTCTGCTGTCCCAGTATATGTTCAACCCAAAGATCTATACCGTACGCAATCAGGACATCCACCGAAGAGAGTAGCAATGAGTTGTAGACAGGTTTGGCACGGAGAGAGTCAAACATAGCCACGGTGTTGGAATTATCCATATAAATGAGGAGTTTTGCCGGTGGGTCATCCATGTTTATCACCAAGTGGATAGCTGAACATACCGCTAAGGCTTCAAAAAAGAAGATAGTGTCATGAGGACCATCGGGAGGCAAGCGGCATTAGCAGGCGAAGTTATCATCTGGAAACCAGAGACCTAATCCAGCCGCTGACATGTCTGTGTAGACCACTACCACATCATCCCGTAAGGGATCGAAATCTAGGCATTTGAAGAAATGTAATCCGTCGGAACGTTCAATATGGTCAGCCAGCCAATGTAGCTTGCGGAGTAGCGCATTGTTAGTGTGTATCTGAGCAAAAGTGTTGGTCTTCCCCTGGATCTTGTTGTAGAGCACCGACAGACCAGGTTTCAACAGCGGGAAGACGTTAAAGCTCCACTCACACCAACCTGCAAGATGTTGGAATTTGTGCAGGGTCCAATGGTGATTCTTGTGGGCAAAATGATGCAGCTCGACAACTAACTCAGCTTTCTTGTGATCCAGCAGCGACACCCTCATAGTGTTTGGGTCTACATTGAAGCCGATTACAGTCAAGGAAGTACCAAAAAGTTGTTTGGGCCGCTCATGCAGCAGGTTGAGTTCATCCCATAATTGCAAGAGATGAGTTTGTTTTGCGGGGAAGCAACAGTCGTAAGGCACATAATAAAGGACTCGATCCGAGATCTCAAAAGAAAAGGAGTTGTCCATGTAAGTTTTGAGAGTGTCAATGAAGGCGCAATGAATGGCGATCCAAGCTACAAGAGACATAAATGAAATCCATACTTTGGGGGATCCTCTACCATCAAAGTTATTGTTCCGATCAACGTGTCTTTGTCCATGGATGGTCAAGATTTGCTTTACTTGCCATAGAGGATGCATGGGCAGCCGACGAAAGGCTTGTGAAACGTCAGACTTGAACATTACCAGCTCTATGTTAGGGTGTTGCTTGCAAAAGCGAAGTAACAACACTCCAAGTGAGTGCAAACCATCAAGTTTAGTACCTTTGATAGCATCACGTTCAATCATGGAGTTCAGGGAGTAATTGCCCACAGTGTGATCTACAACCAGGCAAAGTTTGTCAGAGTTTGGTTTTGGTACAGTGTGCATTGGGACACTATACATGCCCGGGTAAAGTTCAGTGCCAAAGCTCTCCGATAGTCGCCCTAAACGTATCTCCTCACATATTTGATCCTCAATGAAGCGAAGCTGGTCGTTTGATTTAGCACATGTGTGTGATGAGTTGTCATTGATAGAAGGATACGAATCATCAGAGGTATCAGCCCAAGGCCAGAAACCTTGATGCAATGCTTGACAAACAGACTTAACGAAAGGTTGATTCGGGTGGTCCAAAAGAAGCTCTTTGAACCGGTCAACGTTAATAGGTGTCACAATACGAAAGAGGTCGGGTCTCTGAGCGATGGTCCGTGCAGCATCACTGTCAGAGATCTCATTCAATGGTGGTAAAGGTACAGGTTCTGCATATTCTGAAGAATGTGTGGTCGGACTAAAAGTAGCATCTGTGGGTGACCAAATAAGTCCCTGTCTATGACATGGGCGTTTAAATGGTGGTTCATGCGGACTTGGGCTTCGACTCTTCAAAGTGCTTCACTTCTGTGTGACGCCTTGCATAGAGTCTTCCGTCTTGTGAGTACGAGCAAACATGCGCATACCAACAGGTTTGAGCACTGTGGGTACATTCTCCCACATTCCATTTATGACAGGGTTCTCACCAACTGAAGACAGATTTGGCCCATGCAGGTGCACCAGATGCAGATTGCTTATCTTCGTCGCAGTGTCTGCCATTAGATTGGAAGTGGGACTTGTAGATGTTGGTGAAGGCTGCGAAGTCGGATAGTTCAACTCTGCACAAGTTCGCGGCTCGGTTCCTGATGGCTTTATCAAAGCAAATAATTCTTTCATGGGTTCGCTCGAGTCTGCGGTCAAATTTGTCATTGATATATTCTCCATACGCAGTGAGCTCATCCTCTCGATAAGGGAAAGCAAACTTAATGGCTCTTGCAGTCCTGTTCCATGCCGCAGACCATTGCACAGCAGTTGTGATTTTCTTCGACACTGCTTCTGAAGTTCCAGAGAACTTGATCTCAATATCTTTGATCATCTCGGTACATTTGTCAATGGTATGTGAGGAAGAGATGATGGAATGTATGGCGTCGAGGTTAACACATTTACTGGCAACAATTTCTGCCCATCTGGATTCATGGAATTCTGGGCAGCAACGGTGATACATGAGTTGTCATCGTACTTCTTTGGGGTCTTGAGACCAGTTAAGGAGGATTTTGTTAGTACGTGTGAGGTTTGCGGAGAGCTGACCTCCTCTAAAGGATTGTTCGGCTCATCCAAGACAGGTGAGATCCAACTTGCATCGCTTTCGAGCAGGTTCATCCTGCTCAGTGCTTTGCTCCCGTTGAAGTCCATCCTCTCTAGGAGCAATGGAGTCCCTATCTTCAGAGCATCATGCATCTCCTGATTCACGAGAGGCTCTAGATCTTTCAAGTTCTCTCGACCATTCGTCGAGCATGTCAAAGTATGGTGTGGCAATAAAAGATTCAGCTTGGTCTGAGGCTTTGTTGGTTGCTGATACAACAGTCTTTGCGATAGTGACAATTGCTTCTTGTTTTGTGATGATGCCCTGTTTGTAGTCATCAACTGTGCTGAGGCACTTCTCCACCAACTCTTGTTGGGATACAACCGATCTTCCAGCATTGGCTTGAGACGAAGTCCCTGATCTTCCCAGTCCCATAAGAGATGACTGAGTGTTTGAAGTGGCATTCTGAGAGTCTGACATGGAGGTACGACCAAATTTAGTGTGAAAGCGAAATTCAATAAATAACTTAAATTATGGCGCAGGAACATGCACGAGCAGGAGTGCTCAACACTGATGGCAGCAAGGACGAAAAGACTGTCGAACTGAAGTCCGTGCCACCAGTGTTTAGGAGAGTCAGGTCACAAGCATGTGTCACCATTAGTCGTGACGAGCATGCACACAGACCAGGACTCGGCTAGAACCGAGTGCGAGCATTGATTCAACTTGTTTAAACTAATTAAAACTCGATGAAAGATGTGCTTGTTGACATCATGATCACTCCAGGGATCACCAGTCTGTTTCCAGGTAGAGATATCCCAAGAGCGGATGATGGCATCATTGAAATCACCTGCTGAGAGGAGATGGGCGCCATCACGAGTCCTGGTGAGTGTGAGGTTATACATCAGCAAATGTGCAGAGGGTCCTGGATGGCCTGGAGAGTCTGGCTCCAGGTTATCAGGCTACCTGATTCGAGCCTGTGTCCACATGAATCTGCCATGACCAGATTGACATGACTGATACCAGATCACTACCAGATAGCTTACAGATCACAACCACCCGCGGACCAGACATGATGATAAAATCAATACATTCGATCATATTCAGTAGCGAAAAATGTAGAATAATACCAGTGGTAATACTTGGCGCTGTTTTAATACTCAGCACTGTTTGGTCAATGACATGAGGCACTTGGGAAATAATCAGACCAGTACAATTGTGACTCGGTAAGACTCACCAGCCTAAGGATTCTCTTCATCGTCATCCGAGGTAACATGGGCACAATGGGCAAGAGAGTCTTCACCTACCAGCTCCCACATTCCATCCACGATCTGATCCCACTTTTTATCAGGGAGTTGAGCCGTCTGGAGGGAGTACTGCATAGCGACACTGCCCCATGCTGCATCGAAGGAAACATTTTTCATGGGCTGGGAAGGGAGACCAGCGCGCTTCGCCTCCTTTGCAGCTTCTTTTGCAGAATCACCATCTTTGTACAAAAACAGTGCATGGTGCACCTGCAAAATGGAGGTTAGTAGGACTTTAACCAATGATTTGGGACTCACCGCAGCCGCACAAACCCCCAATGCACCTGCAGGTTTCCCAAAGGCTTGAAATGACATTCCACAACGCCTCGCATGTGCCGCAAGTAACTCCAGGAGCATGGGAGCCAACCATGATTGTTTCAGACTCTGTGACACCATGAGGACAATGACCAATAATGATTCTAAGTGACACTGACTTGGACATACCTCCTGATCTGCATAAATGAATGGTACACATTTTTGACCATCTATTTTTTGAGGCAGGCAACCTTGGACAAATTTGATACGAGCGTTGGTGTCAAGTCGATATTCTGCTTTTTTGAGTTCGCGTTCAAGAATCTTGATGGCACTTTTCCTGAACATACTCCAGCCACTCATTCAGCCGGTCCGTTGCCTCAAAGTGGAAGTTACATCAGCATTCAAGGCACCTAAACTGACTATACATACCACTTTCTTGATAGCAGGACACTTCGTGACATCAACCTTATTGTGCACGAAGAGAAGATCCCACAATTCCTGCAGCTTGCTAGAGACCTCTGGGTGTTCGTTTGTACCGAAGGGATCAGTGGTTGTCCCAGCCCAATCGATCAGTGCACAGATCAATCGTGCCCATATCTCATTGTCCATCTTATCCACAAAAGGTAGGTCTTCAAGCTTTAACTTCTTGAGTGGCTTTGATTTATCTGAGCGCTTGATTTCTTCCACAACAGCATTGTCAGCTCCCTTTCACATCAATGTCAAGCCCATCTGAATGCAACAGATGTGTCAGTAAACACTCATGTAAGTAGCGGTTGGGTACATTAGCAGTGACTCGCGCTGACTTGGTTCCCGTGGCACCAATTTCCTTTGGCAGTTTGGGGTTGCTGCCCTTCTTCTTGCGAGTCGCAGTGTTATGATCAATGTTTCACCAAATGGCAAAAGGTATCACACGACCACTAGGACTCGTCAAGGATGAGAGAATCAGATAGATTGAGAGGTAAACGTCTGAGTCTACACTGGGTAGGAACGAAGAGGTTAAGTCTAAAGAGAAACTACGCTAACTACCCTACCTATATACATAACATTGAGTTGGAGATATCTGAGTCTGTAAATAATCAGCCAATGAGAAAGAATCAGTACGATACTGCGCATGACGTAGTATGACGTCGCAATATATAAGCAATGATGTCAGAGACGGAGATTAAGTGACAGGAAGACATATGGTTCTAGCCCTGGGCATAGGGGATCCGATCGGAGATGTGATTGGTGAAATGTGAAGGGGTGAAGCTGTGACATGGTGATGATGTGATGATGTGAAAGGTAGTGGTGTCACGTGACCGGTTCGGGTACGAGCAGTAGCCGAAGGAAAACCGAGAAATGAAAAATGATTCGTATTGGGAATTCGTGACACGCAGCCAGTGACTCTGGTGTCTCATTGTGGGCAAACTCTCCATCTTCATCTCCTTCAGTTGTTGGTGTGGTCATGCTGCTGCGAGATGATGCACAAGACATTGAACGGGAACGTGTCTCTGAGGCTGCAGGTACAAGTTCTTCATCTGAAACTCTAGTCGAACTGTACCTCACCGATTTTGTTGTCAACCCTGACAATTTTCTTCCAGTCAGCTTGCAAGTTACTCAAATGTGCACCCTTCGCACATTTAGTCTGCGATGAACCACTGCTACTTTGTTGCTCGGTAAGTCGATCAGAAATTTGGGTCCATATTCAACACTGACCATTCCGCTGTGTCAGTTTCTTGTGATTCGGTCCCCTTGCGCTTCCTGACTGTTATTCCCACTGTTGCTGTGGTCTTCCTTGCCTTCATGATTTCTTCTCGTAAGACCTGTTTCTGGATAGGTAAGAGTTGTTGCGCATCTATAGCATAGAATCACATTGACTCACTTTCTCTTTTGATGCAGTGCTTTTCTTACCCTTCCAAGGCTTGCGGACTTCTTCTTCGACACTACTACTGTCATGCTCCTCAGGCTCGTCATCTTTGCTATTATCGCCAGTGCCTCCCTCGGAGCTTTGGGACTCTGAGTTGTCAGATGGCTGAAAAGCTTCATCTGACTCTGGATCCTCATCATTGCTGGCAGCTGTTTGGGATCAGGTAAGCTCATGTTTGACTGACTCCGACGGACAGCAACTTGACCTGTTGCAACAGAATAGTAACCCTTGGCCTTGTGAGTGGATCTGTCTGCCTGTGGGCAATAGGGGGGGGTAGCTTTGCCATAATTGCAATCGTCTCTTTTCAGTGAGTCTTCCATCGCAGCAATGTGTTCGATGCCTTCTTGATGTTCCTTCTCTACTTTAGCTGCTTCTTCCTGGTTTTTTGCTGCTGCTGCAGCATCTTGGGCTTGCTTTTCAGCTGGTGTTCGGCGCTTGGTTTTACCCTCGAGTAGAACTTTGGCAGGATGAGTATTTGCATTTGAGTGACTTGGCCGAGTCATGATAAAGTTGAAGGGATACTTGTTGGACTCTGATGTGCTGTCAAAAATTTTCCAAGGTTTGTTTCCTGCAAACAAACTGTCTTACCAATATCTTGCACCGGACTTATCACTCAGGCCCCTCCCAATAGCATTATGCTGAGCCAACTCGCTTGTTCATTCACTGGATGTCCTGAAACCTTCAAATCTCAACGTGGCTGGATGAAACACATTCACACCTATCATGGTTCTGTTGATGCCATCCCGAAATCCAACTTCTGCTGACTCAAACCCTCATTCTGACTTGGACCCCCAAGATTTCAATTTCAATTTCGACCATGACCTCATCAATGATGACTATTTCAATGATCACAGCCCTCAGCCTGAAGGTCACTCCAATCAACATCAATCACAGTACATACCTCACCCACATCTCCGTGGTAAGTCAAATACAATCATGTCTTCGACTTCGAACAGATGTAAAGTTGAACACTCTCTAGGTGACCCTTGCGACCTTGAAGGCAACCCTCTTCCTCCAAATGCCCCCAAGCCTGCGCGCTATGTAGGTCCTCAAGACAGCTGGGCACCCTTTGGGGATCAAGCCTAATACTTACTCACAGACTTCTTGTTCCAAAAAGAGGAGATGTCTGCCCCCAACATTGATTTTCTGATGGAGTTGTGGGCATTCAAAGCAGCCAAGTACGAAGAGGACAGCCCATTTAAATCTCACCGCGATGTATATGCCACAATCGATGCGATCCATGCGGGTGATGTGCCTTGGGAATGTTTCTCTGTAACACCACAACATGACCTTGATGAGTCGGACATGCCCCGGTGGCAACAGACTGAATATCAAGTATGGTATCGAGATCCTGATGCTGTCATACAGGCCATGCTGGCAAACCCTGACTTTGCTGGGCAGTTTGATTATGCCCCATATGTTCATTATGACCAGTCGGGGAAGCGTCATTGGAAGGACTTCATGTCTGGCAACTATGCGTGGAGCAAGTCTGTGAGTATCCTGGCTTATATTCTTCATAAATATCTAACCGACGTTGGTGCTTGCAGGATACAATATATGAGAATGATCCATCAACAGATGGATCCATGTACATTGGAGTCATCCTTGGAAGTGACAAAACAACAGTATCCATTGCCACTGGTCATGTCGAGTATCATCTGTTGTATTTGTCAATCGGAAATCCACATAATTGCATCAGGCAAGCTCACTGTAATGCAGTCACTTCAATTGGGTTTCTTGCCATTCCAAAGGGTACATGAAATAGTTCTATTGTGTGCCCTTTTGACACTATTTTTCAGCTGATTGCAAATATGATAATGATGCTCAATTTTGAACCTTCAAGTGCCAGCTTTATCATTCATCCCTGGCGGCCATCCTCAAGTCACTTGAAGGTCCAATGACGAAGCCAATTGTCCGACAATGCCCCGATGGACATTTTCGTTGAGTCATCTATGACTTGGCAGCTTTTATTGCGGACTATCCTGAACAAGTGATGCTTGCGGGTATTGTGCAAAATTGGTGTGTGAAGTAAGTGGACTGCGGACTAGCTTTGATAGCTTTGTTTGACTTATGCTTGGTTACAGGTGCACTGCACTGCCTGAGGATCTTGATGGGAGCACTGCTGAGCGTCGGTCTCAAGAATATACTGATGTGCTGGTTGAAACTTTCAATTCAGATGTGTTGTGGGATCAGTATGGGATAGATGATGATATTGTAGTAAGTGTTGTAGAACTCTGGAATTTGCATGTGTGTTTGATGAAATGGTCCCTTTAGCCCTTTACAAACGATTTTCCATGTGCGGACATCCATGAAATGCTGTCGCCGGACCTCCTTCATCAAGTTATCAAGGGATGCTTCAAGGATCATCTGGTGACTTGGACTGGCAAGTATCTGAAGGAAGTCCATGGTGAGGCATGTGCCAATGAGATCATTGATGATATAGATCACCGGTGCGTCATACTTCTTGCAGCTGCCAGAGTGGTACTGATCTGCTTGACATGGACTTGCAGAATTGCTGCTACACCAGCTTTCCCTGGCCTGCAAAGGTTTCCTGAGGGTCGCCGCTTTAAACAATGGACTGGGGATGACTTGAAGGCATTAATGAAGGTAATGCTCATCATATTCTGTCCAAAATCTAATTTATTCACACTTGTACACTGACAGGTATACATCCCTGCAATTGTAGAATATGTTCCTCCCCAGCTTGTTGAGTGCCTCAGTGCATTCCTCAATTTTTGCTACCTTGTACGACGGTCCGAACTTGGAGAAGACTCCTTGGCGGAAATCAAACAGGCACTACACAATTTTCATGAGGCCCACGAGATTTTTCGTGACTCTGGGGTCCGGCCAAAGGGTTTCGCGCTGCCACGTCAGCATTCAATGGTACACTATATCCGTCTGATTCAAGAATTTGGAGCTCCGAATGGCCTATGCTCATCAATCACCGAGTCTCGCCACATCACAGCAGTCAAGAAGCCATGGCGTCGATCGAATCGGTATGATGCACTTGGCCAGATGCTGCTCACAAACCAGCGGCTGGACAAGCTTGCAGCCGCACATGTTGACTTTGTGGCACGAGGACTTCTGCCAGCCTCACATGGGCCCCCACCCAGGCGTGGCCTTGACTTTGTGGATGAGGGTATTGATAATGATGCACCAGACATCGAAAGAGTCCAAGGATCGGTTGTTTTGGCACGCACACCTCGTACGTCTTTTTGCAGTATATGTGAATACATCAATTCTAATCACATCTACAAACATGCAGAACGTGGCTATCCTCGGACACTCGAGACACTTGCAGTGCATCTCCAGCAGCCCAACCTTCCCTTACTTGCTTGCAAGTTCCTTTACAGCCAATTGAACCCTGGCACAGCTCAGATCGACTGGAATCACTTACCACAAATCGACACATAATGCAGTAACATATACCCGTCTCAGACGGGCAGCCGGGTGTGACAATGTGCTGATAGAGACGGGCCACCCGGTGCTGGCCCATGGCAATAATTGTACCGTGTTAGACGAGTGGGCCGAGGGGGTGGAGTGTCCAAGGCAAATGGATGGGCCGGGTGTATATAGTATAGATGGTAGTATAGCAATGTACTATATAGGAAATTATGAATAGTAGTAGTGAATCCGGTGTGTGATAGATGAGTGGGCCGGAGGAATGGAGTGCAATATAGACGAGTGGGCCGGGGAACTGGGGTGTGATGGAGATGAGTGGGCCGGTAAATGAGGTGCAATGGAGACGAGTGGGCCGGTACATAAGGTGCAATGAAGACGAGGGGGCCGGAGAATAGGGTGCAATTGAGACGAGTGGGCCGGTATAGCAGGTGCAATGGAGATGGGTGGGCCGGTAAATAAGGTGCAATTAAGACAAGTGGGCCAGTATAGCAGGTGCAATGGAGACGGGTGGGCCGGTATAGCAGGTGCAATGGAGACGGGTGGGCCGGTAAAGGAGGTGCAATGAGGACGAGTCGGCCGGTGTTATTGGGTGCAATGAAGACGAGTCGGCCGGTGATATGGGGTGCAATGAAGACGAGCTGGCCGGTGATATGGGGTGCAATGAAGATGAGTGGGCCGGTGATATGGGGTGCAATGAAGACGGGTAGGCCGGCATTATAGGGCGCAATGGAGATGGGTGGGCCGGTGATATAGGGTGCAATGAAGACGAGTGGGCCGGTGATATGGGGTGCAATGAAGACGGGTGGGCCGGCATGATAGGGTGCAATGGAGATGGGTGGGCCAGTATTATGGGGTGCAACAACGACCGGTATTTATGTAACCGGTTGCTTGTGGTAACATAGCACTCAATCCGGCGATTCCACTGGTGGTCTGATCATGTAAAATGGTTAAGATTTGACAAAGTTATGAGCCCTACAAGGGAAAGCCATAAATTTAGAGGATATTATGATATATTGTATCTAGACCATTGCAACCGGTATTTTTTGACCGGTAGTTATGTGACCAGTTGCTTGTGGTGACATAGCACTCAGTCCGGTGATTCCACCGGTGGTCTGACCATGTAACATAGTTAAGATTTGACAAAGTTAGGAGCCTTACAAGAGAAAGTCACAAAGTCAGAGGATATATCATATCTAGACCATTGTGACCGGGATTTTTTGACCGGTAGTTATGTGACCAGTTGCTTGTGGTGACATAGCACTCAGTCCGGTGATTCCACCGGTGGTCTGACCATGTAAAATGGTTAAGATTTGACAAAGTTATGAGTCTTACAACAAGAGAAAGTGACAATTTCAGAGGATATATCATGTCTAGACCATTGTGTCCGGTATTTATGTGACCGGTTGTTTATAGTAAAACATAGCACTCAATCTGGTGATTCCACTGGTGGTCTGACCATGTAAAATGGTTAAGATTTGACAAAGTTATGAGCCCTACAAGAGAAAGCCATAAATTTAGAGGATATTATGATGTATTGTATCTAGACCATTGCAACCGGTATTTTTTGACCGGTATTTACGTGACCGGTTGCTTGTGGTAATGTAGCACTCAATCCGGTGATTCCACCGGTGGTCTGACCATGTAAAATGGTTAAGATTTGACAAAGTTATGAGCCTTACAACAAGAGAAAGTGACAATTTCAGAGGATATATCATGTCTAGACCATTGTGACCGGTATTTATGAGTGCTACAAGAAAAAGTCACAAATTCACTGGCAGAGGATATATGATATCTAGACCATTGTGACCAGGATTTTTCAACCAGTAGTTATGTGACCAGTTGCTTGTGGTAGCATAGCACTCAATCCGGTGATTCCACCGGTGGTCTGATCATGTAAAATGGTTAATATTTGACAAAGTTATGAGTGCTACAAGAAAAAGTCACAAATTCACTGGCAGAGGATATATGATATCTAGACCATTGTGACCGGTATTTTTTGACCGGTAGTTATGTGACCGGTTGCTTGTGGTAACATAGCACTCAATCCGGCGATTTTACCGGTGGTCTGATCATGTAAAATGGTCAAGATTTGACAAAGTTATGAGCCTTACAAGAGAAAGCCACACATTCAGAGGATATGTTATATCTAGACCAGTGTGTCTCCAGCTCTACCTTAGGGTAGTTTACCTCTGTTCCATTTCTACTACAGACTTGTCCACAGCAGTCTTACTCTGGGTTTCCTTGAACCTCTGGAGTTCCGCCGAACTCCCCTAGTGTCTGACCTCTGGAAACCTCTGGACTTTGTTGGACTTCCCTCCTGCCTCTCATAAATTAAGGGCACATACTCGGGTAAGGGGTGCAGCACACAAGCTGAAGTCAAGCCCTTTGAGTTCTCCTTCCTTTGAGCATGATCTTAACATCCACAGACAAAACCTTGTGATGCTGTGTACTCACCCTCTCCTGGTGGTCCATCCTCTGGGAAAGGTTTTCCTACAGGAACACAGCTGCAGAATGATATGGGGACCATTCCTAGACAGATTTAGAGTATGTACACCAGGTTGGTACATCAGGATACCTACAGAATCCTTCTATACAGGCTAAAACTTCTAAGATTGCAGTTGTCACATTTTTGGTGTTTTCCCCTACTTTACCATTGCATAAATGATCCAGACTACTCATATATTATCCTTACTACATATATACCTACTTCTCATCCCAAGGATCAGTTAGAAATATGGTATAATATTGTTATCTAAGGGAAAGGGGGTATGTGTACTGATAAGGGGCCTACATTCTCCAATAGACACAATCTAGTAATCAGATGCTTGCAATATATTCTAAGCATGGTCAATATCATGGTCTCAGATTTATAAAAGGATCCACTAACAGTTGAGAGCTAGGGCAGTGAAATATCTCTGAAATAGAGTGTGGGAAAGTCCAAAAGCCCAAAACATCGAAACTCACCAGTTTGGTGTATATGTAGTGGTTGGACTTTTACTTACCAATCCTAATATTTCCTCACCACACTCTTCTACAAAGACTTTACCTTCAGGGCAATGTGTATTTTAGGTTCATTATGTAGTCTACTATACATACTACTGCATTTTTAATAAAATCTTTGGTGTGTGTGATATGTGTCAGTGACTTTCAGTGACAGGGGTAAATTGTCATATGTCAAGCCTATGTTGTTTTACTTATCTTACCGTCAATACTTGAGGGATCTTTCCAGAAATTTAGGACCATGACTAGGGATATACATGGGACATATCCCAAGTGTCTGATTACCAATAACATCCTTGATAGTGTTGGAGGGTTCTTATCAGTTATGTTTTCATGTATATATGCTATATTGTTTGATGTAGCCCTTCAGGGGGTCAACTAAGTGGTGGAATATGTTAATATATACTCCTAAATATGTTTTGACAGTGCTAGAACACTCTCCTATCAAAGGGGCAAAATGGAATCCCCTGATTGAGTGCTACATTACCACAAGCAACCGGTTGCAAAAATACTGATTACAATGGTCCAGATATAAGCTGATACAACACTGTATCCTTTGAATTTATGACTTGGTCTTATAAGGCTCAGAACTTTGTCAAATCTTGACCATTTTACATGATCAGACTACCAGTGGAATCACCAGATTGAGTACTATATTACTGCAAGCAACTGTTCACAAAAATACCGGTCACAATGGTCTAAATATAACATCCTCTAAATCTGTGGCTTTATCTTGTAAGGCTCATAAGTTTGTCAGATCTTAATGATTTTGCATGGTCAGACCACCGGTGGAATCACCGGATTGAGTGCTATGTTACCACAAGCAACCGGTCACATAACTACCGGTCAAAAAATACCGGTCACAATGGTCTAGATATCACATATGCTCTGACTTTGTGACTTTCTCTTGTAAGGCTCCTAACATTGTCAAATATCAACCATTGTACATGGTCAGACCACTGGTGGAATCACCAGATTGAGTGCTATGCTACCACAAGCAACTGGTCACAATACTGTAGATATCATATATCCTCTAAATTCATGACTTTCTCTTGTAGGGCTCATGACTTTCTCAAATCTTGACCATTTTACATGATCAGACCACCGGTAAAATCGCCGGATTGAGTGCTATGTTACCACAAGCAACCGGTCACATAACTTCCGGTTGAAAAATCCCGGTCACAATGGTCTAGATATGATATATCCTCTGACTTTGTGACTTTCTCTTGTAAGGCTCCTAACTTTGTCAAATCTTAACTATGTTACATGGTCAGACCACCGGTGGAATCACCGGACTGAGTGCTATGTCACCACAAGCAACTGGTCACATAACTACCGGTCAAAAAATACCGGTTGCAATGGTCTAGATACAATATATCATAATATCCTCTAAATTTATGGCTTTCCCTTGTAGGGCTCATAACTTTGTCAAATCTTAACCATTTTACATGATCAGACCACCAGTGGAATCGCCGGATTGAGTGCTATGTTACCACAAGCAACCGGTTACATAAATACCGGTCGTTGTTGCACCCCATAATACTGGCCCACCCATCTCCATTGCACCCTATCATGCCGGCCCACCCGTCTTCATTGCACCCCATATCACCGGCCCACTCGTCTTCATTGCACCCTATATCACCGGCCCACCCATCTCCATTGCGCCCTATAATGCCGGCCTACCCGTCTTCATTGCACCCCATATCACCGGCCCACTCATCTTCATTGCACCCCATATCACCGGCCAGCTCGTCTTCATTGCACCCCATATCACCGGCCGACTCGTCTTCATTGCACCCAATAACACCGGCCGACTCGTCCTCATTGCACCTCCTTTACCGGCCCACCCGTCTCCATTGCACCTGCTATACCGGCCCACCCGTCTCCATTGCACCTGCTATACTGGCCCACTTGTCTTAATTGCACCTTATTTACCGGCCCACCCATCTCCATTGCACCTGCTATACCGGCCCACTCGTCTCAATTGCACCCTATTCTCCGGCCCCCTCGTCTTCATTGCACCTTATGTACCGGCCCACTCGTCTCCATTGCACCTCATTTACCGGCCCACTCATCTCCATCACACCCCAGTTCCCCGGCCCACTCGTCTATATTGCACTCCATTCCTCCGGCCCACTCATCTATCACACACCGGATTCACTACTACTATTCATAATTTCCTATATAGTACATTGCTATACTACCATCTATACTATATACACCCGGCCCATCCATTTGCCTTGGACACTCCACCCCCTCGGCCCACTCGTCTAACACGGTACAATTATTGCCATGGGCCAGCACCGGGTGGCCCGTCTCTATTGGTACATTGTCACGCCCGGCTGCCCATCTGAGACGGGTAGTGATGGAAAGGTTCGGTCCTGGACCGCAGTTCGAACCGGACTTTTGGTGAACCGGACTGCGGTTCAGTCCAACGTTCAAGGACCATGGAGAACCGAACTGAGGGTTCGGTTCTCCGTTCGATAGCTCGAGAACTGTCTTGAACGCGTCCGAACGCGTCCGAACGCTGAACGGGAGCATACATTTTGATGCAGTAAGATTACTGTTAGTAACACTAACAGAGCGTGACCTAATTATAGCTCAGCAACATCGTGTCAGCTTATGATACGGATTGATCAACTCATTTTGTTACCACCACACTGGCACAATTCGACGTCGGAAATCTTTCAAGCAATCTCGTGTTGTGAAGAACTCTGATCGCATCAGGAGTTCAGATTTACAGGTACTCTGTAGCGCAGGTTTTGTATCCATTTGTACTAATCACTCGACAGTCGAAGCTCCATGTAGACTCTGGAGCACTCAACGATCGAGCCAGGCACCATTTGGCACACACCACGCAGACTTAAAAGTGAGCATTTCAACGTGAATTTGCTAACATTGTGTTCTCAATATGCTGCTGAATGACCAGTGTGCTGTAGGTGCTAATGGTACTCTCCTCGATGCCAAGGATATTACCTGGTTTCACGATCCGGATGACGACACCCCGCTGCCCAGTACTTCTTGCATGTCTTTGCCATCCCCTGCTGTCATCGTCGCAGGATCACGTCGCTCTGCACGTGTTCCACGCCCTGCGTCCAAACTTACTGACCCCAATAACGCTGTTTTGGGCAAACGCAAGGCTACCCATCAAGTGGTCGTTAGCGAGAGCGAGGACGAGTCCAACGAGGATGCAGTGGCCGAAGTCCCTGAATGGGACGATGATGAGGACACACATACCGTCGGTACCGATGATGCAGATGTCGACGATGCCCCCCCATCAACATACCAGCAAACCAAAGAGATGGGTGATGCGGACCGTGAGGTAAGTGAATCTTTCAAGTTTGTGCCTTCTAACAAATTGATTTCTCTGTGCAGGGTGCCAAATGACGTAAAAGTGACTTGACGGCAGATATTCGGACCATTTTCACCCGCGAAGCGAAAGCTATCAACCCCGATACTGGCAAGGAAGAGGACGGGCACTGGTGTGAGGTTTGCAAGTAAGTTTGGGACATTTTGTGCTGCTTCGCCTTTGATAACTTTCGCTTTTCAGGGCAAATGGGGTTGCCCGCAAGTTTAGTTTTTTGAAGGGCAGTGTCACTTCCCTTCGTGCTCATATTCAGAGGTAAGTCATCTGTTATATTTTCCACATATACCTGACAGCGTGCTATTCAGACATAAGGATCATACAAAGCTCTATAAAGATCGCTGCTGCAGGCGCGGAATTCAGCCACATGTGCGTGCGCTACCTTCGGATGACATGCTGTACGTGATCTATTGCATTTTGCTATGTATCTAACGAAGATCCTGATTTTAGCTCTAATCAGAAGACTTTGGACAGCGCAGTTGTAAAAGAGCATCGTGCACCAGCATTCACTACTGCTGGATTGCTGGACTACATTGTGGAACTGATTGTTGCCGAAGATGAAGCCTTCCAACTCGTGGATAAGGGTGCTTTTCGGCGACTTCTCACATACACTCGCCCAGGTCTCTCTGAGAAAGATATCCCACGCCGTCATAAAGTACGCGAAGAGATTGTTCATTGTGCTAAGATAGCCGAGTCTCAGATCCGCGAGCATCTCAAGGAAATTCCTGGGCGAGTGTCCTTCACGTTTGATTCTTGGACTTCGGACAGTGGCAATCCATACCTGTCAGTCACAGGTCACTATATTGATGCACCTGCGGATGCCCCGCATGAGTGGGAACTTAAGTGTGACCAACTTTCTTTCACGTCTATCGAAGGCAATCACTCAGGAGACAACGTTGGTAACATCCTGGTTCGAGTGGTGGACCGTTTTGAGTTGCGAAAGAAGGTATTGCATTTCAACACCCCCACTTAATCTTAATTAATGTATATCATGTATAGATTGGGTGGTTTACGGCTGACAATGCTACGAACAACGATTCAGCACTCAAGACATTTGCCGAAGTTGTCCCTGAAGCTGGGATCGAAGACTATCGTCAGCGTAGAGTTAGGTGTATGGAGCATGCAATCAATGTTGCGGCGGGCCATTTTTCACGGGCTGTTGGACCTACGAGCAACAATGTTGATGACAACGATGGCAACGATGTTGATGACAATGACGACGTTGACAATTCGGACACATCCAATGCACTTGGTAAGGCTCTCGCACTCATCGTACAGGTGCGTAAAGCTACTTGTACTAGTCCACGTCAACACTGCTGATATTAATTGACTAGATTCGAAAGTCACCTCAAGCTCGGGCTTTTTTCCGCCAATCATGTGCAGAGGTCAATGTACCTGTCCTTGAACTTTTACAGTGGGTCCGAACTCGGTGGGCCTCGCTCTTCACATGCCTTGCTCGCCTTCTTCTGTTGCAGAAGGTGCACATCATTTTTTATTTGGTCAAATATAATAATCATGTACTCATTAATCACAGGGTGTCAACCGCTTTGTACGTCTTGCCGACGATAGCGACGAAGTGCCAAATTTGCGAAAGAAGCAGTATGCTGACTTTAAGTTAAGTCAGAGTGACTGGTTCCAGCTTTCGCTTCTCCACGAAGTCCTTCAGGTGCGTCGTTTAATTTATCTTCTAGTATTACACTAACTTTCACGTCTTCTTACAGGAACCAGCCAATGCCACCCAGAGTTTTTCCAGCTCGAAAGACCCAACAGTCTGGCGAGCAATTCCGGTGTTGGAATTCTTGCAGCAAAGCTGGCAAAACATGGCGGCCAATGACAAGTTCTCAAGTGTGGCTGATGCATTGCACGCTGGTCTCAAGAATTTGGGCAAGTGGAGCCGGAAAACAGACGAGACAGACGTCTACTTCATTTGCTTAGGTCCGTCTCCATACATGATACTTTCACTAACTAACACTTATGTTGAACAGCCCTTGATCCTAACTATAAACTTGAGTATGCACGATCACAATGGGACACTGATGCCTTTGACGAAGGCAAGAAAAAACTCGAAGCTGCAGTAAGTGATGCCGAGTGATGGTCAAAAGTTCTTGCTAACTCCTCGACAGTTCGATCAGTATCACGCACCTGTTGCAGCTGCCCCTCAGCAGTCACCGTCACCCATTCCAGAGTCCAGCGAACGACTTAGAGCTACACAATATGGGCATTCGTGGATGCGCTCCACAATTCTAGCTCGCCAATCATCCGAACAGAACATTGATCCACGTCACGAGCTCACCCTATACTTGACTAGCCCATTGGAGGAGGTTGCCGATGTTGTCTGTTGGTGGGGGGTAAGCATTTTACTGTGCATTTACTAGTCTTCCGAGTTATTGATGTATTTGCTAGCACCATTCTACTATGTACCCCACCGTTTCCCGCATGGCAAGAGATTACCTTGCAATTCAAGGCTCTTCGACACCGTCAGAACGGGCCTTCTCAAGCGGTGGCATGATGGATGACAGTCGACGCAACCGGCTTACACCCCAGGTCTTCGAGGCATTGCAATTGTTAAAAAGTGCCTACCATAATAAGCACGTACGAGCTGCAACTGATGCAGCAGTGCATGTTGAGCTTGATGCTAGTGTTGAGAATGCTGACCTTTATCTTAGTGACACGTAGATTAGAATTCATGTTAATAGTCAGCCTCGTTCACGCAACTTTCAAACACATTGAAATGTTCAGTGTTCGAACGCAAAACCGAACGCGAACCGAACGTCCTGAACGCGTTCGAACACGTCCAGTCCAACGTTCAGCAAAATCACTGAACCGAACGTGACGTCCAGTTCAGCGTTCAGCAATTTTTCTGGTGAACCAGACTGAACCGGACTTTTCCATCACTAGAGACGGGTGAATTCACTGAAGGGGCTCAGATCGAGGGTCCAATTGCTGTGTTCCATTCTGCCATGGCTACTTTCTCAGCACCCAGCGATATCTCCGGGACCCATGGCATGCATCATGAGTTGATTTGTTGCACTCCATTGTGGCATTGGAAGCATCCACGTCATGATTGTGTCTTCGTGGTTGAAGACCAGGAAAAGGCTGGAATGAGGGGCATGATCATTGGGCAGGTCAAGCTATTTTTTTCATTTGCTTTCAAGGGTGTGACATACCCTTGTGCATTGATTGACAGGTTTTCATGGATGGGGAGAGGCCCAGATTCAATGACGGGCATGTGGAAGGTGAAGCCCGAGGTTTCTGGGCAGCTCAGGACTCGTGTTCAGTCCATTGAGCATGTTGACACAATCCTTCGAAGTGCTCATCTCATCCCCGTCTTTGGCAGCGGTCCCCTCCCTGATGGTTTTCATTTTTCTTATTCTCTTGACGTGTTAAATTCTTACTATGTAAATAAGTATGCAGATCATCATGCACATGAAATTGTGTTCTGAGCATACATGTCTGAGCATGTGGCAATTTTCTTGCTCTAACTTGAATTTGTCGTGCGTGAGAAGCAAACACCTACCAGATCGCCAGGACATCCAGGTCACTGTCAGGATGTTCAGGCATTGACCAGGTGTGGCCAGGTGCCTGTACATTTGCTGATGTATGAATTGTTGAAGTCGGCATGGCCGTTGAATTGAGCAAGAAGCTCCCTTTGGTCCAAGTCCCATATTTGGATATTGTTGGTGGTAGCAACGCCGAGTTGACCGGTCGGAGAAAATCGGACGCAATTGACTCGCGTGCCACACCAGAGGGGATCGCCTTTCTTCTGCCAGGTGCTGGTCTCCCATAAAATGACACTGCAATCTACTGACCCGCTGGCCAAGACTTTGCCGTCAGGGGAAATGTCCAAAGTATACACAATATTTCTGTGACCGTCCAAGGGACCTGCAACGACCCTCCCAGTCTCAGCATCACGCACTGAAAGCTTGCACGAATACTCCTCCTCATCCGAATCGTCGTTTGTGTTCTCTCCCTCAGTGCTAACCACCTGTGTCCCGTCTCGCAAGATTATAAGTGCGTAGACATACTTCTTCACGACCCACTTCTTCATTTCTGTGCCGTCCTCAAGCCTCCAGATGCGGATTGTCTTATCGCGAGACCCAGTCGCTATTCTCTTGCTGTCTGGAAAAGTTGCAATGCAGGTGATTGCGTCCTCATGACCTTCAAACGTCTTGACAGGCTCTTCATGTGGCCCAGCTAGTTTGTCGTCTTTCATGCTCAGTTGCTCTTCCAAGCAAGGCGCTTCGTTGGATTCCTCGTCTGTCTTGCCTAGCAGGTCCCAAGAAGTTAGACACAACCAAGAGGAGAATGCGAGTAGCCTACCTGTTGCTGGAGCGATGGTTGATTGTGCAACGTGACTAAAGCATGGAGCTCATTATATCAATGTGGCCTGCTCTTAGGCACCAGGATCAACTAAAGTACCAAGGCACTGCTTCACCTGAAACGACGCACTGACTCCCTCGGTCCATTTACCGGTCCAAAACAGGTGCTGGAAGATACACGCTCTGTAGTATGCATAGTCATCTCCCGCCGTGCCAACTGCTCAATCTCTACCCACTGATCTTCTGCCAGAGTCCCGCCCACACCCGTGGAACCTCTTTCATACTTCTTGGTGTAGTATCCCGTCGACTGTGATCCGTGACACTCAACGAAAGCAGGACCGACATAATGTCCTGCATGCATTTGTCGACAAGACATTTGCTTGTATGTATGAATATAAGGGTTGGCAACCAATGCCGTCGCACTGTCACGCACGGCATCTTGGTCTCCGATAGTCGGTAGAAAGCCAGTGCGTTCTTCTCAGGTTCGTCGGGCTTTGTTGATTTAGAGTCCCTCAAGTCCCGCCCACACACCCGCGGAACCTCTTTCATACTTCTTGGTGTAGTATACCGTTGATTGTGATCCGTGGCACTCAACGAATGCAGGACTGACATAATGTCCTGCATGCATTTGTCGACAAGACATTTGCTTGTGTGTATGAATATAAGGGTTGGCAACCAATGGCGTTGCACTGTCATGCACAGTATCTTGGTGCCCGATAGTCGGTAGAAAGCCAGTGCGTTCTTCTCAGGTTCGTCGGGCTTTATTGATGTGGCAGTCGCCTTCGTCACATCTTCGATGTCCTTTACAGCTGAGATAAATCTAACGAGTATCACTGTATGAATACCTGCGCGATGTGCGGGCATGGGATCTCGAAACGACCTTGTATTTGGCGCCGCATCTGAATAAAAGTGATTCGAGCCACTCTCGATCTTAACGTCGTTCCCTCAGCGCTCTGTAGGTTTTGGTCGCCGCTTTTTGTGATATATGTACAACTTGTATTGCAAACGTGTTGTGCTGCATTAATAGTAGTCCAACAAGGTTCCCCGACCAATTCTTCACCACGTTCGTGTCCAGGCGCTAATACGACAGCGAGTAAGGACAGACGTTAAGAAGAGCGCACGCAAAGTGGCAACGAACAAGCGAAACCACAGGCACAATTTCGAGCACAGGTACAAGTGCGAGCGCGAGCACTGTCAGCTAAACTTGAGAGCGGGCTATTTCTATCGCCCTTTATTGTGTTGTTCTGCACTATCAAAGTGCTGTGGTAGAGCATCTGAGAAATAGTGCAAACACGCCCAATAACTCTTGTAATATAGAGGCCATTCTGAGGGCAACAACCTGATTAGAGAGCGTCTCGCCACCGGTGCATAAATGAAAGTGACATTCAAATAAATCTGGCATGAATTATTGAAAGTTGTTCAGTTCTAAGCGACACCTTGACTTACTGTGTATGAAGCCCGGGCCCCTGCAATTTCTTGGGTTGCCGCAAGACGGGATTGCATGTGTGTTCAGGATCTGTCTACCCATTGATTTGTTCCGGTAGATAGGGCTGGAAGAATACATTAGGAAATGATTGAGCAAACGAACGAGCTCGTCGTGCTTACCAGGTACAGGGACGTCGAGAATGACATTCTTTTTCGACAGTTACAAGGTCGAGCTATTGGGTCTAGCTCCTTCTCCCTCTCTGGAACCAGATGGAAGAAAACGTTATCTTCCATTTCTGCACTAGCACGTACCATGATTAGTTACCCTGCTGATGGATGTGGTCAGATCTCTATAAAACTGCACGAAACACACCTACATCGATTGTCTGACAGAACATCAACTACTTCTGGAGCCTGACGTTCAGTTGGCACTCCTTTTGCTCCTACTTATTGCCTAACGACAGCCGCATCCTGTTGATTAAGCTGGTAACAGTTTTGAGAAAACGCTGAACTGCCAGTGGGAACCATAAAACTACTTACATCGAGTGGGCCTTTCATATTCTGGTGAAGAGTCAATATCTCCCGGAAAGAAGAGAAGCGTTAGAAGACGCACGCATGGATGTGAAGGACCAGCCTGGAATTGGTGCACGTGAGCTTGCACGGAGGGAAGTGATAGTTGGAAGTGGCAGTCACCTCATTGTTCTCGCCAGCGAGAGAATCACTTCGCACCGCTGCGAGCACCTGCTCCGGTATCTCCCATTGCGATATTTTGTTCAGGCCGCCGCTGAATATAAAGCGTTCATCCACCGAGAATGTAACACGAGACACTTCATGTGAGTGCTGAAATCGGGCGACTTCTGTGCCTGCGGGGAGCTGCCACAGGCGAACGGAATGGTCATCAGATACTGACACGAGAAGGGTGCCTGCTGAGTTCAGGGTGATATGGCTGATGTCCATATAATCGTCCGAGTCATGGCCGATCCAAGGATCACCGGCTTGTTTCCAGGTGGAGGTCTCCCACGAGCGGATGACGGAATCATTGCCTGCTGAGAGGAGATGGGAGCCATCACGAGTCCAGGTGAGCAAGCTGTTGTGCGTAATAATACGGGTGCGGTGACCGTTGAATTGAACAAGACACTTCCTTCGGTCTAAGTCCCATGTTTCGATGTCTTTATGGATAGCAACGGCGAGTTGGTGAGTGGACGGAGAAATTTGAATGCAATAGACGGCTGAGCTACACAAGAGGGTACCCCCTTGCCTCCGCCAGGTGCTGGTGTCTCATAAAATCAATATGCAATCGTATAACCCACTGGCCAGTATCTCGCCTTCAGGGGAGATGTCCAAAGTATCCACGAAGTCGGTGTGGCCGTCCTTAACGGGACCTGCAATGACCCTCCCACTTTCAGCATCACGCACCCATAACTCTCTTGCATCAAATTCGAGCTCTTCCTCAGCACAGAGCACGTGTTTCCCGTTTCGCAAGATCACAAGTGCACCGACCTCCCTCACTTCCCACTTCATCAATTCTGTGCCGTCTTCAAGCCTCCAGATGCGCATTGTGTTATCATCACAACTAGTCGCTATTCTTCTGCCATCTTGAAATGTGGCAATGGAGGTGATGATCATTCCCGGATGACCTTTAAAGGTTTCGACAGGATCTTGATGCGAGCCAGGTATTTGCTTGCCGTCCTTCATGCTGAGCTGTTGTACGGAAGCAGGTGCCCCGCTAGATTCCTCGTTGGCTAGTACGCCTAGTGAGAAGTTAGACCAGCCCAAGAGCAGAATACCAGCAACCTGCCTGTTGCTGAAGTCACGGTCTATGGTCGAGGTGCGTTGGTTCTACAGCGCATAAAGAGAGGGTAGCTGGCCGGACTTAAATCATTCTTGAGCTCCCTAGCCAGAGGACCACTACAATGCTACTGTGAGAGCATTCTCCATTGTCTCGCATTGCGATATGACTGATGAGGGAACTATGTGGTCGTGATATGCTGATGCGAGAACGGTATCAGCCTAGTATGTCAAGGATCACCAGCTTTTCCAGGTGGAGCCAACCTGAGTTACCTGACTCGCCCAAGTGCGAGTTAGAGATGTATCAGAATAGCAAAGTTCCATAGTCAAGCTTCGCTACAAACATTTGGGATCTTTCAACAAGCTCCAGCATGTTTGCAGTGATGGAATGACTGCATGAGTTGCAGAGTATTGAAGGGGCTGTGCAGCTGTGTTTGGCAAAACCCTTGGATCCAAACAACGTTATTGAAGGCTTTGAACTTTCCATCCACGACGCCTACTCCCAGTGTGGGTCAGTGACACATGTACCCCCCACGCACGAACTCGTTGCATTTGAATGAACCTCCAATGGCTGCTGCATTTTGTGCTATAACCGAGCTTTTTTAGCGCGACAATCAGGCTGCCGCGTCGGGAACCACCTGTCAGCTACAATTAGACTGTCATGTTTCAAATTTCGTCGCTCTGCCAGATTTAAATTGCCATCTCTCGGTTTTCTACTTCCACGGAGAAATCCAATGTCAACTCGCGTTGGCTCATTGAATATCAGGATATTAAGGCGCTTTCTGCACCATGTGCCATCATATACCTGCGTTAGACAAATCCACCTGCAGGTTGGCAATCGGTATTTGATATTTTGCGAGGAACCGTCGCAAATTTCCACCACAAGGCCTGCCAACATCCCGAAATAGGCTTAGTGCACCCAGTGTGTCTATTTTTTATCTATACAGCTTGGCAGGTTGGCCGGTATTCTAGCGCCCACGTATGAAATCCCGCAGGTGCAAAGTCAGCACCGGCAAATATTTACCTATCATGACAAGCAGTCTTCTAGATTCATCACTTGATCACAGATTATCGGCGTATCAAACACGTCTTGGTGACAGTTCATTTTTCCACCTCCACATCCACATCCACGTCGTCGCCGGGAACATGTACGTGGCCGCAATGTACATGCCAACAACCAAATCTGTCTTGCTATCAGTTACCCCTATTTGCGTTTACACCGCCAGCTTGGTGAGCTATGCGTGTTTTGCAGATATAAAGGAAGTCAGCGTGTATTGTACTTCTCACAACTCCTGCTGATATCCTCTCATCTAAACACTCGTGCCATAATTTGCAATGTCTGAACGTATGTGGTCCGTTCGATATGCATGACGTCTTCGCTCATTGTCCCTCCAGACCCCCGCACCGACTTGAACAATCTTTTGCAGGCCATTTATGGTCCTGGGGCCCTTGACCATGTCCGATGGGAGGTCTTTTCGCAAGGCCCTCCCAGCTGTCTAACATGGTTTGCAACCATCTATAGTACGTCTGTCTATTAGAAAGTCAAAGATGCACACTAACCAATACGACAGTCGACGATATGAATCACGGCTATGCTCAAGCACGCACAAGAGGTGCTGCTCAGGACTCGGCTGCATACCAGGCTTATAATCACTTAAGACGTGAAAGGCGTCGATGAACTGCGGCGCCTTCATACTGATATTACATATGACATGCCTCCATTTTCATCATGAAGGTCTTCCGAGTTCGACGTGTACATAGTTTGATACTCATACTTTTCAACCATCATATAGTCGTGATAGCTAAAAGACTTTTTGGCCTGAACCCAGCTCTGGATTCTCGTCTCTACGGTTTGCAGATTTGCTCGTATGAATGTTCCGCATATTTCATCCAGCATGTCAAATTGACGAGGCCAGGTTGAATTCGCAAGCGCTCTGCTTGTTCACTGTCTAAATGGTTGGTGGAAAAACAACTCTCGAGTGTTGACGGGACTGAAGATATTATCTCTCAAATTGATGTATATAGAATCTGCTGGGGGAGATCAAGTCGAGTTTAACGTGCTACTAATCACTAAGAGCCGATTCAGGGGCTGTGCAGCGTTGTTTGGCAAAGCCCTTAGATCCAAACATCTGAATAATACTTGCATGACCAGCCGATAAGCCGTAGATAGAGGGACTAGTAAATCTGGGTTTGAATTTGGTTGCTGAGCGGATTCTCAGGACAACGTGATGTATAAGCCTTTTCGGGGATATTAAATATCACGTGAACTTCTGCCAAGGCCTTTGCAAAGTATCGCTAAATCTTTGCGATCGCGACGTTCGAGTACATTGATTGCTGCGCAGCTTCGTTCGACGGTCGTCGCTGCCCCTTGTAAACAACTCGTTCGTTCGTTCGTTCTGCTAGCTATTACTATTGTGCTACTGCTTTCTTTATTCTATCACTCTGGTCACTGCAGCCTGCAACTATGATCCGAAGCTCTTCAATGATTGGCTTGCCTCATAGACGAGCTGGTCACCAGTCTAATTTGAATTGCCGACTCGGACTGTGGTTAGGTTGCCGCGGAAGACAGCATGTAATACTCTATATATGTCGACAATACATGTTATTACAAAGGTGAACACACGGAAACGTAAATAGCTTGATGAAGGAGTACGATTTTGATTGCGAGCGGAAGAAAAGGACATGGCGAGATATACAAGCGTATAAATACAGCCGATTCATGCGCTAAGAATCATCGTGGTAGTGTCCACGAGGGAAACATATTTTGTCGAGGAATTTGTTACAGTCACCTTGTATGCTCGAGTCCGAATCAGAGTCGTGGTAGGTGACGAAATGTGATGGGGATGCGTGTGATGATGGACCTGCAGCTGCTTGAGCTCCGTGTCCATTTATACCTTGCAATGAGGGCACTCCCTGTCCCGACGCAGCTTGAATTGATGTACCCGGCTGCACAGGAACATCTTGGGAAGGTGTGGTACCCCCCTTGGATGAACAACTTGCGTGTGCTGCCGCGGGAAGAGCGCCGCTTGTCGTTTCCAATGGTTTTGTCTTGCGTACGCGCTTCATTGCGACGAGTCTCTGTTATTCGGTCTTTAGTAAACACAAAGTTATGTACGAGATGCACTGAACGTTACCTGGAACCCACGCGCGGGGTATATCTCAACGACCTCGGGATGAGTATTTGCTGCAGTCATGTTGGAGGAAGTGGTACCCTTCCGTCGAATGTGCGTTAGCCAACTATTGTCTTCGCTGTCGAGCTTGGCGGAGGAACCGGGATCATTAGGCGGGGTGTTAGTGTCGGCAGGAGGTTCATCGCGTTGTTCACCTGTATCTTCGTTATTTTTGCTGGCGCCAAGGGGAGCTTTGGCGGAACACTGACGCCCATCATGATGAGGTGATAGTGCGCGACATTCGAGACAAGACTTACATCAACATCATGGTTGATTTCCTCGACGTCTTCGCCTGCTCGAACCTTCCCTTTTGGTGCTAATTGGTTGGTTGTAGGGTGCCCAGGCGAGTTTGCGAGAGCACGTGTGAATAAACTGCGCTTGGTACGCTCGTCTGTAGTGGACTCGTTTGCTCGTCGGTGTCGAGATATGACGTTCCATAAGCCGCGACCTGAAAACAGGGGAGGGAGATGGGGGACAGATGATGCCAATGGAAGAGATGGCTCAGAAGACTACGAATGATGATTGTCAGTCCCAGCCACTATGCATGATCAAAACGAGTATTACCCCCAAAAAATTGTCGTATAGATTGTTGTTAACCTCCTCTATGATATCATCACCACCTGTAGCATCGGCCTGTGATATTGCTATGAGCAAGGCAAAACAGGTAGTCAAATGTAAGATACTAACGTTGAGGCAAGAAGATCCTGCAGCTGAGGATCCGGGTCGAGTTTCCTGCTGTATAGCTTGCCTGTGATCCTGTTGAAGTATGGGTGGTACAAGCTCAGGAGCTATGTCTTTGACCATCCAGAGAGTGAGTTTCTTGTCGAATCCACCATATGCCAGGTATGTTCCATCTCGAGAGAATGAGACACAGTAAGTCCAATATTTGAGGATATTCTGCCGGTGAATTGGCTGGCCGAGTGGCTGATGGGACTTTGTATCCCATAACTGTGCAATCCCATCGCCCACACACGCCAGGACATTGTTTGTAGGTGAAAGTGCGATGGAATACAAGAGATAGCTGTGCTGGAAGTGATGCAACAATCTGCCTGTTTTGCTATCGAAAACGCGTGCGAATGTGTCGGAAACGAAGTAGATTTTGCTGCTGTCCGACGACCACACCAACGACCTCACAGATAATCTCAGGCCTTTGATGGGGCCGACGACAAGCTCGCCGATCTTCGCGTCCCATATATAGATTGTGTCGTTCCACCCGCCTGATGCAATCCTGTCGCCTGAAGGTGAATATGCAAGAGCAAGCACCCATTCTTGCTTCGTCTTAATCGGGCCCACTTCAACTTTTCCGGTTTTTGCTTCTCGAATGAGGATTGTGCCATCGCTGGACCCGCTGGCGAGATAGTATCCACTGGGAGACCACGAGAGTGACCGCACCACCCTCCTATGACCGGTCCAAACACCTTCCATCATCTCCCCTTCAGTGTTCCATCGCTGAACACTTCCGTCCTCCCTCCCGCACGCAATCGTCTTCCCGTCCGGTGAAAGCGCCAGTGCCCATATTTCTCCACCGTTCCCCTTCCATGGTTTACCGACAAGAAGTCCCGTGTTGCAGTTCCACTTGCGCATCGTGCCATCCCGTGAACCACTCACGATATGGACGTTGTCGTCCAAGAAGACAAAACTCCATATAGGCTTCTCATGTCCTTGAAATTCGTGCTTGAGAGTTAATCTTATGGATTCCGCTGGGCTTGAAACTTCCTTGCGGGTCCGCCTGGCGAATAATCTAGACATAGCTCAGCGTCTAGATTAATCAATATGACTCTGACCCCTGTGAATCGTGGTCAATTAAGGGGGCAAATAGTCGACCAGTACTCACTGGTCGGTCTGCTTATCGCTTGCTTGGGGGCAAGATAGCAAGATGGGTGAGCTTTATGTGTCACGTCTCTTGGCGTTAGTTCATCGCAGGCTATGCGGCTAATCAGAAATTCCTTCTGACACGCCCCCACATTCCGGTTTATTTTTGATCGTTTGTGCTTCGGAAGTGACTGCGAGTACAGCTTCAAGTGACCTGATAATAGCCCATCATCGGTACACATTCATGGTATATCTATACAGGAGTGAAAACCCAAGAATCAAAGTAAGAACTGACATTGAAGTCCAAAGAGAGAAAGGAACGAGACGCTGAACCTGCGAGTCTACAGAATGTATGGTCGACGAGTAACGCAATTTGTAGTACAACGAATGTGAGCTTATACATACAACACGAGTTTATGATGCCCTTCGTTAGTCCGATAACCCACATACCCAAGCCCTCTCCCAATCTTGACAATGTACACAAAAATGTACGCAAGTACGCGTCATCGTAACTTGAACATCATCCAGCGAAAAATGTTCTCCACCAGCAGGGAACATCAGCAGCTTCACTTGCACGTTCGTCCCGCGAAAAAAAAAATATGCATTGACCGGGACTTTGATATGCGGCAGGGCCAGTGAGACGGTTGGAAAGCCTTCAAAGCATCTCACCAATCCCCTGGACGTTTCAAGTCTGGACTACGTGTTGTCCTATTCACCTGAAAGAGTCTGATGTCAGAAGCTCAGATATAAAGTTGATTTTTTGACCTTTGCTGATGAGGTGAGAGATGAATGCTTCCATCCCTCATCTTATCACCCGCAAGGAAAGCACATCCTTGGGGAGTGAGCTCGAGGGGGAGCCATCGAGAGATAAATGTTCAATACCCCGACACCGTCAAAGTTTTTGTCCTCCAGTGAGTCGCCTGTCAATTCTGGAACTCTGTCGCGTCTCCAGAGTTGTCAGGCGGGCTGGCGCGGAGGGCTTCGTCGCTGTGAACTTACTTTCATGTCCTGCGGGCCACGATGACAAAATCCTTTATTATTATCCACACAGACAATACTCTAGGACGTGTAAATCTCCTGCAAAGTGCGCAGCGTCTGACGACAAGGTGGAAGGGGAAGAGAGTAGGTCAAGAGAAATAGAGTTGATAGAGTTGAATAAAGAGTCAAGGCGAAGGACTGAGTGCGCGTGGACTGGATCAAACTGCAGATCAAATCGATAAGGCTCTAAGACGTGACATGCAAACCTGAGCATGAAATCCAGTGGCTCGAGTATCGTAGATACCAGGATGAAAGAAACTGAAAGAGTCAAAGGGACAAAGGGTGCGTGCAATGAGGTACAACTCGCGTAATGATGGTGATGACGTGAAATGTGAAAAGGTGAAACGTTACGAGTTCGGTACTAACGGAAATGCATCTGATGTGATATCGGATCATCGGACGTGTATCCAAAGCGGACGCCTTGCTCTTCGAAGAGGTATCGGACGGGGCATAAATGCTAGAGGAAGCGCCATCTTACAGCAGGTGACATGATGAACGTAATGGGAGGTGAAATGGAGGGCGACACGTACATGAATGATGACAGGACCCATTTCGGTAGCAGGAAGTTATGCCACGTCGGCGATAGGCAGCCACAATATTAAACATGAAAGCTATGCACATGCAAGGAAGTTCAAAAAAAATGATGCGATGGTGGAGCAAGAGTTGAAAGTGCTCTTTGGTAATAAGTTGTGCGTACTCGCGATGAATCACATCCGGAACCACAGCAAAGGCCGCGACATGGAGACCTCGTGTCTCCAGCAACGTTTCTTGTCTAAATAAAGCTGAGTCCAGGTGATACGACCAAAGGGGCTTACAGGAATATCTACCATCACGGCATGGTCGGTTAGATCTGTTATATCACTGATCGTTTAGTTGTGTGTAGGTACTGCGATATCGAAAGAGCATCTCACATCTATTACATCTCCCCCTGGGCCCTGTTCACTACCTGCTGAGAGGAGATGGGCGCCAAGTTCTATTTTGTAGAGAAAAGAACATCCTGCGCAATGGAAATTATACACTCACGTGCGTACAAGCTGGGACTCAAGAGGACTCGGGGGAAGAACCTGTCTCTGCGTCCGAGTCTGCGGTAGTCTATGGTCGTTAAGCTTGACCCTTCCGCAATAACTCTTCAAACCCGTCGTCGTCAAGACTCTACAAACTTATGCAGTACTAAGAGCAGTCGCATGCGGATCGCGTCTGCCGCACCGCCACGCGTCACCGACGTCATTACGACGGTTTATCGTATAAACGTAGTCAGTTGGTTGTTGAGAGATCTAGTCGTTTCCCTATCGAAGGAGATTACAAGTAGTTAGTGTCAGAAGGAAAAGTCGGACCCTGATACGTACCTCAGGTGATAAATCCAGCGAGCTTTCGATATTGGATTCGTTTACCAGTCATGAGAAAACATAGATCTGGAGGCTGATCAGTGTATTTTTGAACTTCTCGACATCATGTGCTAATCCAATGCCAATATTTACCTCACCTTACTTGCATACTGAATGTTCCGACCCTTTAGTACAGCGAGTTTGTGTATAGCTTCAGCCTGGTAGAGCAGTTCGTGGTTATGTTTGTGGTCACTATACAAGTGAAATAGGCGCTCAATCTTATCACAAATCAGGCTCTAGACAAACCGTGACGCGCTGCCGCGTGTTTGGATCCCAAATTTTCTATCAAACCTCTTTGTACACGACTTTCACGACCATCCATCCTTTGTCTCTTTCTCTTTCTACACCTACCTGAGGTCTGTGCTTTTTTTGCCATTCTATAAGCTAGAATTGACGTGAAAAAAACCCAATTAACTGATCATCATGAACACACAGATGGATCTTCAATCACTCGCGAACTTATTCGCGACAACTTACAATCCTGATCCTAATGTACAGAAGACAGGCGAGCTCCAAATACGCAAGGTAACGCCCTTTTCTCCTTTGACCAGCGATCATCGCGCTGATCGCGCTTGCAGATCGGTGCACAGGAGGGCATGCTTACCGCCCTTCTGCAGATCATCGCATCCGACGGCGTTGAATTGTACGTCCTTTTGCAAACTGATTTACGATACTTAAAATACTCACTTCACGACAGAGCTACTCGCCAAGCTTGTAGTGTTTACCTCAAGAACCGCGTACATACCTCCTACATCCTCCCGCCAAATCCACGCCCAGACCACGTTCCAATCGCTCTATCTGATCGCACCGCTCTAAAGACCCATATCCTTCCCCTCCTCGCTGCCAGTCCCAGCCGCTCCATCACCGTCCAGCTCGCAGCGACCCTCAAGGACCTTGTGGCGCATGACTTTCCCGAACGTTGGTCCACCCTCTTGGATGACGTGAAGAGGCTCTTGGGAAGTGGAGACGTGAGAGAAGTCGGAGCTGGTGTCGTGGCCGCACTCGAGTGTGTTAGAGCGTTCAGGTGCGCGTTATTGAGATATCTTCGTATTGCTCTAACAAACGCGCAGATTCCGTCAAAAACCTGACATTCTGCCCGGCATTATCACCACACTTTTCCCTACACTCGTCACCATCGCTGATGGCATGCTCAATACCTCTCCTTCCCAACCCGCATCTCAGGAGATCCCTGCCATGCTGCACTTGATTTTGAAGACGTACAAAACTGCGATTATCGTGAACCTTTCCCCACACCAACAGAGCCCCGAATCGCTCGTGCCTTGGGGAAGGCTCTTATTCCGTGTTGTTGAAATGACTGTCCCTCCGGAGGGTGTTCCATCTGATGAAGAGGACCGGGAGAGATGTGAATGGTGGAAGGCTAAGAAGTGGGCGTACGGAATTCTCGGCCGACTATTCCATCGGTGGGTTTTTTCTTTACAGAACCAATCACGCGCGTTTCTAAGAGCATTGTAGCTTCGGCAATCCCTCTCAGCTCCCATCGCCGATGCAGAACGAGTATGGCATATTTGCCGAGCATTTCGTGACTACCTTCGCGCCTGAAATCTTCAAGGTGTACCTCCACCAAGTCGAGCTATACGTGTCTGGACAAGCATGGCTCGGCAAGAAATGCCAATACCAGATCTTCCAGTTTTTCACTGAATGGTGCGCATTATCTCCCATTTTTCGGATCGTGTTGCGCTGACGCGTTTCTCTGCAGTATTAAACCCAAGTCAACATGGATACTTCTGAAACCCCATGTTGACAGCCTCGTGGCCAACTTTGCATTCCCCCAGCTCACCTTCAACGCACACAAACAGACCATGTGGGAGGCCGATCCCGTAGAATACGTCCGTGCCAGCGTCGGTGAGTTTCTTTCTCCCGTTTTCCTTATCTCCATATCTTACATGCACGACAGACGAATACGAAAACTTTTCGTCTCCTGTGAGTGGCGCGACCTCGTTCCTCCTCTCCCTCGCAAGCAACCGCACAAAAACGTCCTTCCTCTCGATGCTTCAGTTCATCAACACCGTCTTGCGCTCGTACGTCTTACGTGTCATTCATTCTCCTGTGTCCGTTAACTCACGAGAATGTGATGCAGGAGTCCTTCGCCAGCTCAGCGCTTCGGCGCGCTTACGATGACAGCAGTGCTCGGCCCCTTCATCGTACGCCATCCTGAGGTTAAAGGAAGCATAGAGCAGTTCATGGTGCAGTACGTCCTACCGGAGTTCACAGCGCAGGAGCCATACTTGCGAAGTGCAGTATGTCTTTTTACTCCCTTTTTATCTCTCCATCTCCTCGAGCTGACGCGATTTTAGGCATGCGAAGTGCTAGGTGTGGTGACAAAGGCTGGTATCACGTGGTCTAGTGAAGAGGTGGGCATTGCAAACAAATCGTTGCTTTGGTGTTGATGTCCATTTTGCTTAGAACTTGAACAACCACTCTCGCGCTGTTGCGGTGGCTTTGGACGACCGCGAACTCCCAGTACGTGTGCAGGCCGCGCTGGCTATCACCGAGCTGGTTGTAGTTCACGACGCTGGTATATTGCAAATCCCCTCACTTTATCCTGTGTCTAACTAACTTTGATTCCAAAGTCAGGGACGCTGTTTCTCCGCAAGTTGGCAAGGTCGTGCAAGGTGCGTTTCATTCCAATTCACGCTGACAAAGTCGCCATTTCTGATGGCGGTGGTTGCAGATCTTCTCAAGCTCTCCGATGAGACAGACCTCGATATCCTCAATCACAGCATGGAAGCTATGGTCGACCGCTTCCAAAACGAGCTTCTTCCCGTGGCCTCTCAACTCACCGCACGTCTGGTGAGCGCCTTATCCCTTAGTCTCTACGATACCCTGATGGAATGTGTTTAGTGTGAATCTTACTTACGCCTTGCGAGAGAAGGCTTGGCGCAGCAAAACGAAGCAGTTCTGGACCACCTCGATGTGGACTCGCTCGTGTCGGACGGCGAAGATGACAAAGTATACGGCGCTATGGGCGTCGCCAAGACTATTGGGACTGTACGTACTTTCCCGTCAGAAAGTTCATGTCCATGCATCTCACGAGCTGCGCAGGTTGTTTCGTGCATCGACTCCTCGCCTGAAATTCTTTCACAAGTGCAAGAGGTAATCATACCCATCATCCGGTTCACCCTTGAGAATAAGTTGATCGGTGCGTCTGCTCTTATTTTTCCGTGAGCGATGCTGATACCAGAGCGTTTGTAGATTTGTTCGATAATATGTACGACCTCGTAGACGCCCTTACCTTCCGTCTTCACGCTATATCTCCGAATATGTGGCCGGTGTTCGAGTTGACGTATGATCTCTTCAAAGGGGATGCTGTTGATTTCCTTGATGGTGCGGGCTACGACTTCCTATATAGCTTCGTACTTGTATCTGACCGAGATGGTGATTTGCAGAAATGCTTCCCTCGTTGGACAACTTCGTGTCGTATGGTACAGAGGTGTTGAAGGCCCGCCCCGACTACAGGCAGAAGGTGCTCGACATGTACCGCACGGCTATGACGAGCCCACAGCTGGGGGACAACGACAAGATCAACGGGTGTAAGCTAGCAGAGTCGATGCTCCTCAACTTGCACGGCCATGTTGACGATGTACGTATTTGATTTCAATTTCATGTTTCTCACCTGCGACTCCCTCATCCCACCTGCGCAGCTCATGCAAGACATTATCGCAATTGCCGCTGATCACATCGACAAAGGCGAGACTGCTTCCTTCCGGCTTGCTAACCTCGAAGTTCTCATCAACGCCGTGCTTTACAACGCCTCTGCTGCGTTACACTTTATGGAGGCTTACAAGCCTGGACTTGCGCGCGTGTTCTTCGATCGCTGGTTCGCAGCTATCAACACCGATAACAAGCTCCCTCGCGTGCACGACAAGAAACTGAGCATTTTGGCGCTGTGTAAGTTGTTGGAGATGGAGGCTGGTGCGATTCCGGAGGGGTTGAGGGATGGGTGGCCTGAGATTGTGGGTGGTGCTTTGAATATCTTCAAGACGCTGCCTCAGGCCGTTGCGAGTGGGTTGCTGTCTTTGGTTTGGGTGGCGATTTGGCTAACGTTATGGTGTGGTTTTGTAGAGCGTAAGACGTTGGAGGACCAGCTTGTTGAAGGGGATGATGATGACGATGAAGACGAGACGAGGTATCTGAATCTCGAGGGAGAGGAAGATGGTAAACGTGCTTTGCCTTGTTGTCTGTTCACACCCGCTGACACTCCTGTTTAGAGGACGTCTGGGACGAAGATTCCGCGTATCTCGAGATCTTAGCAAAGGAGGTTCGTCGCAGACCCCTCGCTCTTGCAACCTACCACTTACGCAAACATTCTAGGGTGCTCGTCTGAGAGAAAAATCCGAGAAAGCAGCAACCGGGGACGACGAGTCAGATACATCTGAAGAATCAGAGATTGAAGAAGAACTTGGGTTTTTCAGTTTGCTAGACACGATCAACCCGTATGTTACGTTTAAGCAGGCATTGCAAAGTGCGTTTATGCTCTTCTTATCCTAACCGGACTCGAACTGATGCTGGTCGGACCCACAGCATTCCAGAATCAAAACGCTGCTCTATACCAGGCTGCGACCACGATGCTCACGGTTGAGCGACAGACTATGCTTATGGAGGTGGTGGCGATGGCGCAGAGCCAGGTTGGGGCATAGTTGAGGTTGTACTAATATTTGTCTGTTTTACATAGTTGTTGTGGTGGTTGTGGTATTTCGGCTTGTTCAATGGGTCATTGACATTGTGCGCTTTGTACTTATACGAGGGAATGGCTGTCTTGCATATAGTGGTCTGCCTATGTCCTAGGAAAGACTACATGCATTGCGCATACATCATCCCTTATTGTGAAGGCCCGGGACCGATCGGTGCTGCTGGCCCTTCGGACCTCTATATATAGCAGTGACTTTAGGCGCCAAACACATCACTTTGAAGTGCTTTTCAACCTTTTTCGACGATTCTACCGTCTACGCCCGCACATCACGTATGTATTTCTGCAGTGACATTTATTTATTGTCAGATTTGCGAACGCCGAAAAGGAGTCGATCAAGACAGAGTACATATGCGTCGAGGTCCCAGCTGGCAGTGGAACTTCGAAGATGTGATGAAGAATTCGGCCACTCCCCGATCGTGCATCACGAAGGAAGCCCGATGCCAATTTGAGCAGCACTACACCTAGCAGCGCTTCTCCAATACAAACTACCACTTCAGTGCTTACAGTTGACCTTCTCTATTTCTCGCTAGCCATGCCAGACATGATTCAAAAATCACCCGCCTTTGTATTGGAGCTACTCTGCACAAAGGATTGCAACCAACCATCTAGCTCATATCAAGATCCTGTCAAACCGATTGAAGGCTACGACCATGACACCAGTTCTATTCTATTCACGTGCCGCGCCTTTCGGGAGCCTGTTGTGTGTTTGGGAGATCTGAAAATGTCCTTCGTTAGGGTGACTATATTGCTAGCGAGGAAGATGGAAGGTGACCTTATGTATTCTTTTTTGCCTTCTCTGGTGCCAGAAGGAGAAGAAGCCGAGATCGCCAAGTCCTATCTACGACGTTGACCTCATCAATGCCGAAGAAGAGGAAGACATTCTGGATCTTCCCGTACCTACCACCAGGTGTTATTGTGATGCTTATCGGTCTGTTTGACGAGGTATCTGATATAACTATCTTGTAGGGTCAGTCAATTGTCCCCAAAAGACAAAATCGAATCATCATCATGACCGTCCCGCTTATAAGCGTGAATGCTCAAAAGCGCAGTCGTAGGCATCACTTACTGTTCAACGTTTCATGCCCATATTTTCTCAAGAAGCTGCAGTAAGATGTCGGTACAACCATCGATGTTCGTTGACGGTATACTGAGGCCAACAAGTTTGGAAGAGTGGGACTTTGGAACGTGGTGGGAAGGTTCTCCCCTACCAGCAAGCGGGAAGAGTGTGCGAGCCATGAGGAAGTGTTCGATGTTCGGAAGGTTGTATCAAAAAGCCAAGAAGTAGATCGCGGGGGATATAATGCTGGATTGACTGGAAGGTTCCTCATACTGATCGGTGATCAGTGAATGGAGATATGCATGGCGGGAGATGGGGTAGGATGCATGTCATATAGAGTACCACGAACAGTTCGTGATCCAGCACCTTGTCGGGACGAGGGAGTAAGGGCGTCATTCCGGTTGAGCAGTGACCCGAGATGATATTTCTGGACCCTGGCGCCTATGAGTAGCCCACAGCCACATTCCGATAATCAGTTGCAAGCTGTAGATGCACCGCACCAGCAACTCACCCCCATCACAGACCATCACTCCAGTGACAGGTAGGTCGCTCGGCTTCTCCTCCTGGCCGTATTTAACTTTCAGCTAGGTATGAAGACGAAGAATCAGGCGAAGCACCTAGAGCAGTCGAGCATGAAGTCACATCGAGAACCTGTCAAGACATTTGAAGGTCATAAGGAAAACATCACCTCCATTGCAACTTTTCCAGATGGAAAGAGAATAGCAACTGGGTCTTCCGATAAGACAATACGGATCTGGAGACTTGACGATGGCGCTGAGATAATGAAATGGGTGGTAGATGGCGCAGTCACTGCACTTGCAATTTTGCAGAACGGGAGCCACGTGGTCAGCGCAGAGCAGGAGATCGAAGGCGAATCTATCGAGGATTTGCTCATTATAAACAGCATATGGGTACGGGATGCAGCTGAGAGTGGGAGGGTCATTGCATGTTACTTGATCGATCACACAGGCGACATCGCGGTGTCTTCTTTGGACGTTTCCCCTGATGGCAAAACCTTGGCCAGCAGCTCAAATTGTAAAGTCATTTTATGGGACACAACCACCTGGAGGAGGCAAGGTGCTCCCCTCATCCAGTGGTTCTTAGGCATGGATCACTCCAACGACAACTCGACATTGCTCCAATCCTCCAATGACCCCATATCATCGTTCATCGAGAGGCTCAATGCGGTCAGTTGTGTTCAATTTTCTCCGTCCGGTCAACTCGGCATTGCTACCTCCAAAAATATCCAAATATGGGACGTGAAACGAAGAAAATGTATTGCTACATTCATGATCGAGGTCACCGGCCACCGTTTCAGCAGGTGCAACCAATCGCTCATCTGGACTCATGATGGTGCCCATCTTCTCTCAGCAGGCAGTTCCGAAGATTGTGTGACATTGCGCTCTTGGAACACGTCCACCTATAAACAGGTTGGACACCCGTGGACTGGGTACTCCCAGCGTATCATCTTGAACTTAACGGGAACCCTTCTCGCATCAGCATCGGGATTTAACGACGGCACCGTTCGCCTGTGGGACTTTCGCACAAAAACAGAAGTTGCCCGATTTCAGCACCCACACCCACACGAACTGTTCTTTCTGGCATTTTCAGTGGATGGACGCTTTCTATTCAGTGCTGGGGCCAACAAGAAAATCTTGCAATGGAAGATACCGGACGACGTTCTCACGGCAGCGGGCATTGATCCTCTGGCTGAGGAGAACAACGAGGTGACTCCTCCCAACTATTATTTCACTCTGGGCGCAAGCTCACGCGCATCCATTCCAGGTTGATCCTTCACGAGGCAAGCAAAAGGTGCGTTTTATAATCCCACATTCGATGTATGTACTGACTCTCAACGAGAATCCAAATCGCTTCAATATTAATGTACGTCGTTTTGCACCCACCAATTCAACGTCATCTCGAATACTTTTAGTCGGAGATTCCTGGCCAGCGCCGCAATAAACCAGGGAACTACCAGCCCATCGACAGGTCGCACACACGGACTACTCACTCTGCATTTTTTGAGCGCGCCGGAGCAGAACGCCCTGACCCTTCATCCACTCGCTTGCATGGTGTCAGAACCTTTTTCGATCGCATTCAGCCGTCATCAGACAAGAAAGGGAAGCAAAATGAGCATAAACCGAAGCGGGATGCTGCGGTTGTTGATGTTCCTCTCGGACAAGCCACATACGTTTGTTGTTTGCAATTCTATTGGGCTCGCAAGATCTGACAATGTCCTTCGTTAGGGTGACGTTGTCGGTGTGGATGACGGACGACGACCGTATGAGGACGACGAACCTGGGGAAGACTTTCTGAATACTCCCATACCTACTACACGGTAAGCAAGTTTAACTGTTTGCTAAACAGGGTAGCTGATATACCTTTTTGATAGGCTCCAGTTTTTCCAGCGGGAAGAAATTGAATTGAAACCAATGGCCAGTCGGTCGCAGCCAGAGGCAGGTCCGTCTCGCCTTGCCGCAACTGAAGAACACCCGGAGGCCCAGTCTTCGTGGTTAGTTTTTATTTTCGTCTCTCGAGCTTCGCATCGTACTTACAGTTTCATATCGCGTTTCGACAGTGTCTTTAACGGACCTTAAATTTGAGCACCGACTCACCAAGGTTCTCTATGGCTCTTACAACTCTTTACTTGGGTATCAAGGTGTCGCTTAGAATCAAACAACCTTCAATAACCCGTAACAGATCCGTTTGAATCACACTTTCACATTGTGACGCTCTCTAATCACAAGGTCGATGACCTCAGAATGGCCTCAGTGTTACAACAGTTATAAATCGAGTTCGTGCTACTACCACAGCGCTTCGATAGTGCAGAGCAACAATCAAGGGCGACAGAAACAATTCGCGCCTTTCTACACCGCTCGTATTAACGAACAGGGTGAAAAATTGGTTGGGAAACCTTGTTGAGCTACCGTTAAAGCAGCAAAACGTGTTTCCAATACACATTGTAGATATTAGACTTTAGTACAGAAATTGAAGGACGATCAAAACCTACAGAGCACTGAGGGACCGACGTCAAAGGGATCGAGGGTGGCTCGAGTCGCTAGCATTCAGATGTAACATTGAAAGCAATCTCTATGCCCGCACATCACGCATATATTCACGCTGTGATCAATTCTCGTCAGATTTGCATCAGCTGTAACAAGGCTGTAAAGGACATCGAAGATATGACGAAGAAAACCGCTTTCGAACCCACATGAATAAAATCCAACGAATGAGAGAAGTATGTGCTACCATCCTACCCGCTATCCCAGATATCGTGCGTGACAGTGTGGCAGCATCGGTGACTAACCCTCCGCCGCCAATATTCATACCTACAAGCAAACATCTTGTCGATAAATGCATGCAGGACACGATGTCGTCCCGCCTTGAATGATTGCCACGGATCAGTCGCGGTATACAACCCCAAGAAGTATGAAAAAGGTGCCGCAGGTGTGTGGGCGGGACTTGAGGGACTCTAAAGCGCGAAAAGGAGTGGGCGAACCGTGCGTATAATTGGTGCTCGGAAAGCAGAGGAAGTAGATCATGATATCGGTGCAGTGATCACAGACGCGGTTCGGTTGCATTTGATGCTGGCCGAAGAACAACGGAAAGGAAATGAGTAGTCGGTATGTAGGAGATGACTAGGCATATTTCAGAGAGTATGACGGACGGTGAATGTTCCAGCGCCTATTTGGGATCCCAAAACAGACCGAGGGAGTAAGTGCACAGGTAGAGCAGTGCCTTGGTACAATAGTCATTGATCTTAGCGCCTAAGAGCAGGCCACGAGGCCACGTTGATGTAATGAGCTGCATGCTGTAGTCACGTTGCACAATCAACGCACCTTGACCATAAACCATCGCTCCAGCAACAGGTAGGCTACTCGCATTCTCCTCTTGGCTGTGTCTAATTTCCCACTGGGCAAGACAGACGAGGAATCCAACGAAGCGCCTTGCTTGGAAAAGCAGTTGGGAATGAAAGACGACAAACTAGCTGGGTCATATCAAAAGCCTGTCAAGATGTTTGAAGGTCATGAGCACAACATCACCTGCATTGCAACTTTTCCGGACGGCGAGAGAATAGCGACTGGGTCTGACGACAAGACAATCCGCATCTGGAGGCTTGAGGACGGCACAGAAATGAAGAAGTGGGTCGTGAAGAAGTATGTCTACGCACTTGTAATCTTGCGAGACGGGACACACGTGGTTAGCGCTGAGGGAGAGGACATACTTGTGGATGATGAGGAGCATCCGTGGAAGCTTTTAGTGCGTGATGCTGAGACTGGGAGGGTCGTTGCAGGTCCCTTGGACGGTCACAGAAATTGGGTGGATACTTTGGACATTTCCCCTGATGGCAAAATCTTGGCCAGTGGATCATACGATCGCAGTGTCATTTTATGGGACACCAGCACCTGGCAGAAGAAAGGCGATCCCCTCTGGTGTGGTGCAAAAATCAGTTGTGTCCGATTTTCTCTGACCGGTCAACTTGGCGTTGCTACCGAGAAAGATATCCAAATATGGGACTTGGACCGAAGAGAGCGTCTTGCTCAATTCAAGGGTCATGCCGACTTCAACAATGCATGGAACAATTCACTCACCTGGACTCGTGATGGCGCCAATCTCCTCTCAGCGGGTACTGCCGAGGATCCCGTCATCCGTTCTTGGGATACCTCTACCTGGAAACAGGCTGGTGATCCCTGGAGTGGTCATGATGTCGACAACCACATCTATCCTAATCATCTTGAACCCGGCTGGTACCCTTCTCGCAACAGCATCTCAAGACAACACAATTCGCTTGTGGCAGCTCCCCGGAGGCACTGAAGTCGCCCGGTTTCAGCACTCGACTTGGGCGGCTCGTATTGCATTCTCGGTCGATGGTCGCTCTATATTCGGCGGCGACGACAACAAAATATCGCAATGGGAGATACCGGAGCAGGTCCTCGCAGCGGCGTGTGGTAAGGTTGGTACTCCTCCCAACTTCTATTTCACTCCGCCCACAAGCTCACGCGCTCCCATGTCAGGCTGGTCCTTCACGGGGCAAACAAAAGGCACGTGTTCTTTGCTAGCATCCCATGTATATACTGACTTTCGACCAGAATCGACAACGGCTTCTTCATGTACGTGGTCCCATGGTCACCAGTTCACTGTCGTCTTAGATACTTCTAGTCAGAAATTCCTGGCCAGCGCCGCAGGGCACTGAACTACGACTCTCCATCGCCACGCACTCATGCCGAGAGCTCTTCATTCTCTCCGTTGCACGATTTCAGGACCTTTTTCAGTGGCATCCGGCCGTCGTCAGACAAGCAAAAGGAGCGTCAACCAAAACAAAAGGCTCCGGAAGTCGTCGATGTTCCTCTCGGGCAAGCCACATATGTTTGTTACCCCCAATTCTATCGAATTTGTGAGATCTGACTACATCCTTCACCAGGGTGATGTTGTTGGCGTGGACGACGGAACACGTCCATACTCGCTCTTCTGTTGCCTCAGCTGGTGCCAGAAAAAGAAGAAGCCGGATCTGCCACTGCCAGTCTACGACGTCGACCTCATGAATGAAGAACAAGAGGAAAACATTCCCAACACTCCCATACCTACTTCTTCTACGCTGTACGATCATCTCATCCACCTATACAATGCATCACCTGATTTGATTTTAATTTTATAGCCCTCAATTTTTCCAGCTCGACCAAATCGAATTGAAACCGATGACTAACCAGTCGCAGCCCGAGGCAGGACCATCTCGCCTTGCATTTTTTGATGATCCCGGTCTGCGTAGTTAGTTACATCTCTAGGATCCTACATCATTACTCGAACCTTTATACTGTGGTCACCCTTCCTCTGATGACTGTGACCTCCAAACGGACTCTTTCTTTTTACTATCCTTTGCATTACTCGGATGTAAACGTGTAGGGATAAGTATGTACATTGTTTTTCATATCGTGTATTTGTATTGATTCACCTAGTCGATCTTTTGCTTTCCGCTCATGGACCACTTCAGAGGTTCTATCAGCCCTGTATGCTTTGTAGTCACGGCTTAGACGATCACCACTAGTTCCCGATAGACTTCTATTCTAGACCCTCTGCTTGTACGCAGGAGCGCTGTTAGTGGGCATGGATTCGTCAACTTTCCCCAACCTCTCCTGTCTGTATCCTACTGACACGTAGGGTCAGGAACCCGAGTGTCAGAACCCCGCTATCAAAGACTCAAATACACGGAGACGACGTGTGCGATGCCACCTTGCACTTCAAGCTTCAACGCTGATCTTACCCACGGACATACATTCTCTCAACAAGTTGCATGCAGGACATCACACTTGTCCTGCCTTCGATGTGTAGTAACATCGCGATCACTGCGCATACAGATTGATACAATAGCGACATTCGATCGAGCACAGGGTGACGGGTGTGCGAACCAACCCCAGGTGGCCCCTAATGAGCCAGAAAATTGAAAGGTGAACATATACGAATGCGAGAGTGACGAAGAGGCCTCGAAGCTTTGATGTGGCGCCATCGATAGATGGACAGGACAGTCTGGTTGGCATCGTTCTTCGCACATGCCTATGCTGTGTTTGGAATTTGAAAGGATATCGACAAATTTGCTTCCCAATGGAACGAGACGAGCGTGAAGACACGACCAGGGAGATCGATATATTTGCGCTGCCAACAGAATAGCTCGTGCAAGAAGATCCACAGGACTCCGAGACCATAAGTCTGCGAGTACAGTCCTGAAAGATATTATGGACTTGTCAATTCGTCGTAAGTGAAATCGAGCAATGACGATGGTAGCACTCTCAAAGAGGCGACCATCCACTTTACGTCCAGGAATACATATCGGTAGTTCCATAGCTACGTTTCCCATCAGCAGCCCCGTGCCGATAGACACATCTGCACTACGCACGAGCACCTTGTTCCCATGCGACCGCGGTGGCCCATAACACAAACATAACAGCTTTTGCAATTGTCTACTTCGCGTGATTCATCCAACCAGCCACCTACATCGGGTCTAGCGGTGCCAGCAGCGGAGTCCATTCTTGTAACTTGGCTCTTCACCGGAGTATCGCTGTGGTAGATACCACAGATACCACAAGAGTCACAAACGAAGCTGAGTACCGAGTCAATATAGTAGGGCACTCTGGTGGTGATGGTGGGTCCACTTTAAAGAGTTCACAATCTCAAGAAAACGCTCGTCAGCACGGGATCAGACAGAAAATAAAAGCGGACGGATTTCGAGAAACGTTGGAATTGTTGAGATTGCTGGTGTAGGCAATTGATGATGAGGTTGTCATCAATGTTGTAGATCGACAACACACTTGCCGCAAATCTTCATGCCCACAGGCATGTGTTCTTTATAAGCTGCACGCAGCCAGTCTTACGATATGTGTCGACATATCATGGCGCCAAGCAGTGTGAAAAACGTCGCCAAGCGTGAACGGGACTTCGGGGTGTGCGAGAGGGTGTTCTCCTGTGCTGAAAGGAAGGCGAGGAATGGGCGAACTATGAGAAAGTGGTCGGGGTTAAGGAGACCGGTCGTACTCGAAAAAAGGAGGAAGCGCATCGGGATGAGTCCGATTGTATCTGACGGAATATTAGTGGGAGGAAAGCGGTTGGCGCCGCGGAGGATAGGTATTGGAACCACATTCTCGGGATTTTGAGAACATGTGCAAGAATTCTTTGGATGTTTCCCCTGTCGGGGAAACGTTGGTGAGCGCGTTTATGGAACACGAGCACCAGCTGGAGCCTAGCAGAGGAAAGCCAATCCTCTCTTCTGTGGCATTGTTGACGTCAGATTTTCTCCGACCGGTCAGCTCGGCGTTGCTACCACCGAAGATATCCAAATATGGAACTTGGACCGAAGAGAGCGACTTGCTCAATTCCATCAAGAGTTATGCCGCCTTCAACTTGTAATGCATCGATATATGTATCCACTTCGATCACGCCTGAATACTCTCGACGACGTCGAAGCTAGCAGTTATGTTAGATCCGAGTCCTCCCCTATCAAACACCTCACATCGACTTTCATGACCTCCCAAAAGTGCCGTCTCTGGAGCTTGAGCTTTCACAATTCTACGACGACTATTTTCCATATATACCACCATCTAATAATCATGATAGACCCTAGCAGCAAACTAAAAATGCATCGGTGAGACTCAGTAACAGTGCATATGACGGCGAAACTACAAAACTGCGTCGTAAGTATTTCAGTCACAAGTATGTTATATATTCAAAGTGTTTCCAAGATCTCCATTGCTCGAGCGGCAGTGAAATTTGTTCAGAGGCAAGAACGTCGAGCAACTCCGAGTCAACAATAAACTACTCCCGTGTCGTGCCATCAATCATACTACACCGATGCGAGGTTATACAGACGGTCCAACCGAGGACACGCTCACCTGTAAACAAGTTGGACACCCATGGACTCGGTACTCCTGGCGTATGATCTTGAACTTAACGGGAACCCTTCTCGCATCAGCTGAAGCCAACGACGGCACCATTCGCTTGTGGCACCTTCTCACAAAAACAGAGGTTGCCCGATTTCAGCACCCAGACGCACTGTCCTTTGTTGTGGATGGACGCTTTCTATTCAGTGCTGAGGCCGACAAGAAAATCTTACGATGGAAGATACCGGACGAGGTTCTCACAGCAGTGGGCATTGATCCTCTGGCTGAGGAGAAAAACGAGGTGACTCCTCCCAACTAACATTTCACCCTGGGCTCAAGCTCACGCGCATCCATTCCAGGTTGATCCTTCACGAGGCAAGCAAAAGGTGCGTTTTATAATCCCACATTCGATGCATGTGACTCTCAACGAGAATCCAAATCGCTTCAATATCAATGTACGTCGTTTTGCACCCACCAATTCAACGTTATCTTGAATACTTTTAGTCGGAGATTCCTGGCCAGCGCCGCAATAAACCAGGGAATTACCAGCGCATCGACAGGTCGCCCACACGGACTACTCACGCTGCATTTTTTGAGCGCGCCGAGGCAGAACGCCCTGACCCTTCATCCACTCGCTTGCATGGTGTCAGAACCTTTTTCGATCGCATTCGGCCGTCATCAAACAAGAAAGGGAAGCAAAAGGAGCATAAACCGAAGCGGAATGCTGCGGTTGTTGATGTTCCTCTCGGACAAGCCACATACGATTGTTGTTTGCAATTCTATTGGGCTCGTGAGATCTGACAATGTCCTTCGTTAGGGTGACGTTGTCGGTGTGGATGACGATGTCTGGGACAAGGATAATATATCCTGCGCATCTCGTGACTTTTGCGACGTTCCTGTATGTATTGTTTACTCAAATATACTAGGGTGCCCTTCTGCATGCCATGCACGGTTGTGCCCTGAGGGAACGGTTTTTACGGGGATCGACCGTTGCTCCAATTCGCTTTCATTCATAGGCAGATGCAACATCGCCTTGAGGTACCTCCTTCAGCGCATCACGCATGTATTTCCGCAGTGATCATTCGTTAAATTTCCCTCCAGAATGTAAAACAGAGTATAGGTCGAGGTCAGATTCGAAGATGGGGCATACTAAACTTAACAAGAAAGTCGGGACAATCTGGGAACTGTACCCTACCCGCTATCAAAGACTCAAATACACGGAGACAACGTGTGCGATGCCACCTTGCACTTCAAGTTTCAACGCTGATCTTACCCACGGGCATACATCCTCTCAACAAGCTGCATGCAGGACATCGTACTTGTCCTGCCTTCGATGTGTACCAAGGTCGATAGTATGCCGACGCCAGGAGATGTGAAAAAGGTGTGAGCGTGAATTCGGAATGCGTGTTGAGATCTGACAAGCGGGAAGAGGTGTATGTGCGGCAATTGAACTTGAGAGTTCGGACTTCGCACGTCACACGTTCGAGAATGGAAACAGTGTCCATCGCTAACAATAATATTTTAATGCAACAACGGAGGGTGACAGTAGAGGATTGTGGGCTAAGGATCCCCATGCTCAGAGCAATACACGAGAATACGGCAAACAGAAAAGGCTAACTGACGTCCTAGCGTCCTGAGATTCGATGGATTCGACGGTATAATACAGTTCATGTGTTGTGACAAGAGTTTGTTTGTTTTCTGTAGGAGAAAGACCCGTTAACTGTATCCATCGATATGAACAAATTACTGACGTAGTTCTTTAAGCTTCAAGAAGCCCGGAACCAGCGAGGCGGGCAATCCTTTTGCAGCAGCTCTTTCAAAGCTTTATATTTCTCCTCTGGCGGCGTGCTAGTCGGTAAGCCTTCATAAGGATCTGTTGCGGCAAAGGCAATGCACCAAAAGCGCTTCCCCTCCAAGGTTTTGACGCGGCGGAATTTCGTGTAGCAGAAAACGCCCGTCCGCAATCTGGCCTCCCTCGACGCCAGAAGAATGATGTCAAGTCCGTCTTGCCGCGTCTTCGGAGGATCATAACCCAGCTCAATGCCTCGCTGGAACAACCAGTCCTCTCCCACTAGATATCCACAAAATTTCACCATCACGATACTTGCAGGAGAGTGTTAGTGTGTAGAAACGATTGAACACGCCAACTTACCTAGGATTGGGGAATTCAGCAACGTTCAATTTGAACCAAAACTACATTTACAAGCAGCAGCCACTTATATAGCATGTCATGTGATCAAGCACGGTGCCACTAGTGGCAACAAACGCCCACCTGTTGTTCTCGAATCTCCTTCGAAATAATATTGATCAATCAAACTGATCTTTTTGTTTGGGAGAATCAATCACCCCATCGTAACCTATCTTGTCAGGTACGAGCATGCGAACAATGCAAAAAGGCTGAACAACTCTTCTTCTTCATCCCCGGAAATGCTGTACAATAGCATTGTCACAAGTTGGGATGCAACGCCTTATGCTCTCTTATGCTCTATAAGAAATCAAGGTCTGTAATCTGTACATATAACATATTGTCCGACATCATTTGAAAGAGTACTCACGCACTGGTTCACGATGCCTTCCTGGTGTCTTCCCGGACGCGAGAATGATCCTGTCATGGAACGCAAGGCCATCTTGCAAAAATCCTTAGCATTCTCTCGCACCTTCAACTCTCGCAACCTTGAATTCTACTGGTACCCACTATGGGCCCAGACCCTGTCCGATCTCGTTGCGGATGTCCCTAATTTGCTGGTCGCACCGCAGTTCCCCGCTTGGTTCGTTCCGGAAGACGACCAACAGGAGGATGAAGATGATGGTGATGATCCAGAGGAGGTAGATATGCATGAGTCACTGGACGCTGAAGAAAGCGCTGTTACCAGAGACGACGACGTTGGAGAGTTGTCTTTCGCCTCGACTGCCCCCGAACAACATGCCAGGGGTGTCCTTGTTGATTTTGCCATCCTCAAGGTTAGCGCAGAACCTCAACAGCGGCAAAATATTCGTTATGGAGGATGGAGGATCACGGGAGCAAATGTCGGTCTCTTCGTCGAGGTAAAGAGGTTCGTAAGTAGGAGTGGGGAGTTGGACCAGGAACTTCACGTGCAGATTGCAGAAGCTCGCGGCGATCTGATTGAACAAGTTGCATATCTATTTCTGCAGGATGAAAACAAGGACTCTGTATTGGCAATTGCAGCTGCAGATAATTTGTCCATGTCGCATCATGTCTGTAGTACATACCTTGACCGTCCATCTGCAGGTCCATATTGGTGCAACACAAAGAAGGACATCGAAGATATGACGAAGAAAACCGCTTCCGAACCCACATGAATAAAATCCAACGGATCCGAGAAGTACGCGCTACCGTCCTACTCGCTATCCCAGATATCATGCATGACAGTGTGGCAGTATCGGCGACTAACCCCCCGCCGCCAATATTCATACCTACAAGCAAACGTCTTGTCGACTAATGCATGCAGGACACGATGTCGTCCCGCCTTGAATGAGTGCCACGGATCACGGTTGCGGTATACAACCCCAAGAAGTATGAAAAAGGTTCCACGGGTGTGTGGGCGGGACTTGAGGGACTCTAAAGCGCGAAAAGGAGTGGGCGAACCGTGCGTATAATTGGTGCTCGGAAAGCAGAGGAAGTAGATCATGATATCGGTGCAATGGTCACAGACTCGGTTCAGTTGTATTCAATGCTGGCCGAAGAACAACAGAAGGAGATGAGTAGTCGGTATGTAGGAGATGACTAGGTATATTACAGAGAGCATGACGGACGGTGCATGTTCCAGCGCCTATTTGGGATCCCAAAACAGACCAAGGGAGTAAGTGCGCAGGTTGAGCAGTGCGTTGGTACAACAGTCGTTGATCCTGGCGCCTAAGAACAGGCCACGAGGCCACGTTGATGTAATGAGCTGCATGCTGTAGTCACGTTGCACAATCAACGCACCTTCACCATCAACTATCGCTCCAGCAACAGGTAGGCTACTCGCATTCTCCTGTTGGCTGTGTCTGAGTTCCTGGAACCTGCCAGGCAAGACAAACGAGGAATCCAACGAAGCACCTTGCTTAGAAAAGTAGTTGAGCATGAAAGACGACAAACTAGCTGGGTCACATCAAGAGCCTGTCAAGACGTTAGGTCATGAGGACGGAATCCTCTGCTTTGCAACTTTTCCAGACGGCAAGAGAATAGCGACTGGGTCTTTCAATGGGACAACCAGCATCTGGAGGCTTGATGACGGCACAGAAATGAAGAAGTGGATCGGGAAGAAGTGTGTCTATGCACTTGCAATCTTGCGAGACGGGACGCACGTAGTTAGCGCTGAAGGACGGAACGTAAACGGGGATTTGGATGATGAGGAGTATCCGTGGAAGCTTTCAGTGCGTGATGCTGAGACTGGGAGGGTCATTGCAGGTCCCTTGGACGGTCACACATATGACGCGATTACATTGGAGATTTCCCTTGACGGTAAAATCTTGGCCAGTGGGTCAGAAGATTGCAGTGTCATTTTATGGGACACCAGCACCTGGCAGAGGAAAGGCGATCCCCTCTGGTGTGGCGCACAAATCAGGTGTGCACAATTTTCTCCGACCGGTCAACTCGGCGTTGCTACCGCCGACAATATCCAAATATGGGACTTGGACCGAAGGGAGCGACTTGTTCAATTCAAGGGTCATGCCGACTTCAATTCATGGAACAATTCACTCACCTGGACTCGTGATGGCGCCCATCTCCTCTCAGCAGGTGATCGACATGATCCCGTCATCCGCTCTTGGGATACCTCTACCTGGAAACAGGCTGGTGATCCCTGGAGTGGTCATGATGTCGACGAGCATATCCTTCATATTATCTTGAACCCGACTGGTACACTTCTCACATCATCACGTGACGACTACATAATTCGCTTGTGGCAGCTCCCCGGAGGCACTGAAGTTGCAAGGTTTTAACTCGCACATATGGGGTGTCATGGTTCATTCTCCGTCGATGGATGTTCTATATTCAGCGGCGACAACAACAAATTATCGCAATGGGAGATGCTGGAGCATGCCCTCGCAGCGGCACGCGTTAATCCTTTGGTAACTCCTCCCAACTTCTATTTCACTCCGCCCACAAGCTCACGCACTCCCATGTCAGGCTGGTCCTTCACGGGGCAAACAACAGGCACGTGTTCTTTACTAGTATCCCGTGTATATGCTGATTTTTGACCAGAATCGACAAGGGCTTCTTCATGTACGTGATCCCATGGTCACCAGTTCACTGTCGTCTTAGATACTCCTAGTCAGAAAATCCTGGCCAGCGCCGCAGGGCACTGAACTATGAGCCTACCAACAGGCCTCGCGGACAGGCTGCCTACTCTCCATCGCCACGCACTCACGCCGAGAGGTCTTCATCTTCTCCGTTGCATGATTTCAGGACCTTTTTCAGTGGCATCCGGCTGTCGTCAGACAAACAAAAGGAGCGTCAACCGAAACAAAAGGCTCTGGAAGTTATTGATGTTCCTCTCGGGCAAGCCACATATGTTTGTTATCCCCAATGCTATCGAATTTGTGAGATCTGACCACATCCTTCACCAGGGTGATGTTGTTGGTGTGGACGACGGAACACGTCCATACTCGCTCTTCTGTTGCCTCAGCTGGTGCCAGAAAAAGAAGAAGCCAGATCTGCCACTGCCAGTCTACGACAGTCGACCTCATGAATGAAGAACAAGAGGAAAACATTCCAACAATCCAATACCTACTTCTTCTACGCTGTACGATCATCTCATCCACCTATAAAATGCATCACCTGATTTGATTTTAATTTTATAGCACTCAATTTTTTCAGCTCGACCAAATCGAATTGAAACCAATGACCTAACCAGTTGCAGCCCGAGGCAGGACCATCTCGCCTTGCATTTTTTGATGATCCCGGTCTGCATAGTTAGTTACATCACTAGGATCCTACATCATACTCGAACCTTTATACTGTGGTCACCCTTCCTCTGATGACTGTGACCTCCAAACGGACTCTTTCTTTTTACTACCCTTTGCATTACTGGATGCAAAGGTGTAGGGATAAGTATGTACATTGTGTTTCATAACGTGTATTTGTATCGATTCACCTAGTCGATCTTTTACTTTCAGCTCATGGACCACTTCAGAGGTTCTATCAGCCCTGTATGCTTTGTAGTCACGGCTTAGACGATCACCACTAGTTCCCGATAGACTTCTATTCTAGACCCTCTGCTTGTACGCAGGAGCGCTGTTAGTGGGCATGGATTCGTCACCTTTCCCCAACCTCTCCTGTCTGTATCCTACTAACACATAGGGTCAGGAACCCGAGTGTCAGAAGGTTCAAGCTTCGGCACTAGGCATACTTTCATCGTATTCATCATACCCAACTTCACGCTGGCCTTCAGAACTCCTAGGCATGTAGCATTTACCTCAAGAACTGCGTGTATATCCCTCATAGACCGTCAAACGCCCGCCCCAACTAAGCTCGAGACCAGCCTGACTTAAGTATACAACCACAGACGAGTGTTGTATCAGTATCTCAATCAGTGCGCTCACGCAAAATGATCACGAGTCTAAGCCCAGATCAAGTTCTTCCACCTAATCTGACAGCACCGCTCCCAACATAAACGTCCTTTCCCCTTGCTTTTCCCCCTTGGTTCCATACCCATCTGCTCCATCACCGTTCAGCTCGCAGCGGCTCTTATGGGTCTTGTAGTGTACGACTTTGCCAAATATCGATCTATTCTATTGGTTAATGCAAAGAGGATCAGAACTGGTGCTGTAACCGCACTAGCTCGAGTGCATCAGCATTCAGGTACGTGTTCCATAGCTCTATCTTCATTTTGCTCTAATAAACGCATATATTGCGCCAACTCGCAGATATCCTGCCCCTTCTTATTGTGTCGCTTATAGAAATGTTGCCCTCGCTGGATACCTTCGTATCATATGATACGTACGGATATCATTAAGGCACGCCCCGACAATAAACAGAAGGTGCTGGGGTTTGAATTTCTCTACACAAGTCTAATTGATCAATCGGTTGAACGAATTTGCAGCCCTTCCACTATCGATTCTCATGCCTCTAGGGTATCTTTGCTTAGGGCCAGTATTGTCGTGTAAGTACCGTCAAAATATACTACTCGATGCATCTCCCTCGACATTAGACTAGAGTTCCATTCGTGCTGTGAGCTGCTCAGGTGGCCCACCAGCCCTCATGGCTCACCCTGGATCCTCTGGGTTTGGCGATGTTTCAGGTCGAAAAATCCTATACCGAGTACAACTTTGAGGTCACCAACAATGACCAGCTGGAGATTCCGTACTTCAACGAGAACCGTTGCGCACATAAGTACGTTCATGGTACTGGTCATACCGACTTCACCCCTCTTCACCCTCAGTCACTCATTAAGTTTCCAGTACTCTGCAGTATTATCTGCAATATTAAATATGGATACTTCTGAAGCCCCATGTTGACAGCCTCGCGGCCAACTTTGCATTCCCCCAACTCACCTTCAACGCATACAAGCAGACTGTGTAGGAGGCCGATCCCGTAGAATACGTCTGTGCCAGCGTCTGTGAGTTTCTTTCTCCCGTTTGCCTTATCTCCATATCTTACATGCACGACAGACGAATACGCAAACCTTTCGTCTCCCGTGAGTGGCGCAACCTCGTTCCTCCTCTCCCTCGCAAGCAACCGCACAAAAATGTCCTTCCTCTCGATGCTTCAGTTCATTAATACTGTCTTGCGCCCGTACGTCTTATTCCTTCTCCTGCGTTCGTTAACCCACGAGAATATGATACAGGAATCCTTCACCAGCTCGGCGCACTTACGATGACAGCAGTGCTCGGCCCCTTCATCGTACGCCATCCTGAGGTTAAAGGAAGCATAGAGCAGTTCATGGTGTAATATGTCCTGCCGGAGTTCACAGCGCAGGTGCCGTACTTGCGAAGTGCAGTATGTCTTTTTACTCCCTTTCTATCTCTGCATCTCCTTGAGTTGACGTGATTCAGGCATGCGAAGTGCTAGGTGTGGTGACAAAGGCCGGTATCACATTATCTAGTGAGGAGGTGGGCATTGCAAACAAAACGTTGCTTTTGTGTTGATGTCCATTTTGCTTAGAATTTGAACAACCACTCTCGCGCTGTTGCGGTGGCTTTGGACGACCGCGAACTCCCAGTACGTGCGCAGGCCGCGCTGGCTATCACAGGGCTGGTTGTAGTTCACGACGCTGGTATATTGCAAATCCCCTCCCTTTATCCTGTGTCTAACTAACTTTGATTCCAAAGTCAGGGACGCTGTTTCTCCGCAAGTTGGCAAGGTCGTGCCAGGTGCATTTCATTCCAATTTACGCTGAAAAAGTCGCTATTTCTGATAGCAGCGGTTGCAGATCTTCTCAAGCTCTCTGATGAGACAGACCTCGATATCCTCAATCACAGCATGGAAGCTATGGTCGACCGCTTCCAAAATGAGCTTCTTCCCGCGGCCTCTCAACTCACCGCACGTCTGGTGAGCGCCTTATCCCTTAGTCTCTACGATACGCTGATGGAATGTGTTTAGTGTGAATCTTACTTACGCCTTGCGAAAGAAGGCCTGGCGCAGCAAAACGAAGCGGTTCCGGACCACCTCGATGTGGACTCGCTGGTTTCGAACGGCGAAGATGATAAAGTATCCGGCGCTATGGGCGTCGCTAAGACTATTGGGATTGTACGTACTTTCCCGTCAGAAAGTGCATGCGTCTCACGAGCTGCGCAGGTTGTTTCGTGCATCGACTCCTCGCCTGAAATTCTTTCACAAGTGCAAGAGGTAATCATACCCATCATCCGGTTCACCCTTGAGAATAAGTTGGTCGGTGCGTTCGCTCTTATTTCCCCATGAGCGGTGCTGATATCAGAGCGTCTGTAGATTTGTTCGATAATACGCACGACCTCGTAGACGCCCTTACCTTCCGTCTTCACGCTATATCTCTGAATATGTGGCCGGTGTTCGAGTTGACGTATGATGTCTTCAAAAGCGATGCTGTTGATTTCCTTGATGGTGCGGGCCACGACTTCCTATATAGCTTCGTACTTGTATCTGACGGAGATGGTGATTTGCAGAAATACCTCCGTCGTTGAACAACTTTGTGTCGTATGGTACAGAGGTGTTGAAGGCCCGCCCCGACTACAGGCAGAAGGTGCTCGACATATACCGCACGGCTATGACGAGCCCACAGCTGGGGGACAACGACAAGATCAACGGGTGTAAGCTAGCAGAGTCGATGCTCCTCAACTTGCACGGCCATTTTGACGATGTAAGTATTCGATTTCAATTTCATGTTTCTCACCTGCGACTCCCTCATCCTGCCTGCGCAGCTCATGCAAGACATTATCGCAATTGCCGCTGATCACATCGACAAAGGCGAGACTGCTTCCTTCCAGCTTGCTAACCTCGAAGCTCTCATCAACGCCGTGCTTTACAATGCCTCTGCTGCGTTACACTTTATGGAGGCTTACAAGCCTGGACTTGCACGCGTGTTCTTCAATCGCTGGTTCGCAGCTATCAACACCGATAATAAGCTCCCTCGCGTGCACGACAAGAAACTGAGCATTTTGGCGCTGTGTAAGTTGTTGGAGATGGAGGCTGGTGCGATTCCGGAGGGGTTGAGGGATGGGTGGCCTGGGATTGTGGGTGGTGCTTTGAATATCTTCAAGACGCTGCCTCAGGCTGTTGCGAGTGGGTTGCTGTCTTTGCTTTGGGTGGTGATTTGGCTAACATTATGGTGTGGTTTTGTAGAGCGTGAAGCTTTGGAGGACCAGCTTGTTGAAGGGGATGATGATAATGACGATGATGACGAGACGAGGTATCTGAATCTCGAGGGAGAGGAAGATGGCAAACGTGCTTTGCCTTGTTGTCTGTTCACACCCGCTGACACTCCTGTTTAGAGGACGTCTGGGACGAAGATTCCGCGTATCTCGAGATCTTAGCAAAAGAGGTTCGTCGCAGCCACCTCGCTCTTGCAACCTACCACTTACGCAAACATTCCAGGGTGCTCGTATGAGAGAAAAATCCGAGAAAGCAGAAACCGGGGACGATGAGTCAGATACATCTGAAGAATCGGAGATCGAAGAAGAACTTGGGTTTTTCAGTTTGCTGGACACGATCAACCCGTATGTCACGTTTAAGTAGGCATTGCAAAGTGCGTCCATGCTCTTATGCAACCGGATCTGCCACGGCCAGTTTATGACGACGAGATTGAGGATGACGAACAAGAGGAAAACATTCCCAATACTCTCATACCTACTTCTATGCTACACAATCACCTCAGCACTCCCACACCTACTTCTTCTACGCTGTACGATCGTCTCATTCACCTGTAAAATGCATCACCTGATTTAATTTTATAGGGCTCAATTTTTCCAGCTTGGCGAAATGGAATTGAAACCGATGACTAACCAGTCGCAGCCCGAGGCAGGACCATCTCGCCTTGCATTTTTTGATGATCCCAGTCTGCGTAGTTAGTTACATCTCTAGGATCCCACATCATACTCGAACCTTTTATACCATGGTCACCCTTCCTCGGATGGTTGTGACCTTCATCAAGGTCATGCCCAAATTCTACGTCCCTGGGGAAGTATCAATTGCAAGCTGTGGCACGCCTCCTGTACTTTGTTTCTAATGGTGATCCAATGATAGCTTGTGTTGCTCGGGCTGTGTCAGCCTACCAAGTCTCAGTCCCCCCATCTTGTCAAGCTACATCATACATGCACCCTTAGTACCAGTATAGTATTGAGCTCCGCCCATGGTGCGTCAAGCCTCGCCCATGTCACGTCAAGCCACATTGTACCATGCACCTCTTCACCGGAGTGTTGCTGTGTTAGACACTACAGGTACCACAAGAGTCACAGACGAAGCTGAGTGCCGAGTCAATAGGATAGGGCACTCTGGTGGTGATGGTGGGTCCACTTGAAAGAGTTCACAATCTCGAGACAATGTCTGTCAGCACGGGATCAGACAGAAAATAAAAGCGGACGGATTTTTAGAAACGGCTGGATTGTTGAGATTGCTGGTATAGGCAAGTGATAATGAGGTTGTCATCAATGCTGTAGATCGACCATGATTAATAACACACTTGCTGCCAATCTTAGCTGCACGCAGCCAGTCTTACGATGTGTCGACATATCATGGCGCCAAGCAGTGTGAAAAGCGTCGCCAAGCGTGAACGGGACTTCGGGGTGTGTGGGAGAGTGCTCTCCTGCGCTGAAAGGAGGTGAGGAATGGGCGGACTATGAGAAAGTGGTCGGGGTTAAGGAGACCGGTCGTACTCGAAAAAAGGAGGAAGCGTATCATGGAAGATGGGATGAGCCCAAATGTATCTGACGTAATATCAGGGGGGGGAAAGCGGTTGGCGCCGCGGAGGATAGGTATTAATACTATCGAGGCAATAAGAGGGTGTGGTAGTTAGTGTCGAAGCTGCCATGTCACGCTCTGAACATCTGTATAGCCGTACGTGAACCAAATTCTCAAGATCTTGAGAACATGTGCATGGATCAATTACATTTTCCGTCAATTTTGTGTCTTTGACTTCTTGTGCCTCGACGAGCAACACCGAGGCACTCCGCCTGAGAGCATGTCGATTTTGAGGTCTGTTGGCGATCGGCTGGCATTTCAGATATCATCTTTTCGAAAGGGGATTTCAGGTGGATAGGTTCTTCCTACACCCCATGAAGTTCTGCTAGAACAATATTCAGCACATAAAAGCAAGCCATCTTCCCATCGTCTCCTTCCAATTATTCTATCCCACATCACATCCTCACAAAAAATGCGTTTGTCCTTCGTCGTCGCCATTGTCGCTGGTTTGACAGCATCAGTGTCTGCCAATGACACTGTCAGTGATAGTTGTCCCAGCCTTTGCAATGAAATAAAGTGCTGCCCTGGGCAGAAATGCACGCCAACATTCGTCGACTGCTATTGTGAGTATGAGTAGTTTGCATCCTGGATTTAACCACATGACTCACCGACCTTGTAGGATACAGTCGTCGATTATTGTGAGTGAGCGGCATGTTGCGACAGTGAACTACAGTGAGTCGTGTTTCTGCTTTTGCATCGGTGCAGTATGGTTGATGGCACGGTGCGTGAGTAGGTTGTTGCTGAGCTGATCAACGTGCTTGCTTCTGGACAAATTACACTACCACTCGAGCGATGTAGATGTTGGAAACACTTGAATACATACTGTATGACTGAAGTGCTTACGACGCAGTTTCGTAGTCTCGTTGTACCCGCCATAACACATAGGCGCTGTTTACTGGGCCTAATGGATGCATTTTTGCTCTGCAGGTGAGCCGCTGAGGTCTATCGTAGCCATTTGGTGGTGGTATATGCGGAAAATCATCATCGTTAAATTTCGAAAGCTCAAGATCCAGAGATAGCACTTGTGGGAGGTCATGAAAGCCGATGCGTGGCGTTATACTAGTAGTGGTAGGGAGGACTCAGATCCAACAGAACTGTTAGTCGTCGAGGGCATCCAGGCGTGAATGGAGTGGATAGTACTCATAGCAGAGACTGTATTGCTCCGAGACAGAATGGACAGAGAAAACCACTCTCGACACCGAGGTAGACCTGAGACGTAGACGTGCGTTAAGAGCGTGTCGTGACAACTTCGACTGACTACCTTATTGCCTCCGATAGGACTCTACTATCACTGCTGAGGGAAAGGACCTAGAAGGCGGTGACCGAAGCGGCAGGCTTGACGAAACAGTGAATTGGGAGCTATGGGTGCGTGAAGCTGACACTGGGAAGTTGATGTTGATTGCAGGTCCCTTGGGTGGTCACCTGCACACACAGCCTGTGCTTGCTTTGGATGTTTCTCCTGTCGGCAAAAACGCTGGTGAGCGGGTTTATGGAACACGAGCACCGGCTGGCAGAGGAAAGGCAATCCTCTCTTCTGTGGCATTGTTGACGTCTGATTTTCTCCGATCGGTCAACTCGGCGTTGCTACCACCGAATATATCCAAATATGGAACTGGGACCGAAGAGAGCGACTTGCTCAATTCCACCGAGAGTTATGCCGACTTCAACTTGTAATGCATCGATATATGTATCCACTTCGATCACGCCTGAATACTCTCGACGACATCGAAGCTAGCAGTTCTGTTGGATCCGAGTTCTCCCCTATCAAACACCTCACATCGACTTTCATGACCTCCCAAAAGTGCCGTCTCTGGAGCTTGAGCTTTCACAATTCTACGACGACTATTTTCCGTATATAACACCATCTAATAATCATGATAGACCCTAGCAGCAAACCGAAATGCATCCATGAGACTCAGTAACAGTGCAAATGACGGTGAGACTCACCTGGATTACCCAATAAGTAAGTATTATTATACTGGGCGATCGAGCGCCTCGCTAACTATTACTTAGCTTAGTTGCGTTAAATCCCAACACCAGCGTTAAACCTTGCCCTAAATAATGTTTTACCTTATGCTACCTTGTAAGGTATTCTTGGAATGAGCCGATATAGTTAATTAACGTATTAGGAATATACAGAGCCAAATTATGTAGGCTATTCCCACGACACCTTCTCCTCGACGTCAACAGTGAGCTCGCCCTCATCAACGTTGAGCTCACTAACGGGGTTGTTCTCCTCTGTTTCTGCTCTGCCTTAGCTCATTCATCAATGCCAAGGTCCCTTCACTGCCGCATTACCCGTCCTACGAGAAGATCAGCGTCAACACTCCTGCTCTGCCTTCACCCAGCCATTGACGCTAAGGTCCCTTCACTGCTGCATCACCTGTCCTCCTCGAAGATCAACAGTCAACAGTGAGAGTGGGCAATCCCGCAGTCTGCAATTTCTACTTACAGTCGCACAGAGGTCTCCTCCAAAGTTTGCTTATCGCCATCGCATCACCTCGAGGCTCAACGTCAACGGTGAGAGTGGGCAATCCTGCAGTTCACAATTTCTACTTACAGTCGCATGGAGGTCTCCTTGGACGCTTCACTTCCCAACATGGCCTCTTGCGGTACAAGGGCCAAGAAGATCTCAGGGTTATCGCATGCAACCATCAGGCATGGTTTTAGTGGTTCTAGCAGGCACTCCAAAGTGGTAGCGGCTGGTAAACAAAATGAGCGCTTGGAGGAGGTAAACCATAAAAGACAGCAACAACTGCAAGGTGCGTTAATTGAATCGCCTTGCTATTTGGCTCTCACAAATTGCAGAAATGACATCAACTGAGCGAGACATGGTTGAAACCATGATGATGGATAATGGGTTCGACACTGACTTAACACCATATACAGCACCCCCAGGCGAGGAAGGACTGGACCTCAGTTATGAGGGTGGGGAACACAAGGTGTTCAATGGTCTCTCACAGCACGCTGTGTCGTTATCTGGTTGGTATGTGTGCATTGTTTTCAAGCTTTGATCTCACTCAGTAATATATTTTAGTTGTTATGTGGACCCTCGCACTCGCCATGATCACATTGAGGTCCAGACCGAACATTGGAATACTCAAATTGACTGCCTGGTCAATGAGTATCTAGACTATCGTGATCGTGACAGAGGTGATGGCATGCCAAGTATCCCGGAAATCCGGGAAGATGTCATAATTACTGATGGAAGCCATTGCTTATTGCTTGCTGATATCGAGCTTGTTGATATATTTGGTGCATGTTAACTTTGTTGACCACTTGGCTTTGGTAATCATTCTACAGGTCGCCGCAGAGCAACACTGCAACCGCGACCTTCCCATATTTATCCCAATGAAATGCTAATTCATCATGGCTATCTAGGTTGTTTGCCACTATATCCAACAGTCACTATCTCATTACGAAACTCTCGCCACATACTGCCAATCTCACCTGGACATGCCCTTGTTTTAGTGTCCAAGCACAGTGCAAGACTCTGTGCCATCTTCACAATGTACTGTCTTGAAATTCATTGCTGTCTGTCTGTCTCAAAGTTCATAGATTCCTTACCGCAGCATATCTCAACATGCAATTTTCTGCGGCATATGACATGTATCTCGAGATACTTCATTGCATGAAGACTCGCCTCAATGCTGCTCTTGGACGAGACACTCCCAACTGGCGGCTTCTCAATTCTTGTCCGTGTTGTGTGTATAAACTCGAAGGCGAGCCTTCCCTTACTTTTGAATGACTGGCAACTGTCGACGGAAACAATAGCCTCAAACGTTGGGCCTCAACAACATATGGCCTAGAACCACGAGAAGATTCATGACAGCCTCGTTCAGATTATTGGATCGACCAAGTGACCGTCAATAAATTTCAGAACGAAGTCCGTGCACAGACCTCAAACCATCCCAGACAAGATGACTGGGGTGATGTTCCGTCCGAGATGGAAGGATCCGAATTTCGGTGCATGGACAGATGGAGAAATGCTGGCCCTGAGCAACGTAAGAAGATGTTCGCTGTTTTTGACAAGTCTGGCATTTTTATCGCAGCCTGTCAGCACCGGTTTGTGCTTCTTGCTTGCAATATGGTTCAGAGTGGGGAACTGTTAGTATCATTGTTTATTCTCATGTACGAAATTCATGGTATCTAGGGCAAAATATCCTTTGGCCCTCCTCAATCATTTGATGCCCGTCTTGGGTGAAAATGGAGGTTGTGCTTATGACATTGGGTGTGCATTTGCCAAGACACTGGCAAGCAGTAGTTTGGGACCCCGTGCCCTCGCCCTCAATTTGCGGATGATGGTGGGTGCTTTCCACGGGCATGCTCATAATCGGCGCTGCCAGTTGGATTGGCACCCCATGTACATTGACGGCACTGGGCATACCAAGGGCGAGGGGTGTGAGCACGTATTCGCATCCTCAAATGAGCTTGCGCGAAGTACGAGGCACGCATCCACATTTCACCGACACCAGACCATTGAGGAACATTTCTCATTCTGGGATGAAGATAAATATGCCGCATTGAGTATGGTTCAAGTCACCCTTCGAGCTTAACTAATTTTATTTTCAGGCACTTTCTTGCGGAACCATTATCGAGAAGGACTAACGTCAATTCAGACCCTTACGGCTGAGCTTGCAGTGTTGCGAGATACTCTTGGACTAACTGACAGTGATTTTACATGATTCCACTCCAATGAAAGAGCGTACCTCGACAGCCTAAAGGAACCGCCCCCAAAAGAACTTCTCCAGATCCGATATGTTGAACTCCTGCGTGAATTGGCCGAGCGACGGTAAGTCTAGTGATTCCCTGTTGATTTATTCTAATTTGATCAACAAAGAGCAGAATGGCAACTGGCACAAGAGGCTGCCAACCAAGCACTAACAACTATTGCGGCTGGTGATCTAAGCCGTATTTCGGCTGCCCTTACTCAGGCCAGGATTCGCATTGACAGCGCATATACTAAATTACAGAATGCGGAAGCGTTTACGGCTCACATAGAGATTCAACTCCGGATCAGGGAATGTTGGGTGGTCAGCAGAGAAGCTTACAATCAATACAAGCAACAGGCATCTCAGCGTAAATATCGCGCTGCTTTAGATGAACTGGAACACTTAGTCGTCATGCAGGTTATTCGAACTCTCAAAGCTATCACTTTCTGGAACGGGTGTGTGGTCCATCTTCGATTTTGTTACATTGAGAACTAAGTAATCACAAGGCTACAAACTACTGCCAACAGATTGGAAAGGCTTTGCAGCGCCGTTCTGATGCTATCCAAAATGCACTCAACCAGTACAATGTGCAGGCTGCTGCACTCGATCCTCCACGTCTGCAGTTGTCTTGGAAAAATATCACTGAGTATAGTTTCTTGGGCGAGTTTGATTTACTCTGTCATTCACGCACAGACATTCGTGAGCTCGACTGGATGAAGCCTGCCCATAGGGAAGCAACAGTGAAGTATTTCAAACTCTGTCACGCTCATGAGGAGATTGTGCGGCTTAATGTCGAAATCTGCCGATTACGCACAGCCATTCATGATGAAGGCATTCAAATGACTGCAGTCATCGCTGATCTTCTAGTTTCGAACCCCCCATTAAGCCGCGAGCTTCAAAGGCAATGGCAAGCACGCGCAGCTGTCAACGCCGTGCATGTTTTGCGGTTGGATCAGCTCGCACTTCAACCAAGCTTTTCGGGTACTAGAATCATTGGCAACCACGTTGGTGCTGTCGCGACAACTGAGCTCGAGACTGACTCTATTCCACATACGGCCAGGGATGATGGTGTGTTCCTCTTGTTTGCCTTAACAACTTATATGCTAACTTAGCTTCTATCCCCACAGAAGATCGTGTCACTCACGATATCATCACTTCAGAGCATGCTGATGAGGGTATACTAGAGCATGAGGAGCAATTATAGCTCACACAGGATATTGCTGATTTTATTGTATCAATTGTCGATTGATGATGGTGTCGTTCAATGTATTGGTCTAATCAACCTTGTTGGATCACACTTAGTGCATCAGGTTTCTTAAAAATAAAATGAATTCACCATTACATGTGATCCAGCAAGATTCTGACATGTCCTGCAGTATATTGAAGTGGCGGTCCTTGATATACATAGCAGCCAGAGCCTGACCGCTGTTGCTGAACAGATTGACCTGGAGTAACTGTTGCTGAACAGATTGACCTGGAGTGACTGTTTCTGACCGCCATTTCTGAACAGATTGACCTGGAGTAACTGTTGCTGAACAGATTGCCCTAGAGTAACTGTTGATTATTAAGTAGACTTGGACTCACGGTGAGGTAAGAGCCTGGCTGCTGTAACTGTTTCTGACCGCTATTGCTGAACAGATTGACCTGGAGTAACTGTTGCTGAACAGATTGCCCTAGAGTAACTGTTGATTATTAAGTAGACTCAGACTCGCAGTGAAGTAAGAGCCTGGCCGCTGTTACTGAACAGATTGGCGAGTACTACTGTTGATGATTCATGCTGTTGGGTTTTGGCGCCACCCGCAGCCTAATCAGTGTATCTGAATCATATGTACATTGTAGACTCAAAACATCATAGGGCCTTCAAGTTATTGATTGATCTCCCCCTACCACTCACTGGCTACTCGCGATACATGATCTAAGTGCACCGCACCAATATACACCATGCCTTGAGTCCTCATTTCTCTAGTTATCCACCTCAACTCGTTATTTATTAAAACATTGGTTTTCTTATCTAGAACTGGCATACATTTACAGGCGCCTCGCATTAATCAATCTGACGCCTACTATTCTTGTTCTTCGCCCCCAGTGACTCTCCGCTAATTCAACCTACCAGCATGTCAACACCAAAACATTTGAAACAACCCCTACCATGACAAGCTGGAGACAAGGAGTCTTCTCATATGGCCAGTTTAGAGAGCCTCAGCCCAAAGCCACGCTTTACTCTTTCCAGTGTCGCGGCTCTGTATTCCAACGCCTTCACGCTGGGTTTCAGCAACGCGGAGCGTCAAGCCACAGCTCGTGCTTTGCTTAGGCACAATTCACATCAAGATGGCTCCCACTATCACACAAAGACCGCTGGTGGCCTTCACCCTTTATATATCAAGTTCAACAAGGTCTTGACATCCCAGGATGAGAGGATGATAACACACGAGGAGTTTGTAGAAGCTGCGCTTGAGGATGTTTTTGATGCAGTGAGTTTTTTTTTCAACTTAGCCTGCACATTTTTTCACTGTAGTATCTGTCACAGCTTTGTATGCAAGACCGCCTGGACGGCGGAATCTCACTGCTTATCCGTTGCCCTGGGTCTCAGGCAAGAGACAGTCTGACACCTGAATGGATTGCCGTCAACGTCTATGTCACTCCCCGCGAGCTTCATGAGTACCCAGAACAGGTTGGAGGGGACGTCTCACTCTTTGTGCAAGGATTCTGCGAGCAGATAGCCAAAAACCACCTTCAACACTTCACAGAGCAGTGCCACATTGAAGGCATTCAGCCTCCCCATCGCTGTGAGTCTTTATCATTTTTGAGGCAAATTGATCACCCTAATACTGTATATACCTAGATCCAGCTCCTCAGGTGGATCTGACGGGGTCTCAGGCCTTGCCAGCCCCTTTGGTCCTGACCGGCTCACGCATCCAATGCTCCGCTCGTCCTCCACACATTTTACACCATGACTTTGAGATTCGTGCCGCCGAAAAAAAAGGTAGTTCTGACACTCTGAGTCACCTGCAATCAAGCTTTATTCAGCATGCAACAGCACTAGCCAGCGCTGCTCTTCCTGGCGGTGCTAAGCTTCATCAGCGTCGACATGCTAATGCCTTCTCACTCCTGAAGAATGTTCAACTGGGTAACACTCTCACGCCCTTCACTGTTGATGGTCCAATTATTAGCATTGGGCCAAGCACCAATGCGGTTCTGGATTGATTCAAGATGGGCGATGAGTTGATTCCGAAGCTCCACGAGCTGATGTCAACTGTACGTAGCAGCCGTTGGGAGGCCGTCCTCAGGTCTCCAAAGTGGGAACTTACATTCGAGCAGGCAGTGCTTCTGACAACTGCACTTAACACTGACCTGCAGGGGCGCAAATTAGATGCAATCATGGTATGGACTTAGTAGTCTAGTCTGAGAATGCAACTAATGGCAGCCACAGCTGAAATCAATGTTAACTAAAACGTTCCAGGTGCTTGGGATCATGGTTTGTTTGTGCGCACTATACTTTTTCGGTCTTCTATTTGCATATTAATGTTCTGATAAATCTTTTGGCAAATGTAAATCGTGGTTAACGTACTATACAACTTGTTTTGCATATGTTTGTGCTTTGAAACTTATAAATCTGCATTGCTGATCCGTGTTGAATGGCAGGTCATGAGCTCACAGACATTCTACGCATCGAGTGCTCACTCGAGGCGTATTCAGCCAGCACCTCGTTGCCGTGCAAAAGTTCAACTAAGCAAGGAAGCACGAGCCTTGCTGACAGCTTCTCGCCGCAAGAAATCACAACTATTCAAGACCGTGCTTGATGATGTGTGGACTAACATTGACGAATCCATCAAGACGATTGCGTCCTCTAATTGCAAGAGCATTCGTCGTGTCCAGCAGGACTTGCATATGGGTCAAGGGCTCTTGTGGACGAAGCATGCCAAATTGAGCATGTGGAATGTGTTCTGCTGGAAGAAAAATCAGACCGCAGACGAAGAAAATGGTATGTGCTTTTTGTGTCTACAGTTCTTCTACCACTGACTTGTTTTATGCTACAGGACTGTCTGGGAAGGCAGTCCTGCAAGACCTTGTCCAGGAGAATCATGCCGAGTATCACGAACTCAATGACGACGCGAAAGCTAGCATTTTGAAGGAGTACGAGGAATTCAAGGCCACAAAAACTACTGGCACTCATATATCCACCAAATCAAAGGTCAACGATGTTACTCAGACCCTCAAGGCCGTCGAGAATGAGGTAGGCAATTTTTTTTTTCATTTCAACAATATTAATCATAATAATTCGCAGTTAAATAGCTTAAGATCCCGAACAGGCACGGAAACGATACTATACACGACGTGCGGCTCTACTGACCTGCCACTCCGTGGGGTTGCCTTCGCAACACATGGCATTGAAAATTTCATGGAGTCCATCATGAACGTTGATAATCAAGATCTTGTTGGTAAGAAGGAAGGTTTTGCAATGAGCGGGATATGCGGTGAGTTTTATTTTGCTAGTACTTAATGAATTTGCCACTGAATCTATCTAGGTGCTGCTCAAAATCATCAAAAATGTTGTTCCAAGATTCGCGGCTCAATCAGAAACTTAATTAATGGGGAACTCCGTGAGTCATGCACCACTCTTCGACCATTCTCTTGTCTAACTTGTGCGATGTCAGAGAACATCACCGGTGACCCAGATGCAAAGATGCAATGGGTTCACTACTGGCGCAACATTGTTCAGCGCTATCTTGTTGTTTGCACAGGGTGGCCTGACAAAATCCCCTTTGAGAACCTTAGCAAAGTGTCTAGCTCACTCGCCGACCTGGAGATGCTCGAACGGAAATGGAAGTCTGGAAAGATCCACTGGAGACGGTTGGAGAATGAGAAGTTTGAGCAACTTCATCGCGAGCGAAATGAAAAACTCGACAGCGGTGCAATTATTGAACATTGTCATCGGACCCACTCAGACAAGGGCAAGAAATGCACTCGCACTCGTTCTCCTGATGAGAACAATGAGAACGCCGACAACGACGACAGCGCAAGTCACACATCACCTGTGCCACCTGCCTCTGCTTCTGCAGGCAGTTCTACTCGGACCGAACCTTTGGCATCTACTCCTGCCAGTGGGAATGGACTCTCTCCCAACCCAGTTGGCGACAGCACAAGCTGCACATCACCTGCACCACTGGCCTCTGCTTCTGCGGGCAGTTCTACTCAGATTGATCCTTTGGCATCTGCTCCCACCGGTGGGAATGGACCCTCTCCCAACCCAGTTGGTGATATGTCATTGGATTTTGATCCTAATCTCTTTGATCCTACTCTCTTTGATCCCACTGCCTTCGATACTGTCCAATGGACTCTGCGGTGACTCGGGTTTTTTCGTTTGATTTTGATGGTACTCTCACCCACTTAAATCAACTGTTCAGTGGCCCATCTACTGTTGGCCTTTGAGGCTTCTCACTGTACCTCGATGCACGTTATAGGTTGATTAGTACTTAATATACTCGGGCTGGACAGAAGTCAATGCTATCAAATACAGTTGCGAAAATCTAATGGACCTCGCACGATTTTGAAGGCGCGCAATCACCAAAGGTATAGCCAAGAACGGCTCCTCGACACTTTGAGGAGTTCGGCTGTTATTGACGACTAGCAATACAACACAGTAGATAAGTAGTCGAGCCTCAAATGACTAAAACAGAGCAATGCAGGCATAGTAGAAGGCAAGGAACTCATAAGCCAGAAATAGTAGTTGTGAGGAGAAGCACAATGGGCAAGGCAATGGTGATAAATGAACGTCCAAGGAGACCTCTGTGCGACTGTAAGTAAAAATCGTGAACTGCGGGATTGCCCACTCTCACCGTTGACGTTGAGCCTCAAGGTGATGTGATGGTGATAAGCGAACTTCCGAGGAGACCTTTGTGTGATTGTAAGTAGAAATCGCGGACTGCGGGATTGCCCACTCTCACCATTGACGTTGAGGTTCGAGGCGAGGCGATGGTGATGCAGGTAAAAATCGCGAACTGCGGGATTGCCCACCATTGACATTGAGCTTTGAGGCGAGGCGATGGTGATGCACGCGGACTGCGGGATTGCCCACTCTCACTGTTGACATTGATCTTCGAGGAGGACGGGTGATGCAGCAGTGAAGGGACCTTAGCGTCAATGGCTGGGTGAAGGCAGAGCAGGAGTGTTGACGCTGATCTTCTCGTAGGACGGGTAATGCGGCAGTGAAGGGACCTTGGCATTGATGAATGAGCTAAGGCAGAGCAGAAACAGAGGAGAACAACCCCGTTAGTGAGCTCAACGTTGATGAGGGCAAGCTCACTGTTGACGTCGAGGAGAAGGTGTCGTGGGAATAGCCTACATAATTTGGCTCTGTATATTCCTAATACATTAATTAACTATATCGGCTCATTCCAAGAATACCTTACAAGGTAGCATAAGGTAAAACATTATTTAGGGCAAGGTTTAACGCTGGTGTTGGGATTTAACGCAACTAAGCTAAGTAATAGTTAGCGAGGTGCTCGATCGCCCAGTATAATAATACTTACTTATTGGGTAATCCAGGTGCAACCATACTGCACCGATGCAAAAGCAGAAACACGACTCACTTTAGTTCACTGTCGCAACATGCCAATCACTGACATACAAAGGTGTTCCACCACACCAGTGAGTCATGTGGTTAAATCCAGGATGCAAATTACTCATACTCATAACATCTTCGATGAATATGCATGTCTGCCGTTTGCAGCACTTTATTTTCACGGAACTGATGTGGCAAGGAATACTGTCAGCGTCACTGGCAGGTGTTGGTGCTGCCAACGTAGTAACAACGGCGAGGACCAAGGAGCCACGCATTGCTTCTGAGGAAGTGATATGAGATCATAAATCTGAAGCGGATGGTAGAAAGATGGCTTACTTTTATATTTGAACAGCTTCCTCACATGTTCCTAAGATGTTGAGGACTTGGTTCATGCACGGTTATGCAGACGGTCCAACTGTTAGTCCTCTAAGAGAGCGTGCCATAACAACTTCAAATACTGACTACCAAACCCCCTTATTGCCTCCCATAGGATCCCAGACTCCACTGATAGGGTTCCAGGACAATGGAATACGATGGTATGTGCTATTCTTTTGCTCAGAAAAAGAGAAAAGATCACCTAGTCCCATCTACGACCTTGACCTTATCAATGCTGAGCAAGATGAAGACACTGCATGTTCCTACTGTCAGGTACTACAAAGTTATCATTCATTACATAAAATGCGGCGAATTGATCTCACCTTCTACGTCACACATCACACTACATGAACAATATTTTACGTTTTTGTGCATTGTACCAGCTTACTGATTGGCTCTTGGTTGTGCCCTGTGATCCTTTGGTAATTCTGCAATCATCCATTCGTCTACATAGCCTGCAGCTCACTAGCCAGTCATCCGTCATCGTACAGGCTTGTTACCATGACTCCCTAGCGCTGTGACTGCAACATTGTTTGCAGGAAAGTGGCTTTGAAGATGCATACCAGTGGACACTGTAGATTCCCATCTTCACAAGGCCGGATATACGCAACTGTGCAGGGACATTCATCTTCTTTATATTGTCAACAGATGCTCTAGAGGGCTACTTCATCACAGGATCTTATCTCACTTGAAATTTCATCGTTGAGGCCCCTTTTTTGCCTCAAAGAAGGTGACATGATATTTGTATTGTGGATTTTGTGTGGATCTGTAAAACTTCATTTGAGTACTAATTTGATGAAACATGTCAGGCAGATGGACGCAAATCAATCATACTCACACTACCGTCAACAAATGTCAGCACACATTGCTGCCCAGCGCAGCACTCTGTTGTTCAGCAAAGCATGGGACAAGCATCACTTTCAGTGTCACAGGCAGATATTGATGCTGTCAAAGCAGTAACCCATAACGGCGAAGATGAAGGAGAAACACATTGTTTGTGAGAATATGACATGCAATCAAATAGATCTGAAGAGGACATCAGTAAACTACTAAACCTTGCACAGTGTTTGCTAATTTTCACAGCTCTCACAGCACCACAGAACCTCACAGAACTTGGCAATGCTGATGTAAGTCATGGTTCAACTCGTCAAAATTTTCAGAAGTCTTTGTTCTACACTTCAACTCTTAATTTCTACCTGTACCACTGCCATCCTTCAAGTAAGTCTTTTATTTTCTTTATTTTCTTATTACTGCTTGCTTATTATTTACCTTAACAACCCTCTCCCACTCTCTTGGCACAGTCAGCAGACTTGGCACTAACTACTTCGACCTTAGTTGACTCGGCTTCAAGTTGTAAGTCCTTTTGTTTCTGTTTTTCTTATTATCTACTAACAGCTATTATATCACCTAGCTGCCCTCAATCTATCACACCCTCCCACACGCTCAATCACCTCCTGCACCTCCCAGTACCATCTTGCACCATCTTGCAGTATCCAAAACTCTCGTGGCACCATCTCGCACCCTCTCGGCACCCAATATCCTTGTGGTACCTTCTCGCACTCTTTCAGTAACTCTTAGATTAGTTCATGTTTAGAGTAGTTGAATGCAATACATTGATTCCAATTTTTTCAATTGTCTGAAACTTGATTTCTATCAGAATTTAAACAAAACCAAAAGAATACTGTGTATTGAAGGTACTGCTGTGGGGTCTGGGAGGTTCTGTCCAGCTCTGTACAGTTACGGTAGTATTTGTCCAGTTGGGACCAAGCTGTAGCGCTGTGGCGCTGTGAACCTCTGTCCAGTTCTGTACAGAACAAAGCAGTTTACTGATGGATGGTAGGAAGATGGCTTACTTCTATGTGCTGAATGTTGTTCTCGCAGAACGCAATGTAGGCAGAACCTATCCACCTGAAATTCCTATTCGAACAGATGACTTCTGCGATACCAACAGACCTCAAAGTCGACTACGATGGTATGTGGTATTCTTTTGCTCTTCTAGTGCCAACAAAAGGAGAAAAGCCAAGGTCACCTAGTCCCATCACGACCGTCGACCTTGTCAATGCTGAGCAAGAGGAAGACACTTCATATTCCTACTTCCAGATCTAATTGAGTGATTGGTTGAACTATTGCAGCGCTTCTGCTATAAATCTTCCTGCCTCTAGGGCATCTTTGCTTAGGGCCAGTATTGCCATGTACTGTCAAAATCTACTACTCAATGCATCCCCCTCGACGATAGAAAAGAGGTCCATTCGTACCGTGAGCTGCTCAGGTGGCCCACCCGCCCTCACGGCTCACCCTGGACTCTCTGTGTTTGAGGTGATCTTTTGGGTCGAAAAACCCTATACCGAGTACAACCTTAAGGTCACCAACAATGATCCACTGGAGATTCCGTACATCAACGAGAATCGTTGCGCACATAAGTATGTTCACGGACCAATGGTATTGATAAAACTGGCTTCACCCTCAGTCACTCACTGAGCTTGCAGTACTTGTGTAGCATCAAGAACCACACACCTCTCAACCGTACATCTTACCCTGCTCTAGTTGCACGATCTAACTGAACAGCCCTCAAAACCAACATTCTTATCCTCCTTGCTGCCCTACTCAGACTCTTAGCCGCGCCATCTCTGTCAAGCTCGCGACTCTTGTGGTGCCAGTGCATGAGTTCCCAGAATGCTGGTTCACTCTGTTGGATGATGTGAACGGGCTTTGGGAAGTGAGGACATGAGAGAAGTTTGAAGCTAGCGTTGTTGCAGCTTGCCGAACCCGAGTGTGTTGGAACATTCAAACTTCAGGTACGTGTCCCACTGGGTGCACTTTCATGGTATTCACCACACTCAATGATGGATTCGACAGTATACAGTCCATGCGTTGTAACAAGAATTTGTTTAGTTTCTGTAGGAGAAAGACCCATTAGTTATTTCCATCGATGTGAACAGTTTACTGACACAGTGCTCAAGTCAAGCTTCAAGAAGCCCGGAACCAGTGAGGTGGGCAATCCTTTTGCAGCAGCTCCTTCAAAGCCTTATATTTCTCCTCCAGTGGCGTACTAGTCGGTAAGCCTTCGTAATGATTTGTTGAGGCGAAGGCAATGCACCAAAAGCACTTCCCCTCTCAGGTCTTGACACAGCGAAATTTCGTGTAGCAGAAAACGCCCATCCGCAATCTGGCCTCCCTCGACGCCAGAAGAATGATGTCAAGTCCGTCTTGCCGCATCTTGGGAGGCTCATAACCCAGCTCAATGCCTCACTGGAACAATCAGTCCTCTCCCACTAGATATCCACAAAACTTCACCATACCAGTACCATGAAGATACTGTAGGAGAGCATTAGTGTGCAGAAATAATTGCGACCTGAATACACTCACTTATTACCTGGGATTGGGGAAGGCAATGTTCAAGTTGAACCATGGTATTATATAGTGCTCTTATTTACTACTGTAAGTTGTGATGTGAACATGTTCACTTTCAAACAAACATCTTTTGAACACCTATTATTCCCACATATCCCAGTTATTAAAGTGGCACCATGGTAATCGAAGAACCACTTAATTAAGCCTCAAAGCATTCCTATGCAGCACCGGCGGTGCACACCGGCAGGTTATATAGACTTCTAATAGCTATTATTAAGCTTTTCTACCTTATACATGTAGTATAGAGCACTGGCGGTGGCACACCGCAGGTTTATTTGTCAACATTACTTGATTTGGCAACATCGTCAACTCACATAAGCAGTGCAGCGCTGCCACCCTTGCAGCTCGTCGTCTACCACGATGAGCTCATATATCATCACATTTTCCACCAGTTTTTTTTTTCATTTCTTCTACTCTATGGTATAACTATGTCTTAGAATATGGACACTCGAGCTATTTTTGTCTTACTGCTTGCAATCAGGCGATAAATCAACATAGTACGTGGGAAACCTCCTCAACACCCTTCTTATCATCAACCATATCTGCACAGCTTCACCATTGCCATCGAACATGCAAACTCGCCACTCTGTAGGTGGTGTCTCCAGCAAGTGTGTTATCCACGTTGGCCCCAAACCAAAGACAGTCTGTGTTGGAGCCTTGCATCAACGGCAAGAAGATGCATGCAAGCTACGTGCCTCACTCCTCAAGAGTACATTTTTTCCTTCTTATTGGAGTCATACTTATGATCTTCCAGAGCTTCCTTTGAGAGAACGTGAGCGGCTACTGGGTGCTGAGAGCAATCAGAGCAGACCAGGCTCTTCTTCTGCAACACCATCCGATACCTTTGACTTTTCGGCCTATGACATGGACATAGATGCTATGCTGCCTCCTCCTGGTCTAGAGCAAATAACAATGGGTCAACCAAGGTATGTTCTTGGTCATTTCTTTGTGGGCAACGCACTGACTCAGAAACCTTGACAACAGAAGGGTAGATACCTGTAATTGATCTGAATGCATTGCACGCCAAGTTGCAGACTGGGCTTCTCAATACAACGACCTAACAGATGCTCTTCTGAGGTACAAGGCCAATTATGAACACCCTCCTCTCTCGGACGATGTGTCAGAAAACTTTTCAATCGAGGTTGTGGATATATTTGGTATGTTGCATTCTATAGTACAGTGTTCGCATTCTTAACCTTAACCTGCTTGTAGAGCGCCGTGTGCGCACTTTCAGAAGTGTCTCACCATTTTTAAATGTGTCCCTACTCCACTATGGCTGCATAGGTAGCTCACCTATTCACCCAACGACTGCTATAACTATCTGCACCCTCAATGTATACCGGCAAAATCACCGAGTCTGCCCACGCTTCAGTATCCAGGCACAAGCGAAAATGCTGTGTGCGCTTCATAATGTAAGTACGTCTCATGTCATTCGCTTCTAATACTTACATACAATTAGGTTTACTTTCACCGCCACCTAGCCGAACAGCTTCATGTGGCATATGATGTTTATCTTGAACTCAATCACCGTATCAACTCCCGCCTGGATAAATTCCTGGGCCATGACATGGACAATTGGCACATTCTTAACTCATGCCCAGCATGCCAATACAGCCTTGTAGATGAGCCGCCTCTTGAGTTTTCTTTTCTCTGTGCATTAGATGGGAATAACTCTGCTAAACTCATTGATCCCACAATACGCAGTGGCGAGGAACATCCAGACCCTCGCTCAGGGATGTCATCAATCTGGCTGACCGAGTCCTATGTCGACCAATTCAAAGACAAAGTTCGATCAGCTCGTGCTCGTCAAGGGCAGTGGCGGCCTGCTTCTAGTGTTGTTGGCAATACTGCGCCATTGCACCGCCCCAGTTTTGCCACTCTGGCAATTGCCGGCGAACTCAGAGGGGTCCGTGGCAAAACTTGGCACATCTAGTAGTAGGTAGAGGCCAACTCAGACAATCTGTGACAGATTTTCTTCACAGATTCGCCATCAATCTGCTGCTCAGATCAGTAATACTAAGTCTATCTCTATGTTTTTACCGTGTGTTGAACTGTATCGTTTGTACCATCCCGTCGTCCATACTCCCTGCACTTTGGAGATCTTAAAATGTCTGACAAAAAGCATCCTGGTGGCCGCCTACGAGCTAGAATCATCACCAATAACTTCACGGAACTCGAGCGAGTCAATAACAAGTCTCGCTGAAAATTCTGGAAGTGCAACTATTGCACTCCAACCAGTGGCAGTGGTCAACGCATCGAAGGCCGAGATAACCGCTGTCTCTTACATCTCACAAACCCAAAAGAGTGCCCAGATGCTCCATCATCCATTCGCAATGAAGCTCGCAAGGTCTTAATGCAGAAAGGTGCTGCAATTGGCCAGACAGAAGCACCACTTTTCCATGACACACCAGCTTCGGATGTTGCTGAAACAAACGGTAATGGTAATTCTCAATCTGATGTTGGGACAAGCACTGTCATCAAAAAATGGAAGGCTGGCTGCGGGTACACTCGATAATTACTGTTGATCACACATTGACTCCTGTGCAGCAGGAAACTGCAAATATCAAGCTGTTTCGGTGAGCCCAGCTAAGCTTAAGTCTAAATATGTTGACATGGACCTGGCGACAGATTTCAATGCAAATTTCACATGGACACCTCCACTGGTAAGCTGAAGCCAGGTTGACAATGAGCTGGAGGGGCCGGAAAGCTTAATGGAGGATGAGGTTGCAGCTGCCTTTGACGACATTGAGCAATGCATTGCGGAATTCCCATCAGCTATTGATCCCCAGCTGGAAGGGTACAAGATCTTGGTGGGAAAGGTGTACGACATCGCCGAGCTGGAACAGGTTGACAAAGGAATTGTCCCCGCAGCTTCCGAAGATGATGTTCAGCAGGTGGGATCTGACTCGGAGGATGGTTTGTCTTGGGATGTGCAGTCTCTGTTGACTATGAAGGGTGTCTCGTCAATGTAATAATCAGTAGTATTATGCAATGTTGATGCAACGTGTCTGGGAGTTTTGCCAAGTTTTGCCAGTGCGCCAAGTGCCAGTTGTGCCGGCACTTGGTCGCAACTCAGCCCAAAGTAGTTTTGCCCCCTACACTACCTGCTTCCAGTGACCCTGATGATCCATGGATCGATGAGCCTGACTCAAATGATTCTGCAGAGCCACACAGTGTCTGCGTGGACCGTTGGCGCAATGCGGCTCCCGAGTCATGCAAAAAAATGTTTGCTATATTCAAGCAGTCCAGCATTTTTGTCACCGTCTGTCGACACGGGTTTTTGCTTATGATATGTGACATGGTCCGAAGTGGTGAACTGTACGTATTTTAATTCAAGCTTTTTCTATATAACACTTACATGCTGGCAGGATGAAATACCCAATTGCTAGCGTGAAGAAGCTGATGGACATTTTTGGCAGCAACATCCTTTTCGGTTATGACATCAAATGCGCATTCGAGAAGATTCTCCTTCACAGCTCGCTTGCAGATGACGTGAAGAGACTTTACCTGCAGGGCGTTGTGCCCGCTTTTCACGGGCATGCGCACAATCGTCTTTGCCAACTCAAGCATCATTCAAAGCACAAAGTTGGTGCTGGCAAAGAAGACTTTGAGACATGTGAACTTGTTTTCTCTGAGTCAAATGCACTTGCTTGTGAGATTCGAAATGCCACTAACTTCCACCGCCACCAAGCCTTGGATGAACATTTCTCTTTTGCTGACATGGACAGGTATGCTGCACTATGTAAGTCCCTCTTTGTTTCTTCGACTCTAGGTTAACCGTTGACATAGCTGACTTCATCTATAACAATTACGTCCAAGCACTGACATCAATATCAACCACGAGCATTTTTCTCATGAACTTTGCTGCATCAAACCCTACCACCGACATTAATTTTCAGGCTGATCTTGATGACGAGCATCTTTTTCTACAACAGCTCGCACGCAAGAAGGATGAATCTACCATCGAAGTCGATTACATCAAGGCATTGAATGACTATGATGAGGCACAGTTAGTATTTGTTTTTCGGCTATGCTGGTACCAACATTACACTATATCAGGCTTGCATATGAATCAGCGCGAGTGGAGTTTGCAAAGCTCGACCTACGACCAAATTATTCTTCTACGGATGCTGGGAATATTCGACACCATCATACCCATGCCATGGTCAAACTGTGATCAGAAGCTCGAGGTTGTAGTTGATTACGAACATCAAATTGCACTATCGTCAAGATGGGACATAAACCACCCTGAGCACATCAAAGCACAGTCGCGCATTACTCATCGTCTTTTCCACAAGGCAGTGGATGACGTCGAATGTCTTGTCGTCATGCGACTGCTGGAGTTGACGAAGTTACAAATGGGTGGTCTAGGTAGAGCTCAAATACCTTTTGAAATGTAGTCTTTAACACTTGTGCTTACAGGTTATAAACTTCGCACCCAGATCTCCAATGCCCTGAAAAGTCGTGCCAATGCCATTCGAAACGCACTTAATCACTACAATAAATATGCCACTCAGCTCAACCCTCCTCGCCCTGCATTGCAATGGGAACAAATAGTCAAGTACTCATTTCTTGCTGAGTTTGACCTACTACGTGAAACCGACGGCGAGATGCAGTCCAAGCGCTGGGCAAACCCATCTTACCGTCATGCCTCCACCCAATTCATTGAGCAGCACCGTGCTAATGAAGAAATCTGCAGGCTCAATGTTGAAGTTGGACACTTGCTCACGAAAGTCCAGGATGACGGCATTGATTACCCTCAAGCAATTATACGGCTGCAGTCTGATAACCCACCCCTTGCAGCTGAACTGCAACGATGCTGGATGCATCTGCGATCAGTAAATACACGTCACCTGTGGCGCATTGAGCAGATCATGGAGCTACCAGGGTATAATGGGCCAGTGGGACCTGGCACTCGCAAAGGTCGGACTGAGGTAGCATCACCGCCTCCTCCACATCAATTACCGCAAGATCAGGATGACATAGGCGAAGGTGACACAGATGAGGAAGCATTCAGGCAGTTGGAAGATGTGCATACTTACTTCGAGGGACTCGATCACCATTGCGTGGACTTAGAATAGGTGTAATTGTTGGTAGTGTGAATGTATCTCTCATATCTCATCCAATGCAGGTTTACTATAAGTATCTGGTGTAAATGAGCTTCGCAACTACTGTACGATGTACTTGGTAATGCTGAAATTGAAGTTTGTTGATGCACACTGTTGTGATGCTGTTTCAATAAGTTGAAGTTGCAGTGTGCACGCAGTATATTGATGGACACCGTTGTGATGCTGTTGAGCGCATAATTGACCTTAAAGTTGCTTGTAACTAGTGTACAATGTACCAGTAATGCAAACTGAATATCTAAATTGAAGTATATTGATGAACACCATTGTGATGCTGTTGAGCGCATGATAATTGATAACTTGAACTTGTTGCATGGACTCAATTGTACATAATATGATGCATGTGTTTCAGCTCACTCCCTCCATTATTCACTTCACCATGGCGCATCCCACAGATTGGAAATCCTCTCAGTTTAACAGACCTCCCACTGTGGATGGCATGAAAGAACTCAACGCTCTAATTGCTTGCCCTCAAGAGCTCACCAGGATCACTGGATCAGAACCTCGTTGGACGTCTGCCCTCTTATCTTTGCAAGCACATGGATTCCCACAACGATGGTGGGCACCTGGAGACCAACAACAGCTTTCACACTTTTACTGACTTGCATTATAGTACAGGGTTTTCCAAAGTCCAGAAAGCTACTCAGGACGACAGATTGAATAATTGGCAGTTCTCGTATCACTCACACCGACAACATCTTAAACTGCATCTTTGATCTTGTGCGTTTCCTTGTCTTCATATTATTCAATCTACTAACTATGTGGTTACTAGTGCACTATTCTCGACAGGTTAACGGGTGGCTCGACTATTGTATTGCACCATCTGGGTGCAACATCACCGAATGCAGATGTTGTACCAGAATCCCTCAAAGCTGAGGTGTACATCAACCCCAGGGTCCTTGCCGAGCGTCAAGAGCTCCACCCAGTACTCGCACAGATTACACAGACCTTCATCGCCAACTATGCGGCTCCATTGGCACATGCCTTCGCTGAGACTCACAGTCGCAAGTGGGGTAAATCAAACGCTCAACAAACACCTTCGAAAGGCAAAGCGACTCCTTCCAAGGGCAAGGAAAAGATTGATACCATCCTGCCTCTAGTTCCCTCGCCAGTATCTCCAAACTCTGCACACTTTGTCTTTCATGGACGTCCAGCTGGTTCTTTAGAAAGTCTCCTTAACTCATCCTTCCATATCTTATCTTATGCGCCTTTGTATGATGGCAATGTTATATGGGAGCCGACTCAGGTACAAATCAGGCGTGCCTGCACTGATTACAACAACAGTGGGGGCAGTGCTAGTGTGCCATCTAGTTCGTGTCCTTCCAGCTCGCATCCTTCCAGCTCGCGTCCTTCCATTTCGCATCCTTCCAGTTTACCTCCTTCCATTTCGCGTCCTTCTCGTTCGTTTCAGTTTTGAACCGAGCAGCGCAGGAACTGTGAGTGCAATTATATCCAAGTAGAGTGCCAATCTAACTTACCTGCAGGAGACCCAAAAACTTGTGTCACATGTCAACAAACCTGCCAAGTCCCTTCATGCCCCGGTCACATTCTACGAGACTTCAGACAGTGACAACAACAACGACATCAACATTTTCAACTCTCCACAACAATATCCTCCTGTAACCCCTACATCAACTCATTCAGTGAAGAGGGCTGTATCATTCGTGCTTCCTCCCTCACTCAGTCACCTACTCCATATCTGAACCACAAACCTCTCGCATATCAACACTTGTCCCATTTGGGAAGAAGACCGAAGCAGCTCTGGAAGAGCTAGGGTATCCAGATGTGTTCCATTCTATCTGTACTTCAATTCAGAAACAGTACCTTACTAAGAAATGGGTTACAAAATTGCAGGAGCTTGCCAGGATTCCCAAGGAGCATGCCGAAGCTATTGTCAATGCTATGTTGCACGATGTCATGCTTTCATAAAAAAAAATTCAAAAGTTTTTGTCCTGTATGTTTGCTCAATTTGACAATATCACAGTTACTCTGTTACTCAGTCCATGCCACTCACACCACCATAATGTTTGGATTTCATTCACACAATTCTCATTGGCTGGTTCCCCAAACTCGGGGACCATACGTCAAGGTATCGAAAGAAGTTCAACGACAACTCACAGAACGGCAGGCGTGCTAAACGCCTCAATGAGGACCATGAGATTCAGCTTGTCCTTAACTACATCAACGCCAAGGCCACAGATTTGGCAGTGAAATTCAAACAACCTCGTCGCCGATATTTGGAGCGATTCTCACTTGGTTCCGTTGTCCACCACCACAAACACAACAAGACAAGTGCGTGGCATGCATATATGCACTTTAAAGGCATCAAGGCCAATTCCAGTAAGTGTTCTTCAGTGTATACATCATTCATTGCTAATTTAATACTATTCTAAACAAAGGTACTAACAAGAAGTCGAACGTCAGCTGAGCTTGTCAAGAAAGCTAGCTGACTACCATGAGCTCACTGACCAGCAGAAGGAGGAACTCATAATCGAGTTCGACAAAGTCAAGAAAGGCGCTCAAGATCGTCCTCCCAATATTACTGCTCGTACACATGCTGCAGAGTGTGCTCGTAGCTTTCAATTTGTGAGAGAAGAGGTGAGAAATATACCTTTAAATTTGCAGTAAACTGAATAAGTGCATCTCTAGCTCAAGGCTCTTAATAAACATGTCAGCGCTGAGGCTTTTGTCATCATGGTTCATGGCGTTTTGGATTTTGCTATGGCCCCAAAGGCCTTTTTCACCAGTCCCGCAACGGAACAATTTGTCTGTTTGTATTTGCGCAAAGACATTGCCAAGATGGCAACTGACTTTGAGAGCACCGTGCTGGCCAATGGCCTTATCATCAGTGAGTATATGTTTTGATATTCCAAACCTTCAATGATGCTAATTTTTATTTACTAGACACTGCTTCTAACCATTGTGAACGCATGGCAAAAGCATAAACTGCCATCCACTTTGGTCTACGTGCTTTGCTCTGTAAGTGGCTTTTATTGACTCGTTCTTACCATGTGCTCATTTATTGCAGGTGAAGTGACAGATGATTCCTCAGCGACCGTTGAGTTTACCCGGTACAATGATCTTGTGCGTGATTACCACGTCAAACTGGTGGGATGGAATCACCCCCAATGGGCCAACCTATCAGACTTAAAGGGGGGTATTGAAAGCCTCGAGAAAGTCACCAGCACTATTGCAGAAGGCACTTGTAAGTTTGTGTCGATCACACATGAAGAAGTTGAAGAGCAGATGAACCATATCAAGAATGGGGAAAAGCTCAATCCTGAGCTCGAGCCTCCTATGCCACCTGACGCTCTTCCTTCAGCATCACCCCCCATGACTGCTACACCTTCCACAGGACCCCTTCCTAATTCTTCACATCCTTCACCTTCTCCACTCGAGGACGAGAATGATTCCAGGCCTTCTCCTTTTGAGAATGAGAATGATTCTGGGCCATCTCCTTTTGAGGATGACAACAATCCCCTTCCTATTGAATCTACTCACATCTCCTCGATAATAAATGACTTGGTGGATCCTGCACTTCGTGTGCTTGACAATTGTAAGTGTCATATTAACACCCTGTCATTATCATTGTGTTAATACAGTCTTTTAGCTTCTACTGCGCCTGTTGAGTGTCTTCCAAGTCAATCTGATAGCACCACTCCCAGTTAGCCTCAACCTTGTGCTACAGCCTCACCTCCTCCAGCTAATGAAGATGCTCTGGTCTCGGCGACGAATCACAATCACAAGTGGCCTGTTGACGACACGACACCATCCGAGGGACAACGCCCGAAGCGTGCCCGCAAGCTCACTGAAAAGGCACAACAGCTGTGCAGCCTGGACTCTGACTCACGTGAGACTGACAAAGTACAGCGGCAGAAAGCAAAAGGTAGACAGCGTGCAAAAAAGAGCAGGGCCTTCATTGAATCAGACCAAGAGAACACCATGTAGTAGAATAGTTTTCGGCCGATATATCAACCATTTTATGTGCACATTACCTCTGTCCATGAGAAGCATGTTTATTATCAAAAAGCTGCTATTAAAAATATGTTATTTTGATGATGTACTCGAGCTCGCTGTTGCAGACAATGAGCGCAAGGGTGGCAGCGCTGCACTGCTTATGTGAGGTGACGAAGTTGCCAAATTGAGCGATGTTATTAAATAAACCCGCGGTGTGCCACCGCCGGTGCTCTATACTACATGTATAAGGTAGAAAAGCTTAATACTAGCTATTAGAAGTCTATATAACCTGCCGGTGTGCACCGCCGGTGCTGCATAGGAATGCTTTGAGGCTTAATTAAGTGGTTCTTCGATTACCGTGGTGCCACTTTACTAACTGGGATATGTGGGAATAATAGGTGCTTTTGAACGTCTTACTTACGTACTTCCAACCTTCTCGGCTGCATTCAAGCTGGCCGCTTGTGGAACATCCACCAATCTTTATGCACATGCTTTTGAGGTTTTTATGATACTCAACTTCCCCCTTCCGTGCAGACTTACTTCCGAGGCATCATGGTAGCGTTTACCTCAAGAACTGCGCACTCATATCTACAATTTCCAAACACCCCACAGTCGGACTTGCTGGAGACTAACCTGACTTATACCCCTCCAACGAATATAGGGCTTGGCGTCAACATCTCACCCAGCATGTATAGGCAGAGTATTAGACCGCATTCATTCGCCCGATCTGATCACACCGTTCTCAAGACCAACAATATTTTCCTCCTTGCTGCCAGACCCAACTGCTCTATCACCATCCAGCTCACAAAGACCTTGTGGTGGGTGTATTACCGAACGCTGATCCCGGACTCCCTTGCACGACGCGAAGCGGCTCTTGGGAAGCGGAGACGTTAGGAGCTGGTGTTGTTGCTGCGTTAGAGTATGCAGGTACGTGTTCTATTGCCCTTTCTTCATCTTACTCTAATAAACGTGTAGATTTTGCAAACAAGCGAGCATACTTATCCCTTCGTGGTTGTGTCACTCTGGAGACGTGATTTACAGGAATTTATACCTGTACTGGGATACGTACCGCACAGCTATGACAAGCATGCAGCTGGGGGACAATGTCAAGATCAAGGTTACAAGCTGACAGAGTCGACGCTCTCCCACTCGCACGACGATTCGGGAGCATCTGCTTGTCTCTCGATACAGCATTATATTTGCATATGAAGCACTGCACGTCGGGAGAATATTATCAAAGGGCGTCAGTATGACAACACCATTATATTCCCTTATACTGACATGTCATCGACGCTCAAAATTGGTTAAAATCGTCATTTAAGTCAGGCCACATCATTCCATGTGAATTTCAGTGATGCTGGTGTTGGAGGGCGAGTACTTGGCTCGACGCCCAAGGACAGTGATCTGCAACACTCAACCTGCTGACTAAATTGTGGAAGAGACCCCAAATGGACAGTCCCTGCCCTTGGTCCTTGGAACTCGTCGGTGTCGAGCAGTCATTTTCTCTCTCCATTCTGTCTCAGAGTAGAGCAATACAAAGTAGGTTTTTCCACTTCGTTCACGCCTGGATGCTCTCGACGACATTGAAGCTAGCAGCTCTGTCGGATCCGAGTCCTCCCCTATAGCACCTCACTCATCGACTTTCATGACCTCCCACAAGTGCCGTTTCTGGAGTTTGAGCTTTCGCAGTTCGACCACGACCGTTTTCCATATATACTACCATCTAATGGTCACGATGGACCCCAGCAGCAAATCAAAAATGCATCCATGAGACCAGTAAACAGCGCCTATGACGGGGAGGAGTCGTGGTGTCATCGCGGGCTTCTATGTTCGAGCTTACAACGAGATTACAAAACTGCGTTGTAAGTACTTCAGTCATATGCTATGTATTCAAGTGTTTCCAAGATCTCCATTGCTCGAGCAACAGTGAAATTTGTTCAGAAGCAAGCACACTGAGCGACTCAGCAATAACCTACTCGCGCGTCGTGCCATCAACCATACTGCACCGATGCGAAAGCAGAAACACGACTCACTGTAGTTCACTGTCGCGACATGCCCCTCAAGGCTGCTGACACATAAAGGTGACCTATAACGCCGGTGAGTCATGTGGTTAAATACAAGATGCAAACTACTCATACTCACAATATCGTGGAGGAATGTCGGCTGGCATTTCTCCCCTTTGCAGCACTTTACTGGAACATCGGAGGAGACGCCGCAAAAGACGGGACAAGCATCACTGTCAGCGTCACTGGCAGATATTGATGCTGTTAAAGCAGCGACAACAGCGAGGACCAAGGAGAAACGCATTGTTTATGAGGATGTGATGTGGGATAAAATAAATCTGAAGGGGACGGTAGGAAGACGGCTTGCTTTTATGTGCTGAACATCGTTACAGAAGAACTTCATGGCAATATAGGAAGAACCTATCCACCTGAAATCCCTATTCAAACAGATGACACCTGCCAGGACATGATGCAAATACGGAAAAATTATCCTGAGATGTTGACTTGGTTCACGCACGGTTATACAGACGGTCCAACCGTTAGTCCGCTAAGAGCGTGCCGTAATAACTTTGAATACTAACTATCAAACCTCCTTATTGCCTCCCATAGGATCCCAGACTCCACTGACGGGGTTACGGGGCGACGGAATACAACGGAATGTGCTATTCCTGTGCTCCTTTGGTGCCAGAAAAAGGAGAACATCACCTAGTCCCATCTACGACGTTGGCCTTATCAATGCCGAGCAAGAGGAAGATACTTCATGTTCCTACTGCCAGGTACTACAAAATTATCCATTCTTTAAACGGGTTACCTGATGTAGTGTCATAGGAATCAGCACGAACAAATCGAATTGGACTCGCATCCCGCCTTGCCGTGCGTAACCAACGTAAACTGGAGGGCTCAGTCTTCATAATTGGTTTCAACTGGACTGCAACCCGGCGAATTGACCTCACTTCCTATGTCACATATCACACTACATGTACAGCATTTTTCCCTTTCTGTGTATTTGTACTGATTGGCTCTTGGTTGTGCCCTGCGATCCTTCGGTAATTCTGCGATCCTCATCGTATAGGCTTGTCACCGTGACTCCCTAGCGCCGCGACTGCAACATGATTGGGAGGATAGTAGCTTTGAAGATGATACCGGTGGACACCTGGATTTGCGTCTTCACGAAGCCGGATATACGCAACGGTATGGCGAAGGGACATTCGTCTTCACGTTGTCAACAGATGTCTAGAAAATTTAATTCATCACAGGATTGTATCTCGCTTGAAAGTTCATCGTTGAGGCCCCTTTTTGTGCCTCCGGAAGGTAATATCAGATTTGTATTGTGGACTTTGCGTGGATCTGTAAAAACTTCATTCGAGTACTGATTTGATGAAACATGTCAGGCAGATCAGGCTGAAACTTCACTCTGGAAGTATTCTGTTACTTTACGCAAATTGTGCGGCTCATGGCCTGGAAGGTAGTGCAGATCCTGTGATATTCAATCAATGGAGTCTGGCGTCGGAGTGCGTGGACCTGTGAGTACTTCGAACCTTACTTTCAAGTCATTCAACCTTCAGCTCAGGCAATTGCGCCAGAATTCTGTGCTTCAAGTTATCCACAGTACGATAAAAGTCTACTTCTGACTTTCTTACCCACTCCTCAGAAGAATCGATTGCCTTGGTTAAAGTTTACTACGGGATACTTCGTATCTTGCCCTTCTCCGTCGACACGATCCTCAGGTTACTCCTCTCTTGAGGACCACCCAGGAAGCGAACACCATGTTAAAGACGCGCAAATGGCATTCCCTCAGCCGACACGCGGAGTTTTACATCACTGTCCGAGGAAGCCTGCTAAGAAATCGCCCAATGAACGATCGTACAATTGGAAACTGGACTCATGAACCGGAAGAGCGAAAACTCATCATTTGGTCCCATATAGGTACATACCCCACATATTCTGACAAGGGATGTGGTATGATGAAGTACAACTCTACAATCGTCTGATTGATATCATAATTAACCCTAAGCTCAAGCGTGGCGCCAGCCACGTGCACTTGCACACACTAGTTGAAGCCGTTGAGTTGTATATACCGGAGTTGCTCCACGTACCAAATACTGGTCTCTTGCACTTTGTGCTCGTACGACATATTTTGAATTCAGATCTGCAAAGCTTTGAGCATCATGTTCGCACCCAATGCTGCTTGGGCTTTATAGAAGGAACGATTGTCTTCCGTCTACCGGTCTACCAAGTGGAGACTAAGCTAGGGTACCAACGAGAGGGGCTCCAATGGTCAATGGAACATGTAAGTACTGCATGTATCGTCTGCATAAGGCCTACCCCAAGAGGACAATGAACGGGGGTTTATTTTTTCACAAAAAAAGAGTGAGTGGGATAATAATGCAAGTGGCAGATCGCATCTGGCACCACGGCTCGACGTGTTCCCATGTAGCATTGGGCCGAGCGTTGTCTTCGTCGGTGATAGAGGCCGCCTGCGGAGAAAAGAGGCTGGGACTTCATGGTGAGAACCGTTCTGTACGAGATATGGTTGAATCGCAAGGATTTATCTCGATCGACATTCTGGCATGTCGTTGCACCAGAAACTGAACAGATCACGACCTTGCTAGATAACTGCCTAGCCTCGCAGACATTTTGCTATGCTTGGCGAAATGGGTCAAAGGCGGAACCGAAGCAAATGCGCCCCGAACATACAGGAGCGTGCATAAGCAACCTCTGGGGTTATGCTGAATCGTTGACACTTGGAAGTCGGGCGTTGATGGTTCCTACGGAATGGAATTGCGGATATTTCGCGGAGGTCAAGTTGCGTAATTGGGTCTTCAATAGGGGGAACGACTTGAACGCTGTTTCTTCGTCTACTGGTTTGGCTAGCCTGAGGGGAGATTATATTTGAGCATGAATTGGCGAGTGATAAAATTGACGGAACGTTGGCGAGATGAGGGACATGATGAGTAAAACGCGTGCCACGCCATCGATCGATGATTGCAGAGTTTCATCGACTGATAGTTCGCCCATCGCAAATATTGCGATCTACGCAAGACATGTGCATGATCGGCAAACACGCTGGAATGCACTCGTTGTCTATAACGTTCCAGAGCTTTATGTCACATCGGGCGCGTGCAGACGTGCACATTGGGTTTAGAAAAGCAGTCCCTGGGCCCGTGGTGTTTGGGCGCAGACTCTCTACCGTGATCCAGAAGATCCAGGACACCGACTAGCGCAAGGTCGAGGGCCCGCTACCATGGTCTGTGGTAATTATCGTATGGCATCAGTCCGTCCAGATAAACAAAGCAAACGAATCTGCGCGTGGAGATTGCAAAGTTGCGAAAATGCAATGAAATAGCACGCCGGTTATCTTGTCATAGACTGGTGAACAGCCCGTCTATGAGGCAAGGGGCTGGTCACTAATATAATCTTGTCACCCTAGCAGGAGTAATGATACACATTGGTTGGCGCCATCTTCGAATAGTAGTATGGATTAGGGGAATGCCGTGGTTACAATTAGTGAGCGAACGAGGATGCGCAGACTCGTGAGCTTCCCCTGGCTCTGCATTGGCCCATCAGGGTGTCGACAAGCTTGGGAACGAGCGGTGTGGAATAGCTCATATCGGACTTATGTCCACTGTGGAGACGCCTGTGTGGCACCCAGTGTTCACCAATCACCTATTGTCCTCGGATCATCCAACAAAAGCCAAACCAGAAATTGAGACATGCTTGCAAAACATCAATGGCATTTCCACGCTATTGTTCAAGTATCTGCCACAACGCTTGGGCTAAAGTGTGTCATTTGATCACGACACAGCCTATCACCCACAACAGCTTTGACCTCCGAAAACATATATTTAAGAGTGGCACTGCAGAGCAAACCAGACTAACCGTAGCATCTGTCCATCAACATGCCACATCGACGCCCCGAATCTCTATCGCCACCGTCTCTTGCGATACCGTATAGTCCCGGATGTCCGAGCGCTGGTGCCTGCACGACGTTGAAGGGCTTTTTCGCTGCGCGGCGGCCCAGCATCGCCGAGAGTCTATCAGCGGGTGCCCTTACAACATCTTTTGACAGATTCGCACCTCCACAAAGCCGAACGATCGGAAAAATATGGCCAGGGACATTCATCGTCTTTGCGTTATCAACGGAGGAGCTTGCGCAAGAATATCCAGGGGATTCTGAGATCCATCACAGGATCTGCGAGTACAATCCTGGACGATATCTCGGGCTCGTGACTTCATCGTTCGTGCAATCGATTGAAGACGACGGTAGTACTGTCGAAGACGTGATCGTCCACTTTGTATCCAGAGATACGCCACAGCCATCAGTAATTGCGAGCCACTTCATCCCCATCTTCCCTGTCAGCAACACCATACCGACAGAAACATCTGCGCTCCACACGAGCATTTTATTCCCATGGATTGATTGCAAGCAATGGACGACATGTGGGGTTCGTCTTCGCGTCTGCCGCAAAAATGCGTCCGCCCTGGTATTCGAACTCTGTCCCGATGATTTTGAGCGCTTTGAGGATAAGGCGGGAAAAGATTACAGCGGATTGGAATATCTCGATGCGACATTGGACGATGAAGAGAAAGACACGCTAGCGAGCCTTTTGGTGGCGCCCTTCGCCTTGCCGGCCGAGATCTGGCTTGACATTAGGAATCATGCGGACATAAAGGAACCTCCGAGTTTCTTTGGGGATGTCGAATCTCTTGAAAGGTGACCCGCTAAGCAATGTCATGTGTTCTGTTCCTGGTTCTGACTAAGGGTAATGATATTTAGTATCGTCGCGGGAGGCATGCCAAGAGATCACGAATCCAGTGCTCTTGACGAGGAGTGAAAGACATAGCTTGAATCGGGAGGTTATATGTTACATGTATATGGATACTATGATTGATATGCAAATGACGAAATACAGAGAACATTAGCTTGTGGCGCCTGAAAGTATTAAGGCTCAGTGTGAATATACAGCATCGGGTTGTAATTGACCCACGAATACAGCAAGTATGGATTCCGCTATTTACGTCGGCCAGATGTAGTAGTTGTGCGCATTCGTGGGCGACTAGGTTTCCGACTAAGCTGACCCCGTTCTTCAATCGTCGACTCCGCAGTGATTTTGCTAATCTCTGGATCCCCAGGTACAGATGATGACTGCCACCCAGGAAATTTCCTTCGTGAGGCATTGCTACCACTTTCAAGGTACTCCTCCCTCGTGACAACGTGAGTGGAGAACGCAGGATCATTTGCAAAAGCAAGCGCGGAACGATAGGCTTCCGTCACAGCGCTGATATTTGTTACGTTGAACATCGGAATAATCATTAAATATCGGACGTACTCCTGCGACCGATATATCTGCAGGTCATATTCGACTGGCGTGAGTGACAGCAGTTCAGATGATCTGCGGGCAGTTTATTATTGTCTTGATAAGCCGTGACATAAAGGGTGACTTACAATCGCTCGTAAAATCCTGGGAAGTTAGTACTACCACCGATCAGACCAATGTTCGCCCAAAACATCCCTCGAAGGTCATCGGGAAGGAGCGAGATAGACGCAGCCACGGTTGCTGCCAGGCCCGATTGTTCTAAGCCTAAGGGGATGCGGTTAATTTGGTGATTGACGGTATACAAAGGAACTGAAACAGACCGATATCGTCAGGACGGAATAATAACTCAGGAATTGTAAACCGCTCATTTTCCATGTGAAGGACTTGGTCAGTGGCTGATAACTCCTCGCTGGGAAGCCTGACGCGACCATGCCGATTGATTGAGAAATTTGGCAGTATGTACTCCTGAACTATGACATTCTTTTTAGGATTCGAGCTTTCAGGGGGTTAGGTAATCGACGCCACCGGTAAAGGGACATGATCTTACCGACAGGTCTCGAGGTCTTCGAAGAATCTCGTAGACACATAACAACATGTCTCCTTGGCGTGATTCATGATGTAAGTTTCATCCATCATATTCCACTGGCGATATGAGACGAGTTCTTTGAGCTGATTAGTTAGTAACTTGCCGCCTACATCGAGTCTAACCATATGAGCAGTAATCTTCTGGTTGATTGTTCATATAACTCACCTCTTCACGGCATACCATTGTATTTGGTTGTTGATGATAGGTACTACATGGGTAAAGCTGAATCCTGAGTCGATGACAACAAGGCACTCTGGCGATGGTCCGCCCGCTTGAAAGAGACGGCCAAAAGGGATCATTGCAGCCGCTTATGCGAAAGCTGAGTAAAACGAAGAGGTCATAACGATGCAACTTACGTGTACATCTGTGATAGGAATGAAACTCGTATTCCTCGAAGACAAACTGGTCGTAAACATCTTGGATATTTGGTAGATTGAAGTACGGTTCTGTAATGAGCAGCGAAGACTCGGCGGTGTCCGCCTAGGTACCAAGTCAATGTTGGTCAGGGCAGAACCACCGAGGGAGGGACGCACGTTCAGAACCTCGGACGAGAACACGCCGTCCCAAACAGCTTTTTGTGCATCCCAGTCCACCAGATAACCCTGCAATGCTTCCAAAGACAGTGACAAATTTGTATAAAAGGATGTCATTTTGATCACGAACCTTCTCAAAGGGTAGACGGTAATGAAGAGCAGAATAGTCTCGACATCGTTCCAACTGATGGCCAAAATACGTTGTTTTATCACCTTTTGAGCGCACGATGGCGTTTGGGACCAATCTCGAGTTTCCTCTAGCGTCAAGTCATTCTCAAAAGCAGACACTCTTACTTGGGTTGGTCACCATCATCATCACCTCCTCTGGCTAAACCAGCCTTGATTGAAAAGGCACCATTATCCAATATGACCGTGGTCAGAGGCTGCATCAGTCCAGGTTGTGGGTGAAAGATTCTGCAAGGTGTGTCGACGGCGATCAAACTTTACCAGCCTGGTGCGCGTGAGAACCAGTTGAGTAGACCTCCGCCGTTCTGCCAGTGTTATCATGTTGATGAGAATCAATTCTTCACTGATCTCGTCATTTACTCTCTCTGCCAGATTCTCAAGCGGAGGAACGCTCGAATCATATCGTCAGTGAGAATAGCGGCCGGTTTCAAAGTCAGTATCGACTTTTCCTACGTAACAAATGATTCACAGGATCTTGACAGGCCAGGCTAGAGTAGGCCTCATCGCACCATTGCAAGTGACGCAGTGCGGACCATCTGACCTCATATGTGACGCTGAAGTAGTAATCGCAGTCATGCGCTCATCGTGGTCTCTTAACTTGCACCTGAAATAACTTCACAAAGCCACATCAAAAATGTGCGTTGGCTTCTACACACTCGAGCACCCGGAATATGCCCTGTACGTCCCGCCCTTCTATGTCATACGTTATCGTGACAAATAAATGATCATGCGGTAAATGAAGCGTACTTTGTAGCAACCGTGACGAATACCTTCAGCGACCCACGGATCTGGCCTGCTTTCATTCTTTCGAGAAGCTAGAGGGGCATAGCCTTTCAGAGGGAAATGTTCTCTCTGGCGTTGACGTTCGTGCCGGTGGAACCTGGTTAGGTGTCAGTCGGACCGGAAAGGTGGCCTTTTTGTCGGTGCCTGCTTCACCGGATTGCACGCCCCTGACATGTTTTTTCTCACAGAACAAACATAACAGAAGAGTATAGGACGTATGGTTCTTCCAGGGGTGACCTCGTTGCCTCTTTTCTTTCATCTACTTCCTTGGAAGAGGACGTACACAGTCTTATCCCTTCCGATGCCAAATATGCAGGCTTTAATTTATTGCTCCTGGCACCATCCGCTCGTGGCGAACACGACTTGTCATTCGATGGAACGTATGTCACAAACCATGGTGGAGGAGGGACGATCGTCGTTCGGCCATTGAGTGACGCCGAGAGAAGATGCGGGGGGATGTCCAACGGGATTGATGGCAAAGGCGCTGAAACATGGCCAAAAATCCAACACGGCCTTCATTCATTTAAAGCGATCATGAACGCGGTCTTGCCGAGTACACCGGAGAAGGAACTAGCCGATAATCTCTTTGAGCTCTTGACGTGGGTATAAGCTTGCACTAGCCTGGTCTTCATCATCCTTACTTTGGGCAATTTTCCCAGTTGGAAGTCTTCGCAGATGCCAAGAGCACGCTCAGAGCTGAGGAACACGATCCAAGTAGGACCAATTCAACTGCAAGAGGCACAAGAATTCTATGGAACGCGCCTTTCGACGGTGATACTAGTGAAAAGGAACGGGGAAGTATTGTTCATAGAGAGAGATATTTGGAAGTTTGTTGATTCGAAGCCCGTACTGTCAGATCCCTCATCACAGCGTCAATTCCGTTTCAAATTGCAGCAGTTGGATTAGTGAGTCTATGTAGTTCGCCGCCCTTCGTATGGATGATGGTACAGGGCATGTAATGTACAAATGCTGTAGTTTTGCTACTCTAAGGCACAAGAGACTAAAGACATCATAACATCGTCATAGCCAGCGTGACGAGAGTAAATAGAACTGAATGGAGCTGCTAAGCTCACGATGGAACGGATCCCCGCTCATGTGATGATATTACTATACAGTCCCTGTTCAGTTGGGGAAACGGGGAAGTAGGGATTATATCTCGAAGAAGCCATGGCATTCCACTCTGATACAGAAGCTGATGAGGATCCATGAAACGGGGTACTTGAGGACGAATGCGATGACAAAATGTCGCTTTCAGTAGGCGTGGGAAGGGTTCCATATGGTGATCCCGATGCCTCATCCGGATCATTGCCACTAGTTCTCACCACAAACAAATTAGTTAATTTGAACACGAGGACGCCGTGAGGCAAGGCAGGGACGACATACCTCATGAGATCATACAATTCTGTGATGCGCCTGAACAGCTGGCACTGGGAATTCTCGGGATGCTGAGCATACTGCCGTAAGGAGTTCATCGTGTTTTGCAGCTGATGACTCAGAGCTACGAGAGCATGACCGGTGGCAGGGTTTGTTCGGCATGAGCAAAAAGCATGCGAGACGGGGGAGTCAGCGAAATGATTGCCAAAAACTTTATCTTGTTCGGCGGAGTTCATCGGATAGACATGGCCGTTTTCTTGAAACGAGGAGTCGGTATGGTGATGGTTATACGTCATGTTCTGATTGGATGTGGGGGACGAATACGGCATAGAGCGCCCATTACTAGGTAAACTGTTGCTGTAATGATGGCCATTTTGACGCTCGAATGGTGGCGATGAAGAGTTATCTGAATGGAATGCGGAATAGGACGCCGGAGGGGATGGTGTAAAGCGATACAAATGAGGCTGCGAGATATCTGCGACGGGTTCAACTTTGATGGGCGCGCCGGCGGCGGAAACCAAGCCCCGAGGTTCTTGGTTGGAGCGCTCTAGTACGTCGTCAGACCGACCGCGCCGTCTGAGTTGCATGTTGTTCTTGGCAGCTCGCGAATGCCACCTTTCAGAGGGATCTCCGTCTCGGAAATTGGCATCTGCCCAGCGAGGATGTGGTTTCCCTACCGCGGATGAGAGATGTAAGAGTACTGCAAAAGGATTATTATTGTATGAAACGCCGTACGCACCACGCAACTCCCTGACGAGACTTTCTAGTTCTGCAATTCTGTTTCTCAAACGAGTGGCTTCATCGACTGTGGGATCATCCCTGATTTTTTTGCTATGAGCTCAACGTGGCAAAACGCCACAAAAATACAAACCTGAGTGCTGGGTCATCGATCTCGTAGACACAAAGGCCAGTCTAAAAAAAAACATTTAACATGTGGTAGGAAGACGGGAAAGGATGAACTTACTAAGCCGAGTTGTATGCAACGCTGGCATGGTCTTTTTCTATCACACTGGTGGCGCGTCAGAGGGGGCAGGTTGGGAGAGGGTGCCACCAAACCTTGCGCTTTGAAGTGTGGCAGTTAAGACACGACTGAGTTGTTCTATTGCGTCTTCGCTTGCGATGGTCTGTATCGACGGTGAACTCGAGATCCATGATTTCGCCTTTTAGTTGAATTGGAGGTTGAAAAGAATCAGAGGACATGAGGCGAGGAAGAAAGGAGTTGAAACGAGTTTAAGAGAATAAAGCTAGACCTTACTTATGTGTTCACGGAGCATTAAGTAACTGACCATAAGAGATCTTTTAGAGATCCAGATCGCCTCGGGCTGATGTAGACTTCTTTGCAAAAAAAATGGTCTCTGTGGGATCCAGCCCTGTACAAGGTGCCTTCCAGTCTCGGCAGTGACATAAATACAACGTGTGAGCGCAGAACTTGCAACCTGGCCTACCGTATCCGGACTCATCTCCTTCCTACTAATCTAAGCCACTATGCAACTAACGCCAACGTAGTCATAACTCATGAGTCTAAATTCAAAAGCAGTGCCCCCTCGGAAATCTGATTAACGTCCATCATATCAGGTGTGCATGTGAACTATTTCTTCTAACTCAGCGAACACCGCCGCCGCGACAGAATATCCATGATGGGCACCCCATTGCATTGCATCGTCGCCTAATAGTTCACCGTCACCTTATTAGACCCTACCCTATCCGATGACTAGTCTCCGCCACACACTAACACTGACATGCAGTACAGTACTCTGTGGCTTCACAAAGGGACCATCATCGGGATACAGTCGCGTTTCACGGATCAGTACTTGCACGGATTCGCCTGAGAATATCACCGTCTTTACGGGGATTTTTGAGGTCTCGATAACGTGAACCTCTAGATTTCAATTCACACATTGTCCCGCCATCGCACGGCACAGAAGACCAAAGGCCGTCAGTTTCTTGACGCAGAATGATGGAACTCCCATGACTTTAAGCGTTGAAACAAACACACACCTCTTTTCTAAAACAAGCAAGGTTCACCTTGGTCCGTTCATTAAAATCAACTCTGCTCCATCCTAAGCAATGGATAACGCATATCGAATTAGTTTAAACAACTATGTACATGAATCAATTTACTACTGACTCTGGAATGTCCGACGCTGCCCGAGTCGGCGTGACGGCGCGAAAATGCTGACTTCGCTTAATCGAGTGCTGTTCCCCTATCATCCAAAGGCACGAATGATCACGAGACAGACGGACAGCGGCTTTCGGGGACACTAGTCCTCACGCTTACGTCCTAGCTCGGAGAGGCATTGCCCGCCCCAATACTGAATGGTCACCGTGGCTTGTCAAAATCGGAGGAAAGCGACTCCACATATCCATCCCTAAAGGATCCGCTGTGGTCGGCAAGACTTGATCAGGATGAGACCACAGAGTTGAGTTTGAACCACAAACTTACCAAATACTTGGATCTGATCTTCCTTTTGATCTTGATCACATATGGTCAGATTCCCTCTCACCAAACAGTCGAATTAGGTATTTGCATTCAAATCAAGAATCGTACAACGAGTGAACAAGATTCCTTGCGTTTTAGAACGACGGTCAACGCAAATATGAACCGAGCTGAAGCGAACAGGCGCACCCTTGTTATAAATTCGTCACTGCGAACATCGCCTTATGAGGAACGACAATGTATCTGCGTCACGGAACAGCCGAGAAGAGATAATAAGGGTGTGTACTCACTGTGAACTCGTGTGCTACCTCTTAAACTCTTCCGTGACGCAAATTACCGATTCTGAACACACGCAACGCATACGGGGGACACAAATAATCCTGACTCTCCTGTACACAACTGCAGGTTAACGCCAGAACAAGCTGCTACACCAGGTATTTCCTTGATGGGGGGCCGACTGGACTGATAGAGACCACGTTCATAAAACTGTTCCAGAGCACTCATTACCTTATCGCCCAGCTTTCGAAGGAGTAGCATCTCTTCAATTCAATGTCTGTCAGATCGGAAAAACCCAGGCAAAATATTGATCACTGAGAACCAGTCTGGAGAACACCGAATTCGATTTGTTGTGTCCGTCGCGGATTTGGCCGTCGCGTGTTCTGGCCCACAGGGAGTTTCCCGAAATCAAGACGCCCGTATGAAATGAATACCGCCGTATCAGTAGAATGATTCTCGGGCACATGGGGACGACAGACTGGTCATCAACGTCGCTAACGAGTTCGAGGGAGATGTTCCTTAATGATCGTTGCAAAAACCTGCGAGAGCTTGACGTCTAGACTGAGGACCCCGGATACACTCATCTGCCATTTCAAATTAGAACCAAATCCTCGGTCCGGATGAAGGCGGGTCGCCCTCACCGTAAACAGTCCGCTCCGAACATGGTATGGTGAGCTTGCGTTTTAGCGCTGGCTACCAGTACATGTCAAGTTCGAGCTACCACACATAGTTACGTCTGCATGCTCAGACACTGTATTTGCATCATCTTGGTACTGACGTTGAGTCTGCAAATCACACCCACGAAGTTCATGATTATCTGGCTTCTGGATCAGCCCAATAGAGGCACGCCCGCGCATAAGAAAACAACGGCGGTCACACCACGAGAGAACCAACCACTGCAGCAAGCCGTAATAAGAAGTGTCTGTGTCTGTATGACGCCAGTTAATTCGTGAGTTACAGGCAATACTGAAGGAGCAGCAAGAATATGCTGCTGGCAAACGAATCAACAAATTGCGAGACCCTTACTGGAAATTCGGCTAATGCAACCGCTGTTGCAAATTGCTCTTTCCTTGCCATTTTTAGTGACTCGTATCAGGTCTCTTCGGCTACCCCATCAAGAGTTCGTATCTCTGGTTGTTGAAAGTGAGTATACTCAAAAAATCTCGGCACCGTCTAATCAAATTCAATTTGGTAGTAACTCTATGATGGAAGGGAGGTGGAAAGAATGGCATGTACAGTGCTGTTGCAAGTGATGATGACATTGTTACTCCCTCCGATATTTCAGAACTTACCAGCAGCAAGTGATTTCGCTCCATTCCCGCGGGGACAACTATCAATACGCACTTCTGCAGCCAGATGACTTGCGTTGCGTGCTGACTACTGCCCCCGAAGTCACCTCTTCAGGTATCGAGAAGTCCTACGACTGACTCTGGACGGCACAGTTCCAGATCCTTATCCGCCTTTTTGAGCTTGTCGGTATCTGCAGATCAGCTCAAGAAAGCAGACAAGGGGGAGACTACTCAGGAGGAAGATACAGATTAATAGTTCACTTTACACCATACACGTTCGCTCAGTAATACATCACAAAAAACATCCTGGGGCGAGAAATGCATCTTTGTAGTCTCGAAACTACACTCTCACCGACATCAACCCTGCAGGAGAGTCTGGGATCCTATTGGAGGGGGTTTGGTGGTTGGTAGTCATAGTTGTCACGTCCCGCTCTTAACGCATGTCTAACGGTCGGAGCGTCTGTATAACCGTGCGTGAACCAAATCCTCAAGGGTCAATTAAATTCCATCATGTCCTAGTGGAGTTCGTCGCGTCGAATATCAGCGACAGCCTGAAACCAACTTTGAAATCTGTTGGTAATATGCTGGCATTGCAGATATCATCTGTTCGGAAGAGGATTTCAGGTGGATAGGTTCTTCCTACATCGCCATGAGGTTCTGCTAGAACAATATTCAGCACATAAAAGCAAGCCATTTTCCTACCGTCCCCATCAGATTTATTCGATCCCATATCACGTCCTCACAAACAATGCGTTTATCTTTCATCCTCATCGTTGTTGCTGCTTTGACAACTACCAGTGACGCTAAGAAGCATCATTGCGCCAGCGTTTGTAGCAAAAAAGGGTGCTGCCCTGGGCAGGTATGCGGGCCAGCATTCGACTCGGATACTGTGAGTATGAGTAGCTTGCATCCTGGGTTTAACCGCATAACTCACTGGCGTGGTAGGGTAAATCCTTCAAGGAATGTCAGTGAATGGCATGTCGCGAAAGTGAACTACAGTGAGTCGTGTTTCTGCTTTCGCATTGGTACAGTATCGTTGATGGCACGACGCGTGAGTAGGTTATTCCTGAGTTGATCAACATGCTTGCTTCTGAACAAATTTCACTGCTGCTCGATCGAGCGATAGAGATATTAGAATAGAGGAAACACTTGAATACATAGCATATGACTGAAGTACTTACGACGCAGTTTTGTAGTATTGTTGTAAGCTTCAACATAGAAGCCCGCGATGAAACCACGACTCCTCCCGTCATAGGCACTGTTTACTGGGCCTCATGGATGCATTTTTAGTCCGCAGTGAGCCGCTGGGGTGTATCATGACCATTATATGGTCGTATATATGGAAAATCGTCGTCGCCGAATTGCGAAACTTGTAGGAGGTCATGAAAGTCGATGCGAGGCGTAATAGGGGAGGACTCGGGTCCAACAGAACTGTTAGTTTCGATGTCGTCGAGAGCATCCAGGCGTGAACGAAGTGGATACATATTTTGTATTGCTATGAAACTAGTATGTTATACTCATTAGTTTGCTCTATCAGGATGGAGAGGCAATAACTGCTCGACAACGACGAGGCAGACATCTGACATAGGACGTGGATTAAGAGCCTCGGTTCCCAATTTGGGATGTCATTAGGGTCTGAATCGAGACTCCATCTTTCGAGTCCCCAAGTCTAGCCACCCCATCTAGCGCTACGCGTCCGGACAAATTTTGCCAGAAACGAGTCCGACCTCCGGAATCATAATTCTGTGGATATTCTCCGGGGTCCTGACCACTCACCTCCACAGTCACTTCAGGGACGTCGATGGCGTGAGATCGCCAAAATGACGCTGGCACATTCAGGTACCTCGTTCCTGCGCCGAGGATCGTCAGGAGGAAATCCGAGGACAGCATTCGATCGCCGGTTACGTGGAAAGTTCGCCGGCGGCTACTAGGCCACCATGTATGTACGATGTTCCAGAAATTCGAGAAGGCGTCATACAAAATGAAACGGAGACGATATCTGTCAAGATGTGCAGGGTATGGCAGTACTGACAGAAGACAGAAGACAAAGCACAAAACGCTCACCCCGCGATCACTCGAATGCGCAGTTGCGCCCATCGATCGGATGGGCGCTCAAAGTTGACTGATCGACATTGCTGTACTGAACGAAGCCTTGGCAAAAAATGAACCCCACGACGATCGTATGTTTAATTTCTACTAAGTAGTGAGCTCCACTGATGCCAGCAAAAACGCCAACTGCATTTCGTACCGTCAGAGAGTGTGACATGCACAGATTGAATAGATAAGCACCGCCTGGATGAGTCCTATAAGGAACTCGTCGTTAGCTGAGATGTTGCGCCAATATCTACGCTCACAGGATCATAATACTCCGAATGTTCAAGTCACATTGCGGAGGCCGGACTCCATCAGTAATGATAGACGCTCTCAACCAGATTAGGTACTCCTAGTGTTTAACTGCGGTCACCTCAAAATATCGCCCTACTGAGCGCAAAAGAAGAATAACAAAGATTCACTGAATGTTCCAGCGCGCGGATGGAAACATTGTTTGATACCACCGAAGCGAGCGACTCGGAGAAGAGACCTCTCACCGGTGGATATCAAATAGTGCCAATCACCTTTGATTCCGACATTAATGTGTCACGAAAGTGTGTCATGAAACGACCAATTCATCAGACTTCTCTGTTCGCCATCCCGTTTGCCTCGAAACGGATGCATCCGAATATCGCAATATCTCGTGCCTCGGGGATGCCCCACGACGTGGAGCAGAAGTCCACAGAGGTCGAAGAACTTCAGGCCATGTTTTTCGCGTTCGAAGTTTGCATGGCTCGCGAAATGAAGCGATTTGCATCCGAACGATAGAGGCCCGATGAGGCCGGCCGGAGATCCGGGGTGAGGAGAATACTGCTGGCGCGGCGTGACGCTCCTGATGCGTCGGAAAATTGAATTGGCCGTCATGGTTTTCTGATGAGAAAATGAGAGTGAAATGATCTCGACGGATATGGATAAAAGTGAAGGCGCTGAGTGGGGGTGAGTCTTACTAGCTCTCGATGACGATTCAGTGCGTCACTCAAGCTGTATTCTACTTAGCTTGCTTTCTGGGGGCGTATCCATTTGAGAGTCAGTTGCAGCACAAATGTACTGACAGGGGCGATGGGTGATGGAATGAAAAAATGCCGACCGTTCAACAGGGTACGCTGTTTGAAAATGCTGTCTCGGCTTATAGTCAGCGATCAGGCACTGATCAAGGAGCATGTATTCAGCATTTGCTTTATCACACAGACGTCCAGAACGGAACGGAACATTGGAACTCACTTGTCTACCAATCGATACGCACATAATTCATTTGCGAAATGGTATCGAGGTTTGCAGTGGGTCAGTAGCAAATCGGGCAGTCATCAGAACGAGTTAAAGTGCGCTTGGCTGGCTTTCCACGAATCAAAATTCCTACCGCCGTAGTCGTAAGGCTCGAGAACGAGCTCTTGCTAAATGATTGTCCATTGAATTGGGTATCAGTACCTGCCCTGGCCGATGCGGTTGTGTTCTCGTGCCTTTTGGGATGTTCGATTGATTGATGGATGTTCCATATATCATTGCCAGAGACCATGGAAGCCTAGAGATATGATAAATTAATTCCGGTAACAATCGCAATAGCACAGACATTCCAATATTACATTTGGTTCACCTACGCACTGGGATACGTGAGAACCTCAGGTGATCTGTTCGCCGTCGATACCCTATGAGGCCATGTCATGACTCATAAGTAGTCTGACATTCGCGACACATAAAAAAAAACAGCGACTGTCTTGGTTTGAATTGGGAGACATATGCATGTCGGGCCATCCTCTTATAACAAAACTTGACAAGTGGAAGTTCCGAGTGGAATACTCAGCTCGATATCATTTGGAGCAAATTTGGAGTCAATTCCTTCAAAACTAATCCTTATTCGTAACCTTGCTGGATCACGTGTCTCCAAAAATATGAAACGTGCGCGGTGCAATGACACCTGCTGTACATACAGCTCCCCGTGCGTTTTGTTAACCCATCATCTGCCCATCATCCACATATTACGATGGCTTCCGAAGCCGAGGATGTCCCTTCACAAATGGAAGAATCAGACCCCGACGCGGTGCTGTCGCCACCTCCCGATGTCCAGCCGGAACCTGGGATTAATGGTACACCCGTTCGCTGTGAGTAGCCTCGGTTTTTGCAGTAATCCATAGTTTGAGCGATCTCCGTAGGGTATGATGTGAGTGGACGAGTTTGGAACTTACAGTTTAAGGTTAAGTGAGAATCATGTATATAGGCGGATAGGACAGAGTCATATACGCGAATTGCGCCTTTCCAAGAGGGTCGTGATACCTCTGTAGAGTGAGCAGTAAAAATTGTGACAGTGACACTATCGTGCTCATAGCCCTCAGGTTCTTCTATAAGCCAATCACACTAACTGCTCTTGGCTTCGGTCTGGCTGCGCTGAGCTATGTGGCCATGACCCAGGACGTCTTGGAAGAAGGCCGGGACAAGCGGCGTGTGTGCGTTTGATGATGTATTTCTGTGTGGTCTAACGATAGTGACATATTCGTCAACAGGGGCGCTTATGCTGCAGTAGTCTCATTCCTTATGTTCTCGATGATCCAATTCCGGGATGGACCATTCATTCGCCCCCACCCGGCGTTTTGGCGTGCAATACTAGGAATTAATTTGCTTTACGAGCTTGCCCTGGTCTTCCTGCTATTCCAAGATTTGAATTCTGCGCGAGGAATGATGACTCTTTTGGATCCCTCACTGAACCGGCCTTTACCTGAGAAGAGTTATGCGGAAAACTGCGAATTGAACCCGCACAATGTTTGGGTGCGATATTTTTATGTCGCTATATAGTTCTATGATATTGATAGGCCACAGGATGCGATCGATATATTTTGTCTAGCCCACGCTTTGGGCTGGTTTGGCAAGGCCATGATATTGCGTGATTATTGGTTTTGTTGGGTATTTCCATTCATGTTATAATGGATTTCACGGGGCTACATCTCATCTTTAGATTCTGAGCATCGCATTCGAGTTCGCAGAGTATAGCCTGCAGCATCAGCTTGCAAACTTTGCTGAGGTACGTCCGTCGGATCCACTTATTACCAATTGATGCTCATTGTAAACTTGTTGTTTGACAGTGCTGGTGGGATCATGTATGTGACCGTCTCCTTGGATTCGGCGGTTGATAATTTTACTTCCGCAGTGGATACTTGATGTTCTAGTCTGTAACTGGCTAGGAACTTATCTGGGCGAGTCGCGTGCATCTCGGGCGTGTATTATCTCTAATACTAATGTGACGTGATAGGCATGAAGACATGCCAATATTTGGAAGTGAAGGTGAGTTATAACCTCTGTTTCACCTGCGGGTGCTAGAAGCACATGTGCGTTTCAGCCTTACGAATGGCGCGGATTGCGGCAAACTAGGGGACTACGGTCAAAGGCTCGACGTGTGCTTAGCCAATTTTCCCCACACGACTGGACGGCATTCAAATGGGAGGGGACTACATCATTCTTGCACTATCTGATAGTCGTACTACTTCTAGCGGTCTTTCTCGCTGCGGAGCTGAATCCATTCTATCTCAAGGTAAGTAAACTGATACGCCAGTCGCCCTTGTTGCGATTCTCACGGAAGCTGTAGAGTCTACTTTGGATGGAACCCGATCATCCAATTGTGATCTTAAGGCTTGCAGGCGTCTTTCTTTGTGCACTGCCTGCTGTGCGAGAGCTTTACCAATACATCAATAACCCGAAGTGTGTATGCTGTAAGTGACTGTCGAATATTTCCTCACATCCATTGCAGGAAAGCGAAACGGATGGGGCAACATGTGTGGCTCCTTCTAGCCACGATCCTGACCGAGCTTCTGGTTATCACTAAATGGAGCAAGGGTCAGTTCACGGAACCTCTTCCAATGTATATTCGGTGGGCGTGGACCATTGGGGGAATATTGCTGGTACTATATCCGGCGATCAGGGTGAGTACCTCTTCTTCTTCACTGAGGGTCTGCGTGACTGAACCGAGGACAGTTCGGCGTGCCGAGCGTGCGGAGGTATGTGAAAAATCAGAAACAGAAGCGAAAAGGGAAAGGGAGGGGAAAGGGGAAAGGGAAGAAGGCGCAGTGAGACTTCATATAATATATTGTAGCTACCTATTGTGCATGAATGAAGTTCCCCAGAGTCTTAAGTTATATATGACTGTCGAGTGGGAGAGGACGGATAGGGAACATTCTGGTGCATACTGGACTACAGGATGTGATTAGTCATCAACACGGCATTGTCAGTCGATCGCCCTGGGCAAGACAATCGTTCGTTCATTCTTGTTCTCCAACCGCCACCACCACCGCTCTCTTTTCTACGACTGCGTACGTCGTAGAGCACAGTTTCAAGCATTCGCCATGGACAGCAGTAACGGCGGTAATGATGATAGTCGTGGTCATCGTTTTGGTCACAACTTTCATCTACCAACGTCACTTCAGAACGTATTTCGAAATATCAACCAGGCTTTCTCCCATAATCACAGCCATCCTGCACAACAGGACTCTACACATACACAGGAGGTCGTCATGGCTGACGCGCCCCCGCTTGGGCCTATAGACGCTTACACGCCTGCATCGGAACCCGCCGTAGATCGCGACAGGACACCAGTTCCAGAGACTTCTGCCTTCCCACTTCCCGCTGGGACCTCCCAATCCGTATCATCCGCAGAGGATGTAGATATGCCACTTGCTTCCAGCGTCTCACCCATACAAACACAGGCCGCCCACGATGATGATGAGGACTCCATGCCTGAGCTGCGCTCCGTGTCAGACACTGATGAGTCAGACGACAGCCAATCCTCTCATGCAGAGACACTACCTAATTTCCCGGCTGTCGATGATGACCATGACAGTGACTGGACAGATGATGAAGACGATCTACCACCGCTCGAGCCTATCGCCGGGAGTAGACGCGCTCGCGTGGAGGATGATGTAGACGAAGCCCGGGATCGTAGGCATCCTTCAGAGCGTGTAGGTCGTCCTGCCTCGCCTCCTATCCCTCCTCCACAGCCCTCTAACCCCCAGCAGCGTCCAACTGCGGGCAACCAGGCGTTCCTAGATGGCTTCTTGGGTCCCTTATTTGGGATGAATCCGTTGCCCGGTGGCAATGCCTTTCCGGGACCTGGTCCTGGCGGTGAGAATATCACGGTAGAACATACTGGTGAGGGCGTTGCCCATCCTCCGCAACATCAAAATAATCCCAACCCTGGTCACGCACATCATACCGTGCCTATCTTAACTGCAGGTTTTACCTTCACAATACCTCTTGGAGGTCCTCCGAATCCGCATCGAGGTGGCCCTGCCCCACCTCCATTTGGTGCACCGGGAAACGCACCACCAGATGCTGGGGGTCGGGATGATTTTCTCCAGGCATTTGCAGATTTCTTGCAGCAAATGCAGCAATTTGGGGGGCTTGATGACAATCGGGAAGATCCTGACCGAGCAAAGAAACTCATTGCGGGACTGGAGGCCGTTCCCATGGGGCTTGTGAAGCGCTTGGAACGAGTTGGTGGCGCACCTGGCGGCCACGTCGACGGTGCAGAAGCTACCGACTCTTCCTCGCCGGGATGCGCAATTTGCTGGGACACTTTACTGGATGCCGAGAGTGATAGTTTCAAACCCAAGGCTCCAGAGGAGGCAGCTGGAGCCAGCACTGAAACTTTGACTGCCGCACCCGACGCAGAATCAAGTGTGCCGATGAGCACCGATTCTGCCTCTCCATCAATACCCTCGTCGTCAGATTCAGATCTGCCCTCCAACTCCCAAAGCGCCAACACTCCTTCAGAATCATCCGTCCCTGAGGAACTCAAAATCATTTCCCTCCCTTGTGCTCATGTCTTCCACGAATCATGTTTGCTCCCCTGGTTTACAAGGGCGAAGCAAGCGACGTGCCCGACATGTCGGTTCAACATCGATCCCGAGAACCTTACCATTTCACCGCTTCCTCATCACCCTTTCAACTTTGGAGTGCCTCGTCCAGCTCCACCTGCAGCCCAGCCTGCGCCAGGTGTTGCGCCAGCACCCAATGCAGCTCAACCAGCTCCAGCTTCTACTGCTGAGCAAGGCGCTGCCGCTCCGCCTGCAGGACCCGCTGTCCCTGAACCTGCAACTGCTGGGCAAGCACCAGCGCCTCAGCCCGCAGCTAACCAAGTTCCTCCTAATTTCTTCAACCCTGGCCAGGCTGGCCAGCGCTTCACCCTATCGAACGCCATGCCTGTAGGTCCTGGGGCGACTGTGCATTTCCTGCAGTTCCCTGGTGGAGGGAACGGTTTCCAGGACTTCTTCACTCGGCGTGGAACAGGGGCTGCCCCCACTGAAGCTGGACCCATGCCACCCCCTCCACCTCCTCGCACCCGCACACAGTCCCTCCCTAACATTGCAGACAACCGCCCCTTCGGCGGGCCGCAAGCAGGCGACTTCATGACGATTGGCCTTGACCTGTTCTTCGATGAGCCGTTGCCCACAGACATACCTCTGCCACCGCAGCAGCCCCAACCACAGGGGCAACCTCAACCCCAAGATCAGGCCCAGGAGCAGCCGCAAAACCGACCTCCAGGACAAGCTCCAGGGCAAGGGCCAGGCCAGGCAGCCCCAGGCGGCGAGGTGCCCCAGGAGTTCCAAAACTTCATCAACAATCTCATCCAGAGTGCTACGCGCGCCTTCATCCCCATCCCACTTTTCAACACCGGCCCTGCTGCACCACAGGGCCAGCCCCAGCCTGCACAGGCACAGGAGCCACCTGCTGACGGATCACAGACCCCTCCTGCTAATGCACCTCGACCCCCTCCAGGTGGTGCAGCCCAACCGCTGCCATTCAACATCCCGCATGGGCATCCCTTTCGCCCGACGCGCCCAATGCCTCCGCGTCGCGAAAGGAAGACATGGACGCTGCCTGCTGCCCCCGGCCCTTCGCTTCGGCAGCGTGTGGAGCAGAAGGAGCGCGAGGCAGGGTTGCGGTGCGATGATCCCTCGTGTGGCGTTGGCCCGTCTGACGAAGACCCCGTCCCCGAGATGTTGGCTGAGTTGATGAAACAGGTCTCGATACATCCCCTGTTGCATCCAGGAAAAGGATCCGTGTGCGAGCATACATTCCACCCTTCGTGCTTGGTCAGTGCGGAGCGCGTTGCTGGGTGGGGCGGGGAGGATAAAGCGGAGCCGCACGTTGAAGTGTCATGCCCAGTGTGCCGCGATCTGGGATGTGTCACGAGGGACGAGTGGGAGGAGGGTGTGTCGACCCTCTGAATGATTGATCGATGTTTGCGGTCGTCCGTTCATTTTGCATGATTCTTGTAAGTGTACCTGTATTGTGAGTGACTGTGTAACGTTAGGAGAGACGAGTGTTCTGATCGTGTTTCTTGTACAGTCTGGTCTCTAGTAATGATGATTCATAACGCCGAAAATATGTTGTTTCTCAGATTATATTACGTCTTTAGATTGTTACTTGCATCGTCTGTTGTCGCACCATATAGTTACATGTATATGCCCCATGGTTCTAATTGCACACAGCAATACACGCAGTCATGTACACAGTGACACCACAGCTTGATACCAATGCACATGAAAAAAGTCTATTGCCAAATACATAACTGGCCAATCAATTTTGTTAATACGAACAGAAGATACAGTATGATTACAACTACTGGTTGCTCTGTTATCAATTCCCGGAAACTCAAGCACTCAGCTTCTGGCGGAGGAGGCCCTTGAGGGTCTCGCCGTCCTCAGCAAACTTCTTGATACCCTCGTGCAGCTTGTCGAATGCCATCTGGTCCTGGAGGAGGGTCCAGCGGAACTCGGGCTCGTTGTCGACGTAGGAAACCTTGGCCATGGGCTCGGCTTGCTGCAGCTGAAGGAGAGATCAGCTGGCTGTTACATGGAAATCACAAGGTACATACCAGCACTCGCGTTGAGCTTCTTGGGAACGGGCGCGGTCGAGTTCTTGAGTTCCTCGAGCAGCGAGGGAGCGATGGTGAGGTAGTCAACACCAGCGAGGGCCTTGATCTCGCCAATCTGCAAACAGAGTAAGACTTATGTTGATTATGCATGGGTGAAGAAATACGCACGTTGCGGAAGGAAGCACCCATGACGATGGTATTGTAGCCGTGTTGCTTGTAGTAGTTGAAGATCTTCTTCACGGACTGGACACCAGGGTCCGCATCACCCTCGTAAGTCTTGCCCGTTGCCTTCTTGTACCAGTCGAGGATCTAAATACAAGAGATTGATTAGTGGTGAAACATGGACAAGAGATACGATGGAGACATACACGACCAACGAAGGGCGAGATGAGGGTAACACCTGCCTCGGCGCAAGCGACAGCCTGGCCGAAACCGAAAAGAAGGGTCAGGTTGCAGTGGATGTTATCATCCCGCTCGAGTTCACGAGCGGCCTGGATGCCCTCCCATGTCGATGCAATTTTGATGAGGATACGCTCCTTCTTAATACCAACAGACTCGTAGAGAGCGATGAGCTCCTTTGCCTAAGGACCAAAGTATAAGGAGCCGGTTGAGATATGTAACAAAATCACTTGCCTTGGCCTTGGTGGCCTCCTTGTCGAAGGAGAGACGAGCGTCGACTTCCGTCGATACACGGCCAGGGATGATAGCGAGAAGCTCCTTGCCGAATTCGACAAGCTAATTATAAATATCGATCAGTAAGGGTATTGACTGCGCAAGTCTGACAGAGACAGACCAGACGGTCCATAGCAGCATCAGTCTGGTGCTCAAGGTCACCGCCCTTGCTCTTGCCGAACTTGATGGCGGCATCCATGAGGCGAGAGTATCCTGGCTTGTTGGCAGCAGCCAAGATCAAGGATGGGTTTGTGGTAGCATCCTAACAATATGCTGTTAGATCGCAGGGATAATAAACATAGATTCGTTGCAGCGATCACCTGTGGCTTGTAAACATCGATTGCTGATAAGATTAATCAGATTATTAGCGCATGATCAACGCGATAGACAATGGCTAGCGTACATTCAAAGTCACCGGAGTCGGACACGACAACGGTTCCGGTCTGTTTGAGAAGGTCGAGAGAGGTGGTCATTGTGGTCTTAGAAAGAATTATGGGGTTGGTCGAACGATGCTCTTAGTGATATACGCTGCTCAGCCACGGTGAGATCATACGACCGGCCCGTTCTGGGCGTGGGTGTCTCCTCCCCTTTTTGGCACCAGTCCCCTTTTCACACTGCAATTTTGCACGATTATTGGTAGGCTATCGCATCGTTGTGGGATCCCGGTGTCGGTTTTCCACAAGCGTGTCTCTTCGGAGGCGATCTCGAGGGAACCCATCACTACTTGCTAATGACGACAAACGTGTCTTTGACTTTTGAAGATGTTCGCCTGAATTTGATGACAGGAATAGCATTGGACTCCCAGATGTGGCAGTCGCCCTTGCAACCACCAGTCGGCTCTTGGTATGGCCTCCGGCTTATGAGCTGAATTGGCCTAGTAAGGGCCCGTGAGGTAAGATTCCTGTGCCGCCGCTCATGGGTTCATCACAACTTCATGCGAATTGTGTTTGAGCTAACCTCTCATGTCAGACACGGAGCCGCTCGACAATGGACGGTATGAGAGGATCCGAAGTGGAAACGCGTGGGCTAATCAATGTTGCGATAGGAATGTTTACACGGACAGACCGGTACAAGACGAGTCTGCCTCAATCGGAGTTCTCTAATTAATGACTCCTGTCTACGCATGTTCGTGGATTGGCTCTTGAGCATCTCCTAAGAAGAGAAATTTGGTAAGCCAAAGTCACATCCTCGACTCGTATGAACCCACCGCCGGGTTAAAGTTATCAGGTAAGTTTATCTCCACGTTCCATCTGAACTCCCGCACACGTGTTCCTCAAATTGTTCCTTCGTCAGTTCATTTCACACAAATTTTCACCTCCCGGAACGCGACATTCGTGTTACAGATACTTGCTGATCGTTCCTTGACGCAGAACGCAGATACATGTTTGGCGATTTTTCCTGTCTGGCTGCCCTTCAGCTAGGTTTCGTTACGCCATTGCAGGTGAGCTTCAAGCTGCAACGTAATTTAATCCAGAACCTATCGCAAAAAGTTCCAAGCAAAACTACTCGCCTCGAGGCTCCACGAAAAATCTTTAAATGGCCGTTCGGAAAGTCGATGCCCGCAACTTCAATGACAAGAGTCCCAGTGCGGAACCAGTACGTCAGAAGCCATCCCTAGGCACGACTCCGCATTCTGCTTCTCGAACTCGGACTTCCCTACCACGTGAGCTTCGCAAAAATGACGCTGTTTGTAGTATCTCGCTTCCTCGGTCTCATCAACTGACAGGTACTCCATGATATCGTCGGAGTTGGGGATTGCAATCTGGGATCACCGATTGTCCTACGTAAGCACAAGAAACGTTTCGCTGCGTTGAGGGCCCGGTTTTTTTTTTAAAGGATGACGTCGAGGGTCAAATGTAATGACGAGATGCTGGCCTCCAGAACGACAGTCTTGAAAACGCCGTTCCAGATGGAGATCCCCGGCAGGCTCTGGAATTGGCTGCAAGCATCGAATTCTCGTCAGCGCAAATGAATGACAGACGATATCGTATTCCAACTGTGGAATCATTCCCTGCTTCTCTATGCACTTAACGAGAGGTCCCATTGCCCGTCAGGACATGGCATTCTGGAAGTCCAAGAAAAGAGTGCCAGAATATTGTGATATATAATTCATCTCATGGTTTCCCGGCGTAAAGAGTGCATGTGTAAAGAAGAAAGACTTATACTTAGAAGCAAAAAGGAATGAGTGGTTTCGAATGGCAAAATGTGAAGCTCACACTTGAACTGCTTAAACCATTTACTAGTGGTGGGTGACGCTTGATAGCTGATTATCACCATCAGATGATACTGACTCACTGGCTCAGCTTAGAGAGAAGAATATCATGTCATTGTACGTGGGGTGGTGCCGTGGTGAACGCCAGGCGCGCCGCCGCGCGTTTAGAGGCGAATGATCTGACCCCAAGCAAGATCAACACGACTAGTGAAGCGGGTGGCAGGAGCTATCCAGTTCCCACTACATACGACACTATTTGGATTGGGGGTAAGTTACACTAGTACCATTAGTAGCTTGAGACGAATGGGAGCTGCTCATTTGATGAGGAGGTGATTCTTCCACAAGTCCTTTTACTTTATAAGGGATAGAGGCTGGCGCTGACTAATGGCTACCCGATCATCTCCGTACCCCTGGTAAACCGTATAGTAATTATTCGACTACCATCATGTTCTCTGTCCTTTGCGGCATTCCCAAGGATTAAGTGTCTGGCGAGTTATTTAATAAATCGACTCAACAGTCACTGGCTGATCGTAGCGCGTGGCATATGGTCGTCAGCAAAAACCCCTATAAGGACACCTCTTCCATCGACCAACACATATTGCCGAAAACAGACGACTTATCAATCACCTCGACCTCAGAGCCAGAGCACGAGCTTTACATCTTCCGAGCACATCGGACAGACATCTTGAATATTTTTATTGTAGGGATATGGGGTGCACACAGAGACGAGCCTTATACATACACTCGACAACTTGAACCTGGCCGACACGGCCCTTCATGTCCTTCGATATATTATGGGTAGACTTAGCCGATTTGAATATACTCGTCAAAGGAGAGGATGCAGGGACATGGATGAACCCTGATGTTGGAGTATTGCAGAAGTATGCAACCCCTTCGCCATTCGGCAGGGGAGAGGAACCGGACATGAACCCCTCTTACAGGTGGGCGCGGAACAGAGCTCAAAGCGATGAGCTTGCCTTCACTTTGGCACAGACTGAAAGATTTGGATCGCATATGAAGATATCACGAGACATATCCGAGATGATCTCGAGAGCCATGTTCGTAGGCAAGAAAGCCGTTTTCAAGTTATACAAGCTCGCAATATACGGCGAAGGAGGTCATTTTGACTGGCATCGTGACTCGACGCACAGCGATGCTCACCATGGAACGGTGCTCATTGCACTCAACACGGAATGGGAGGGAGGCAAATGTTGATATGCATCCAAGCAAGTCTGACGACAAGTTCCAGCCAGTCGTGGTTGCATTCTATACGGACACAGAGCACAAAGTTATGCCCATGGCCAAGTGCACACGACTCGTGCTCTAGTATAATGTCGAAGTCAGGGAGTTTCTCCCAGCAGAGAAATGTTGGCAGAGTTACGAACCCTTGAGCAGGGCTGATTTCCGTCGCCAGTACATTGCATTCCGCTTTAACACTACTTACCCGAACTTGGATCAGAAGTTAATCCAGGCAGTCGTTGATGAAATCAGAGAGTTGCACAAAGAAGGTACTACCGTCGTCGCCTTCCCACTTACTCACCTCTACCACAAGACGAGCATCAAGAAGGAATACCTCAAGGGAAGTGACTTGGCACTCTTCGATGCTCTCGAAAGTCGCTTCGACATTGTCCTTCATCCTGTTATTATCCGCGCTATAGATACGGGCAGAGAGCGGGACGAGGAGGAACGTTTCCTCGCATACAAGTATGAGCCGTCTGAGGAAGGAAGATGAGTTCGCTGCTGAAAGGTTTTCAAGGCTGCTCGAGGACGAAGAGCAGCGTGTTAAAGAGCAGTGCAAAGCTGAAGGGCTTGAGGTCGAAGAGTAGGATGCTCAAAGGCAGCGGTTTCCAGGCAAAGTTTTCAGGAACGCTTCGTTTCATCTTCCACGGGCCTCTGCGATCCTGGAAATTTCGGTGAAAATGCGGGTGGAGTATGTTGGTAATTGGCCAGAGGATGGCAAGGTCAGGTATCTTGGCGCAGGTATGTTCGTGGTGCCAATTACATGTAGAACGAATTATAAAATGATAGGCTTCCGAGGAAGCCTTTACACTTACGAGGACTTGAGATGTGACTTTGAGTATAACTTGAATCATCCCCCATGTTAGTTCAGCTGGTGGGAAATCAAACGGTTGTGGAAAATCCTTGCCGCATATGGTGAATCTAATTTGGTACGCACAAGTTGAAGGAGGGTTTTTTGTTGGGAATTGTGCGGGAACGCTGGAGACGCTGAAGGCCATCGCTGGACATTCAAAGCAAACCCCCACAATAATGGTTTCGACAACAAAATTGACAGTGAGGTAGTTTTATAGCTGCAGCTGTATAGTCTTGCTTGTTAGGATTCACCGCTACTCACCAGCCACTTTGTCTTCCGCGACGACAGTCACAGTGTGGAACAATGAACTACCTTGGTAACTCTGTACTTATAACCCTCTCGCAACTCCTCGCCACCGTCGTGTAAGGCGGCTGGTGACGAGTCTAGCAGCTATGGATTGGTTTGCGACTATCTTTCACTCATTGAATTCTAGATCATACCTTGGATGGTTCAACACCGACGAGTCACTGTCCCTTAGTTTCCATCCATTGATCAGTTGATATTAACAACAAACCCTTCAGAGTGGGAGTAGGGGCTCAGTGGCGCCTTACGTACCTAGTGAAACTAGTGCAGCTGTCGAAAAAATGCACATGTCAGTCCACTGTCAGTCCTTCCACGCAAATACGCCGTCTGACCTAGTCTTGATCCAGTTTATCGCACGTTTCTTGTTCCGCACCGTGCGTGCGAGGGCAGGCAATAACCGATACTTTTTGGTCGATGACATTGTAAAGCTGATTTCACATCCCAAAAAGCTCACCTCGATAAAAGCCGGTCACCCTGGAACTCCATATCACGTTGATGAGGTCACAGGGTATACGTCCTAGACATCCAATCTCCTGGCACAATGAATTCATAAGCTGATCGGCGGTAAACCGTATAGGGTAGATGTGGAGCCCCTTGTGGCCCTACGGAGGCCTTGCCGTCTGAAACACGGTGAGTTACTCATTGTAACGGCAGGGCAAGCCTAACCCTTCCCAAAACGTTTGACCGAATATGCCGTGCTCCGACCTTCCCGTTATCACTGGAGCATGGTTCTTGCTCTTCTACTGAATTCACATCCGGTCGTCTGGTACACTACCATCGACATGAGGATGGAGGTATGGAAATTTGATGGAGACAGAGTAATATCTGTTCATTAGTCCCTATTCAGGACACCACGACGCATCGATCATCAATCCAACTGCACCCTACCTGTCAAACGTAAGTGATTTGTGATCTATGTTTGGTCTGTGATTGCTTCGTGAGGCCTTCTATCCTGTTCGCTGAGGTTCTGTACACCGTGAGAGTGTGCGTGTACTTGTCTTGATTGCGAATTCGAGAACACGGAAGCTTTCCGTCCTTAACGGACGCCTGTCAGAAGGCACCATCTGTCCCCATTTCGACGTAGACATGCGTGAAACGGGTATCCTATTTCTTCCACCTGCGAGGGAAATGTCTATGAGACGAAAGGATTGCGAACATGCTGGGGAAAGGTAGTAACTTGATATCCTTGATCAAGACAAATCGGTCCTGGACAGAGTCCAGAAGACGGGAACCAGTATCGCGAGAAAGTACAGAGTAGAGAGCGTCTTCCATCTAGGCTAACGCCACTATGAACCAGGCAGCGAAAATGCTGCAACAAATGAGTACGATAGGTCACAACACTTTTAGAAATAGTACGAAAATTAAAGAAGGACGGAATGTTGAGGGGTGCTAGTGATCGAAGAATGAGAGTAGGTGATACAATATGATAAAGCCAAACGAGCGTGGCTGGCATGCTGGAACCCAGTTCTGCATCAAAACAACGATCAGTTCAAAGTTCGCTGCGTCAAGATTGTGGTGGTGAAGAACTCACCAAGAATACAGTGAGAAAATGCTCGGAAAACTATGCAATGATCGTGAGGTTCTTCAGTGTTTTGGGACTGACCCGCTGAGGTTCAATACCCAGTCTCCTCCCGACTTCGGCTGCGTCAGGCCACGGAAGAGGGTCTCGTGCAGAAGCGTGTCTACGCGCTTCCAGCCTTTGCGCTGCTCGACGATAGGAAGTCCTGCCGCCAGCTTGCAGCGAAGCCTGAACGCCTCTTCATATGCCGCACGGCGATGGTGCGGGATCAAGCCTTTCTCATAAGGTGTAAGCGGTACGTTGAAAGACGCATATATCGCCTCGAAGACGTCGCAAACGCGAATGCCTTGATCACGCTTCACGTCGATGTCCCACTCGAATGGACCTCGCTGGAAGTTGATGGTCATCTTGACCAGCTTCTCATCTGCAGCCGGCTTATCAAGATCGGCATCGGACAAGGTTGTCCGTTGGACACCGTAAGACGAGTTCTGTCTGAACTCGATGTCGTGAGTTGGGAAAGCAACATCGAAGTGAAGAAATCGTTTTGATCGAGTTGGGTGGTAGGGGAGCAACGTCCAGTGAAGATTTAGTGCGGGACCCTTCATGGGACCTTTATCGTGAGGAAGATCAGATAAGGTACGTAATGGAAAAAAGAGAGAATGAGCTGAATCAAGGACTCACCCAAGTGCGCATTTTGCGGAAGGGAGCTGGGCACTGTATAGACGTTTTGCCGCGAAGATTTCTTGGCGGTCATGATTTCTCCGTCGCTTTCGTATGGGTCACGAGGAGGGGACGGTTTGCTCTTCAGGATGGACTTGAGGGGCTGCGGTGTCGAAGGCTTGGGCGTGGGCGCCCGTGATACTGAGGTTGGAAGAGACGGTCTTATTAGCGTGAACGATCGATGTTCAGCCCTGCTAAAAGACCGAGGGGACATGAGAGGTGGCGACTGTGGAAGTTTCTTGGGGGGTATCTTGGGGGTATTGAGATTGAAATTAGGACTCCCGAGGTCGTGCTTCGTCTTAAACATGAAGGTCGTTAAAGTTGTGGAAGGAAAAAGAGGCGAAAGTCTTGTGGCAGATTGAAAGACGAGGGAAAGGCGAGGGCTGGAGATCATCATACAACGTGTTATACCATGTGTACGAATTCGCCACTGAGTGGACGATCATGATGAAGAACATACCTCAACTTGACAGGGCCTTTGCAGAAGAAATGCCTCGAAAGTCCCACCGGGGGCTCGCGCAGTCAGTTCTTGCGTCTTATATGGACCAAGAAAGACACAAGAGCTGGCGAAGCACGAGCGGCTTTCCAAGCGGCGAGCGGTTTTCCAAGCGGCGAGAAATACAGCGTTCATACCACGAGGCAGGGCAGGGCGTAAATACAAAATCCGAAAATGGTATGTAAACCAATAAACAGCTAATCATATCCACGAGGCACCTTAACGGGCTAAACAGCATGTTGTCAATCTAGCCAAAGTCTTGCGCGTGTTGGAATCAAAAAGATAAACCGGAACTGTGTCAGCTTCGCTCACCATGTGTTGTGGGCGCGTCAGCGTGCTGGCACAGAGCACTTGTCAAGAATCACGTCCAAGTACCCCACCTATCATTTCACAGTAAACATCTAGGCGCTTGATCACCACACAGCACATTTCGGGGCAGTGCTGAGGCTATTACAGAGCAATTTACAAGCTTCGAAGCTGTATAGCCATAACGCCCAAGGACATTCATACACTGCCAGCCCGATACAATGGGAGAAGCGCTAGCGCCAAGACCCAGACGGCTTGGAACATGGACTCAGAAAGAAAATTTAGATTTGGAAGATCCACGACATTTGGGGAAAGCGGAACAGGCGGAACTAGTTATGGGTCCTGTTCCACGTAGGGTCCGGTGTACAACAGCGTAATTGACCCATATCACAACCCCTTACCCCATGGGCCCTATCAAGCGCCTCCTGACTGAGTAGCATTGGAGCAAAATCCTGTGAGCAGGATGAAATCTCACGTTCTTGTGATACACAACCAAGACAAGTCACTGAGGCAGGTATTAAAATGTACGCATTTCCACATATGTCGTGGATAGAGGATCAAATTCGGCAACTGCCATAAAACCAATAATCGCCGAGTGCTCGGTATCATCGCCCATCATTTCGCAGGGAGGAGCAGCCGGGCCGTCTGCCTCCTTGCATGAATGGAAGATCAGCTTCAGGACGTGGGGAGTAATGAGGCAATTTTTTGTGAATCGCCTTACCTTTCTTGGGTGCCACCAGGTGCGGGGAATATCAAAGATACCGAAAAGGACTTGGATGCGAACGCTACGGTACATTGTTCGTCAAATGAGACGCATTGCAGCTGAATAGCCTCGTAGGTTATATTAGTAACATCCTGTCAAAGAATGACCAGTGAGAATTATGAATAGCCCACAGCAAGGCCGCATACCCCGTGGGTCGCCACCGTTATTATCGCGACGAAAGTACAACAGCTACTGGACTAATACAGGTGAATTAATGTTGCTAGTAAGCGCAGTGACGGAGTACTTGCAAGTTATAGCCCGGCAGCGCCTGAAATTCTCTTGTCGAAATTCTTAGCATGTTGGGCTGTGGCGCACATACTCTAAAAGTGCGTGACAACACATGACAGTCACCGCAAGCTGATCATTTTGAGTGATATTGCTAGGATGTTCAGTCCAACTTCTTGAAGTACCGCGGAATTACTTTGCGTAGATGAATACTGAAAAGCTTCCCTGGACCAGATGTCATTCTAGGCCGATGATCGTTTCGAGACTATGGAATCCGAGCTCCAGCGTACCCAACCTGGGTTTACAAGCGCGTTTTGGTAAAAATTGTCAGAACAGCGACGATTGGAAATTTGAGTTGAGTTTTGGTTGAGTTTAACTTCGAACCACAGGGGGTTTGTCCGCATGACCGTGGTAACCATTCGCCACTTCGGGAATAACCACCGACGGCCCGGTCATGCACCAATCATAGACTCGGTCGAATCAGGTCTACTAAGTACTTCTTGCTTTGCCTTGTGATACACACTTGTGTCTGAAACACGACTGCGACTCATCAGTACGTTGCTTGATCGAAGTCCGGGGCCAACCGTGTATCACTGAATCAGTACAGAGCAATCAGATTAGGTCAGGCCTGGGCCTCTGTGATTGGACTGCCGTGATTGACTCCCACGGCTGTGAAGTCAAACGCTGGTAGCCAAAGCATGTAGTTGCTGTGTCTATCCACATTCTCTGCACACCAGCACTAGATTCTTACTCGTCGCAAGTTATTGGTCGATACAAACTGCACAAAATTACATTCTGTGGAGGGATTGGGACATCGAGATTCGAGGTAGAGACTTAACTATCATAGCGCAAGGGAGTCTGGTGTGCTCATCCGTCCTGTAGCTGGCGGCTCCCAAGCCCGATCTGATCCCATCAGCTGTATTCCCTGTTGTTTAACATTGCAGAACTCTTGAGTAGGCATCAAATCTCCTTCGTCTTGCATGTCTTGGAATTGTACAACGTTGACTCCTGATTTAGCGCCCTTCACGAACTGGAGATATCACTTGAGGTTCGACCCTTATTCCTTCTGACAGTGAATCGAACTTCCAGTTAAGAGCAATGTGTTGTCTGCGCTGAGATTCATTCACTGACTATCACAGGTAGTCGATTGTCTACCTTCTCCTTGCGTCATGGAATACAGTCCCGTTCGTACACTGGTAGCTGATACCAGCAGTGCGGACGCGAATATTCGCCTCCCTAAGTGCGATTGTGGTTCATGGTGCATTATTTGATTCGCCCGTGTGGGGCCCTCCGCATAAACGTGAATGCCTAGATGGCACTCGCGAGACAATCCTGGGAGAAATAAAGACAGTGCTACAGGCAAGCAATAGTACGCTGGTTTGGCTCTCTGGCTCTCCTGGGACAGGAAAATCTGCGATTGCTCACACAATCGCCCGTCACCTCAAAAGCGAGTCGAGATTGGCTGGGACATTTTTCTTTAGCCGCAAACACAAGGATATGCCTGATATGGCCAGCCTTGATTTCTTTGCCGCTACATTGGCATACCAAATCTCAAAATGGAAAAACCTCGCCAAAGACCCTTTGGTTCAAGCTATCAGATCCGACCCTGCTATCCTTGATCCAAGGAAGCCACTCGATGATCAGATCCAAGAGCTGCTAATTAAACCATTGGAGAATTTGGAGGCCTCATGGGGGCGCTCAGAACCAAAGGTGCTTGTAATTGACGCGGTTGATGCATGCGAAGAAGATCGCATCTACGAGCTCATTTCATGTCTTTCCACCCTCCTCCACCAACCACGTATCCCGCGCTTGCACATCGTCATCACTGGTTGTCCTCTTCGCACTATTGACGATGCTTTTGCAGCTACTGGTTGCAAGGAGTCAATACATCATATCGCTCTCGATAACATTGATGTTGCTGAAATTCACAAGGATTGTCGTCTCTTCTTCAAGAACGCTCTAGAGAGGAGCTACAGGAACCATGGCTTTGAATCGGGGCCCGAAGATAATACAATCTGCCGTCTCGCTGATAGGGCAAACGGACGGTTTGGAACCGCGTCAACGATAATGCGATTCCTCGATACCCGCCATGACGAAGAAGACGATTTCTATGAAAAACTCGACGTTATGAAGGATCCTGGGAACGCGCATCTACATTCCACCATATTCCGTCTCTACGAGTTCATCATAAATTCATCAGAAAATCCAAGCCGTGCATACCGGCATCTATCCACGGTAGCCAATCTCGCCGAACCTTTAGCAATTTTCCACTTGCGAAAGCTCCTGGGATGTTTAGAAAGCGATTTCCTGTCCATTCTCGCGTCGTTGTCCCCAATAGTCAGTGTCCCTGTCGATGACTCTCGCGTTGTGGAGGTTCTCCACATAGATTCACTTCGCACATTTCTCTCGCGACATGTGCCGCACACACCCCAGCTCCTTGCACGCTCCAGTTTGCGGATTATGAACGAATCGTTCCTACATCAATCGTGTTTCAAAGATGTACTGCAACGAATGATGAAGCAGGTTCCAGAAACTGTAGGTGTCTACGTCACTATTACATGCTGAGATCTTCACCTACAATACCCCCACAGAAACCCGCTTTCCTTAGCTACCTCCGCACACTCCTTCCTTCCTTCTCTCTTGCGAACGCAGTCCCTCCTGTGCGGAACGATCAACCTCATGATCCTCTGGATGTATGCTCCTTGCGGTTCCCTGCTACGCTTTCGCTCACATCAGCTTTTGCAGATATTGATGATTTTTCTCGAAATTTGTTTGGAACAGCCATGCTACGAGGCCTTACTTGCGACTGCCTGGTTCCATGTATACGTGCAGTCAGGAACTGGCGCTCGCTGTTCCGCTATGTCTCCTATCGGACCCTGTGATATGTCAGAGGACGTACCAAAGGCTCGGTTGGCACTCAAGAATTTCCGAGCGAGATCTGAATTTCACGACCTACACGTCTTCGAACTCTTAGCAAATCTACAGGCTCTACCGAAAATGTTGTTCATCGTGATACTCTTGGCAATTCGACACGCTCACCCTTCCTCCTCCCATCATATCAATTCAATGAATGGGTTCTCATCGCACATGCCTCCTGCGCTCGAGGACTTCATGGCATACGTATGGAAGGCAAGTGAGCAAAACTTGCACAGCTCATCAGCCCTCGAACACGCCTGCCAATACTGGAGTTTGTATCTCTCTCAGGCTCCGATGGTCATGGATGGACGTTTACGCACATTTCTTCGTAACTTTTGGCGGGGTAAGCTACTATCTTGGTTTGAACGACAATGGTACGTGGGGGGGTTAGAATCATGCATAGCCATCCTAGACATTGCGCAGACCATTGATTTCATCGAGTAATTGATTTGTGATCCTCTGTTGTACGGTGATGTGTATTACTCCTGCATTGACAACTTACTTCCGCCATCAAGAAACCCACCCTTGAGCAAAACTAGATGAAGCCGACTTCAAATTGAGAAGCATAGACCCATACCAATTCCTGCAGTATGCATCATTGACAATTCCGGGCAGATACGCATCGGAGGTCGCCGTCGATCTTGTTCGGAGGAGCATCAAAACCAAGTAACGTCATCAGCCAAACAGGGATTCTCATCGAGTGCGCACTGCGGCGGAACCTCAAGAAGCCGCCATTGTCATGAAGGTGTGCAATGTCACACAGCTTGTTAGAGCCTTCACAATGATATGCATTTTAGGAGCTTTACAACCGGTCAAGAAGGAGAAGGATTGTGAGAGAACGTCAGCGGGGACAGCGGGATACTCATGTCGGCGTTGTAGACCGGTAGTGTATTGACGAGTAACATCTACATGTAAAATCCAATTGACCTTCGTGCACAGCGGATCAATGCTACTCAAGCATGCCTAGATACAGATCGCAAACTGTGTTACAAAGGGATATTGTTTCACACAGGTACTGTGAAGGTATGAATGAAAACGCGTCAGGGGATCTCCGTCCTTCGACAAGAATACAGCTACAATATCTCTAGCGTCCTGACGTACATCATGTCACGAACAGAAGCCATGTCCTTGACTTGCGCGATGATATTGTTATCCGAAGCAATCCTCTTGTACTCCCCGCCACGCTGCTGCGCTAGCAACAGTGCGCTGAAAGACTGTCCCAGACGAACGATCAACCTCAACTCTCGTGAGTGAGACTCCGAATCAGCTGGCCCATTGTCTCCAGGAGACCAGATGGACTGATCATCTGACGGAGACTCAGGCTCCTGCCAGCTGTCCATGCTCTGCATCTTGTCAGCAGAGTCAGGCAGCTCGATGTCATATCGATTCCACGGACGGACGAACAACAATGGTTGCCGACTAGCACTTGCCCGCGAGAGCTGAATTAAGTCATCTTCTGTGGTGATTGATAAGTCGTTAAGCCCGTGTGCCTTGACAGCATAAGTGAAACACTTCTGCGAGTCTTGATCACACCTCCGTCTGAGTGCTGTGATGGGGAATGCAATGCAAGGCAGATGCAGCCTGCAGTCCGCGAAACGAGGAGCGCTTAGGTGGCTAAGCGCATCACAAAGCGTCAAAGTTATCTGCGCAATGGCGGGATCTCGCAGCAACGAGACCGACATCTGTATCTGATCTTCAGATAGAGATGGCGACATGTATGGCGGAAGGTTGTATGAGGCAATGTCAGCTGGCAGACAGCTATTGAACTCGGATGCTTTTCCGACCCAGTCCAAGGCTGTAATGTCGCCGGACTGGGCGATGATGGCCTGCAACAGTCGTCCGAGTGCCTTCTGCTTCGTCTCGCCGTAGATGACAGGCAGGTGGACGCCGAAGACGCCAAACAATGAATATGCAACATCTTCTGGCAGTGTGGTGATGCGTTTTGACGCCCACTGAAGTTTCTCTCGGGCGTCTCTCATCCCTGGTTCGAAGGCAGCGAGCGCCCGTGCATCTATACCCGTCGAATCCCTCAACTCCTGTATGATAGAGGCAGACTCCTTGTGGTTGGAAGAGTGGTCGTCGAGGTATAGACTCCAATCTGCTCGGTAGAAGAGAACAACTCTAGGGGCCAGGAACTCCTGAACAGTCCATCCTCGCGTGTTCCAAACACTGTTTGCGAGCGTGCCTGATTTCGACGAAGGCGGAACATCCGGTAGGTAAACGATCGTGAGCCCTGAGTGGCGATACCAAACGAACATGGAGTTGACAGATGCTTGTAGCTCGACATTGTTTTTCTGGTCAATACAACATGTATCGACCCACGCCCAGCGATGCCCCGCATCACGAGCAATTTTGCAGAATGTCTGCAACTTCACCGTGGTTCCGACTGCATCCAAGTCATACACAACCTTGTCCTGTATGTCGTGTAGCAGAAGCTCGTTGCTTTGCCACCTGTGCGATAGCATAGCCCAACTGAAGTACTTCGCAACCACTGCTCTAATAGGTTCCGTCTGGAGGGGCGCATGCATCATCGAGTAAGAAAAAATCTCTTTGTACTCGGTGCTGTCCATGAAGGCGTTGATCTGCGCGTCTCGATTGCATATACGCCCAGTGGAGGTGTTGATTAGACGCAGCGGAGCATTTTCCAGTTGGACCTCAATAGCGCGTCGGATAATGCCTTTAACACTAGATGGACTGACATACTGCTGACGCAGCTCTGTGGAAAGTGTTTATGATTTTCACATTGGCGCATGAGAGATTGGGGCTTACCTCGTACTCGCGCGTCGGGCACATTGTCTGACTTCAAGAGCATGGTTTTAAAGGCCTCGATCGCTTCGTCATAACGTCGAGCCTTGTGAAGGGCTGCCTGCTTCAGTTCGTACCCCAGATAAGAAGAAGGATCGAGGTCGATGACCTATGCACAGTATTAGAACAATAGCTAGACAAATGAAAGACATTATCCGCACCTTTTCCGCGTCGAAAAGGGCCTCTACATAGAGGTCCCGTTCTAAGTTTGCCTTGCTGCGGTGCGCAAACAGGGACTCGCACGAGGAGTCAAGCCCGATTCCTGCCGAATATAGTTCGATAGCCACCTCATAATTGCTTGCAGCAACAGCTTCGTCTCCCTTTGCGAGACAGCGCACGGTACAGTTTTTCTTGAAGGCTAAACGACGTCAGAGTAAGTGTCGATATTCAAGTTGTATATGACCCCAAAGTACCCACCAGTAGACCATGTGAGGTAGCTCTCTTTCACATCCTCGTCAATCATGCTCATCGTGTATCGGTGAGATTCGACCGCTTCGACCACTCGATCGGCGCGAAGGAGTGCATCGCACCGCCTTTGGTTGGCACTTTGCCATAAAGAAGGTATTTCGGATGGAGTAGCACCGCCACCAAGGAAATATGACTGGGCGCTGGAAGGAGGGACAACGGCAGTACCAGAGGATAGTGAAGGAAGAAGAATCGTCGAGAGAGGTGACAAAGGATGAACTTGAAGAGTAGCGTCGCTGTTGAGGCCACCGAATACTGATTCGGAGCCAGAAGAGCCTATATCAGGTGTCATTGCTGTATGCTCCAAGCGCACCTGGGTGTAGTTTTTGTACGTGAACAAAGAGGATGACAGGTCTTGCCCAAAATTGAAACTAGCTGCCTGTCTGTGGCAAGATAAGCTTCAGGTAAGATGCCGTGCATAGACTCGAGTACCTTGAACCAAAACTGATGCCAGAAGCAGGAGGCATATCAACATCCTCCTTCGCGGCTGTAGTCTCGTGAGCATTGTTCTCCGTAGGCTCCCTTGCCACCCCTATTTCTGTATTGGCCTCATCATCCCTCTTCTTTCCTGCTTCCGCTGTTCTGTTAAGACGCTCGGCGCCTTCCCGCGTACCAATCTCTACCGCTTCTTTCACACCCCGCCTCGCCGCCCCAGATCCTTCAGCCTCCTCCTTAGCCATCATATTCGAATCGGTACGTTGCGCATCAAAATCAAAACGAATAGGCGGACTCGCTGTCAAGCAAAGCTCCTTAACCTCGCACAATGTCCGAAGGCAGGTCTCGAAATCCTGGAGGCACCATGTTTTCACGAGCCACTGCTGGAGCTTCTGTTTCATGAAAGTCGTCAAAATGGAGCGGAGGTCGTCGTCCCACTCTGCCAAAGACAGGTGATGGGCCCAGTGAGTGCAAGCATAATCAAGTGCACCCGAGTCCGTTCTGCGCTTATCCTTGAACGTACGCACATCGTTCACGATTTCGGCCACTGCATCCAACGTTTCTATGTGCGGTTGGTGCTCCAGAGTCGATGGTCCCAGAACTCGGCCAATTCCGGGAGATTCAAACGACAGAAATATTGGGAAGGCCAGAAGTACAGGCAGGGATCGAAGGTTTTCTAGGAAGCGGAAAGCCGGCAGGGTATCAACTGCAGATAAGTCAAGGTGCTGTAAAATTTGCCAGGTACTGTAGAAATATCCCAGTGCCAATTTTGCGCGAGGATCAACTGTACGTCCTATATACTGATGTTGCATGTGATGCCAGAGCGTAGACAAAAACGGTAAAGGCTCTGGCGGTGAGTATACCGCAGATGTCAGAACTTTCTCGCGGTCAAAGTCACCGAGTGATCTGGAGCTGCCTCCCATCATTAATTGGGATAAATGGGAATAGAGAGCACTGTCATCCGGTAATTCCTCTATCATGAGACTCAAAGAAGAGTAAGCCAGCAGGCGATGAACCACGGCTTGGGAAATGAACTGCTCTCCGCAGCGTGGACGATCGGACAGAAAGTCGCGGAGAGATTCGTGGCAGACTTGCGCGGCGCTGTCGTGACCATTGGAAATGTAAACCAGAGGGGACAACGGAGGCAACACGTGAAGCATATCAAACTTCTGTTTTGGCGCTCGCTTAAGAAGGCTGTCTAGTTGCGAACACGACAGCATGCTAGCGAGATTTGCAACAATCGTGAGATGAAGGTATGCTTGTTTGAGGTCGCCGGATGAGGAGATGATAGATTTGTATAAATGATCTAAGGATGCCTGCGGATGCGATGAAGGGTCGAAGGGAAGATGATAAATGAAATTCATCCTATCTATGGGTTCGTGATAAGGACTTTCCACGAATTTGACGAGAACCGATCCCGTGATGAAGTGGGGTCCAACTCTATCCACAAGACCGTTGAGAACTTCGTCTGATGGCCACGGCTTGCGACATTGAAGGCGATGATCTTGCTGTATCTCGTCGAAAGACTGGCAAAGAAATGATCTAATGTCCGGGGCAACCTCGATGTGATCCAGAGCAATGTCGGATGTGATTGGTGCAAAATAGCGCTTGATAGAAACACCTTCTACTTGGTCGCGGCTTGTGACAAAGATGTGAAGGCCCACGTCAGCCAGATGGGAGAGAAGTCGACTAAGGAGCGAGATGAGTTCTGGTACGTGGTCTTGGCATTGATCTATAGCATCGATGATAAACACTCTCGAAGGAGAGCACCAATCAACCGCCTCCAGAGGTTCAATAAGAAGCCGGGCGAATTGTTCGCGCAAATCTCGAGAAGGGGAAATTATCCCAGGATCCCTGCCGAGGGCTGCAATTATTTTCTCCTTCGCCTGCGGTTGAGACAGCCCAAGTTGATATGCGAGTGCGAGCACGACAGAACGCGCGCTTCTGCAGTTTGCGTGCTTACGAGAGAAGAAAAAACTGCCTGCCAATTGACGTTTCTGCTTGCAACGACTGGCAAGAGTGTATGCAATTTCCCCAAGCCAGAAGGTCCGTGTAGCCATGACATAGCATTCCTGGGGTTCTCGAGGTCCGCTTCGAGCCTTTCAATCAGGCGAGTACGACCGCTGCCTAGTTGAATCATTGGTACAGGACCTCGATCACGTGAACCGAACAAAGCACTGAGTGGGACAAATCTACAAAAAAAGGCCCAGGTATAGTGTTGACTTGAAGGTTCCGTGATCAGTGGCGGAATATTGTTCAGCACAGCGGACAAGCTTCGATGTTGAAGGATTGGATGCGGCCGCGCGAAATTACAGATCCTGCAGGCACTCTGCGAGGGAGACTTAAAATTTGGTGGTTAACGATCAGGCAGAAGACGTAAGGCACGTGTCATACCATCACATCATTGTCCACATCTGTGCTAGACACAAAGGCGGCAGAAAGCTAATGATGGGAGTCAGTCGACGAAGGTGAGCGGGTCACAAAATATCACCTACAGGTAGATTAAATAAATCAATATCGGAATATTGCGGTGGCGCGTTTGGTGTTTGGTCGGGGTATGGTGGTAGGTACTGGTGCTCCTGTAATGAATCAGAGTTGGAATCAATGTGCAGAAACGCAGATGGGGATCAGAAACGCACAATAGGAGAATCAGAAAGCATCTTTGATGCAGTGGTTTCAAGGCCATGCTTCAAAGAGGTCAACAGCCCATCAGCGAAGTAAATGTCAGCAAGGGAATGACAACATACAAGGGAAGCATCCGACAATAGATCCCTTTTGTCCTTGCTATCACTATCTCGTTTGGCTCTGGGCATCGTCCCACTGAGGTTCAGCGTCCAATCTGCCCCCGACTTGGATTGGGTCAGGCCACGGAAGAGGGTCCCGTACAGAAGTGCGTCTACACGCTTCAAGCCTTGGCGTTGCTGGACGGTCGGGAGTACCGGCGCGAGGTTGCAGCGAAGCCTAAACGCCTCGTCACAACCCGCACGGAGGCGGAGTGGTATCACGTTCTGTTCGTGGAGCGTAAGTGGTACGTCGAAAGCTGCATATATCGCATCGAAGACATCGCGAACGCGAATGCCTTCGTCACGGTTCACGTTGATATCCCATTTGAATTGATCACGCTGGAAGTTGATGATCATCTCGGTCAAATACATGTCTGCGGCTGGCTTGTCGAGATCAGCGTCACACAGAGGTGTCCGTTGTACATCATGTGATAACTTCTGCCTGTACTCGATGTATTGGGTTGGGAAAGCGACGTCGAAGTGAAGGAATAGGTTGGGGCGAGCTACATGGTACGAAAGCAGCTGCCAGTGCAGATTCAGTGCGGGCCCCTTGAAGGGTGTCATTGAACCCGAGGACGGACCCAGCCCCGTAGACTCGATGGACGCATTGAGGTTACCATGTGGATCACTTGAATCTATGGTGTTGGTGAACTCTTCAACGTTTTCGTAAGTATCGCGAGGATAGTGGGCCTTAGGCGCCAAAAAGGTGGAAGCCTGTGACACTAAGCTCGAGGGAGACGGCTCCGGCGACGGTCGAGATGGAGCGCTGTCAACAGGGTGAGGAGAAGGAGCTGTTGCACTTGACGCATAACGAGCTGGTGTACTTGACGAATAACGAACTGCGAGTTTAGCCTCGAGTTAATATGATATCCTTGGATCGCATGAACCAGAAAGAAGACTCACATGGGTCGACACTGCGCCTAGGTCTTCCAGATGGTTCGTCTGACCTAAACTTGTCAACTTTAGAGAGTATCCTCAACCTATCGTTCTGTGGCCCCATAGTAAATGACGAGATGCTCAAGCCGCCCCAGTGACTGTTGATTCTGCATTTGGCAACTACCATTCGGGATTTTCCGATCCAAAATTTCTGGAAATCCGCAGGGTTCTGTTCGAAGACATCGACAAGGGATAACACAAGCCACGATGGCAACGCACGCACTTTTCGAGTCAGCGTCCGGATACGCCGTCTTCGATGTAAAACTCCACGAAAACATTGGCTCCCGCGTAAAAGCAGTCCAGGACTCCATCACCGATCTTGCAAAATTTGGCAAAATGGTCACGCTAGTAAGTTTCTCGCCATTCAAAAGCGCGGCGGACGCTCTCGAGAACATAAATGATGTCTCAGAAGGTACGCACACCGAACCTATTTCTCTTGCTAACAGTAATATAAATCAATGATACCAGGTATCCTCAATGACCATCTCAAATCCCTCCTCGAGCTTAACCTCTCCAAGCCTAAAAAAGGTTCCAAGATAATCCTCGCAGTCTCAGACGTTGCGCTCGCCAACTCCATCTCTGAATCCCTCTCCTTGAAATGCGACGCGTCAGAGACATCGCAGGAAATCCTCCGCGGCATCCGCTTTCACGCCCCAAAGCTCCTCAAAGGCCTCGACGCTACAGACCTCATCAAAGCCCAACTCGGTCTCGGTCACTCTTACTCCCGCGCTAAACTCAAGTTCAACGTCAACCGTGTCGACAATATGATTATACAAGCTATCGCCCTCCTCGACCAACTCGACAAAGATGTCAACTTGTTCGCCATGCGCATAAGGGAGTGGTACGGCTATCACTTCCCCGAACTCGTCAAACTCGTCCCAGACAACTACCAATACGCTCGCATCGCGCAGTTCATCGGCGACAAGGAGACTTTGAATGAGGAAAAGTTGCCCGAGCTTGCTACCCTCCTAGGCGACGATTCCACACTCGCACAAAATATCCTCGATGCCGCCCGCGGCTCAATGGGCTCAGACATATCCGAAATCGACATGCTCAACATCTCCGCTTTCGCAACCCGCGTCGTCTCCATCGCCGACTACCGCAAATCCCTCGTCACCTACCTAAGCGAGAAAATGAACCTCGTCGCTCCCTCACTCACCGCGTTGTTGGGAGAGCGGATAGGCGCACGGTTGATCAGCCACGCCGGGAGCTTGACGAATCTGAGCAAGTACCCTGCTAGTACCGTGCAGATCCTCGGTGCGGAGAAGGCGTTGTTCCGAGCATTAAAAACGAAGGGCAACACCCCCAAGGTATGCCGTTTCATTACACGTGTAATTAAGCTAATCTCGAATAACAGTACGGTTTGCTATACCACTCCTCCTTCATCGGTCGTGCAGACCCCAAGCACAAAGGCCGGATATCTCGCTTCCTAGCGAACAAATGCTCTATCGCCTCCCGGATAGACTGCTACTCAGGTAACTCCCCTTACCCCCACACTTACGCCTTACTAAAAACACCCAGATAACCCAAGCGCAAAATTCGGCGAGGCCCTCCGCGCACAAGTCGAGGAGCGCCTCAACTTCTTCGAGACCGGCGCACCACCGACCAAGAACGTCGACGCCATCCGCAAAGTCCTCGACAGCCTCGCACTGGACGAGGATGACGAGGACATGGAAGATGAGCCGGACGCTGAGATGGACGATGCTGAGCCTATCTTGCCATTGATCGAAGTCACGCCTAAGAAAGATAAGAAGGACAAGAAAAAGAAGAGGTCGAGAGATGACATGGACGTCGACGAAGCGGACGAGGAGCCGGCGGAGAAGAAGGCAAAGCTGTCGAAAGAGGAGAAGAAGGCTTTGAAGAAGGCTGCCAAGGCAGCGCGTAAAGCAGAAGCTGTTACTGCTGATGTACGCTCGAGCTTATTGGTATTCGCGATTTTTGCTAATCTTTCTCTTTCCAGGACGGTCCCTCTACGAAGGAGAAAAAAGAAAAGAAGAAAGATAAGAAAGATAAGGAGAAAAAGAAGAAGGAATGATATTTTATCCGTGGTATACCTTCTCGTCCGCTTGTTGTCTTTTTGTATCGCTGCTTTCATGGCCATCCTGATGAACCCATAATTCTTACCTCGTCAACTTCCCGTTCGTCCAAGAGGGTGCATTTTGACTTCCGATTGTTCCTCAAGAGTCGCGCAGACAGGGTTCGAAGCTCTCACGTCACGCTCTGGAGCACCGTGCGTGAATCAAGTTCCTAAGGATCGATTATATTTTGCCGTCTTCGACTTACTTCACGGAGGGAAACTTCAATCTTCCATGCCCATTACCACAAAATCTCCCAGGGTTCTTCTGCTAATAGAATAGCAGATATCGAAATGTGATTTCAGGTGGATAGGTTCTTCCTACATCGCCATGAAGTTCTGCCAGAACAATATTCAGCACATAAAGCAAGCCGTCGTTCTACCGCAGCACCCTGCAAAATTATCTGATCTCATCAAATCCTCCTCACAGAACATGCGTTTCTCCTTCGTGCTCGCCGTTGTTGCTGCCTTGACATCATTGGTATCTGCCAGTGATGCTGGCGATTGGCCCGGTTGTCCCGCACTTTGCGACACATCAGAGTGTTGCTCTGGGCAGGACTGCGTGAAGTTATACACCCCTCACGTTGTGAGTATGAGTAGCTGGCATCCTGGATTTAACCACATGACTCACCGGCGTGGTAGAAAGGTAAAAAAAAAAAAGGCCCGGGATACGTTTTACAATGTATGTGAGTGGCATGTCGCGACAGTGAACTACGGTGAGTCGTGTTTCTGCTTTCGCATCGGTGCAGTATAATTGATGGGACGACACGTGAGTAGGCTGTTGTCGAGTTAATAAATAAACGTGCCTGCTTCTGAACTACCGCTCAACCGGTGGGATCTTGGAATAGGAGAACTTGTCAAATACATAACGCGCCGTACACCATCTTGGTGCAACTGTAGAATGCGTACTGATTATCCTTAGTCAGTGACCTTTCCGAGCATGACGGGTTGGACGCGACTGCGAAGTGAGGCGGAGGCTGCTGCTGCCGATGTACGCTTGAGCTTACTAGTATTCGGCCCCTCCGAAAAGGAGAAGAAAGACAAGGAGAAAAAGAAGAAGGAATGAAATTATACCTTCTCGTCCGCTTGCCGTCTTTTGTATCTCTGCGTTCATGGCCATCCTGATGAACGTGTAATTCTTGCCTCATCAAGTTGCTTCCCGTTCGTCCAAGAGGGTGCGTTTCGACTCCCAACTTGGTAATTGAGGGGACAGTTCCCTAGGGGTCACAGCGTAGTCAGGGTTCGAAGTTGTCTCTGGAGCATCCGAAAAACCGTGCGTGAACCAAGTTCTTAAGGATCAATTATGTTTGGCCGTCTTTGACTTCACGTACCTTGAGGAGCAACACAAAGGCAAGCTCCGGTCTTCCACGCACGTCACCACAATGTGTCCCGGAAAAGTTCTTTTGCTAATAGAACAGCACATATTGAAATGGCATTTCAGGCGGGTAGATTCTTCCTACCACGCCATGAAGTTCTGCCAGAATAATGATATTCAGCACATAAAAGTAAGCCATCTTCCTACCGTCTTCTTCGAATTTATTCGATCACATACCACATCCTGACAAACAATGCGTTTATCCTCGTCCTCGTCGCTGCTTTAGCAGTGTCAATATCTGCCAGTGACGCTAACGATATTGAACCTGATGGTTGTCCCATGCTGTGCAACCGAGCAACGTGTTGCTCTGGGAAGAAATGCGTGAAGTTATGGGCCCCCGCTATTGTGAGTATGAGTAGTTTGCATCCTGGATTTAACCACATGACTCGCCGGCGTGGTAGAATGGATACATTTATAGATG